TTGGCTAATTGTAAACAGCTTCCATCCAGAAGGATTGTGTTGTAACAAGACTACTGCATGTAAGACTGAAATTTGGGCTTCTGCCCAAACTGTATTTTTTTTTTTACATAAACTGGCAGCCAGTTTAAAAATAAACCTTTCTTTAAACTCTTACATTTTTGTCTTGTGATTTTTCTTCTGTTTAGATATCTAGTTGCATTTGTAACCTGTAAACTCAAAGTAGCTACTTCAAATCTGAAGCTCTCCTCCAGCTACCTGCATGAAAGCATTGACTGTCTTTACAGGGACTCCTGCCAATGACCATCATTACAGAGCTTTGAATAAATAGTTTTCCTGTACAGACATGCATAATTATAATCAAATAAGTTAGAGCTGCTTCACTGGGGGAAAGGAGGGGAATAAATTTTAGGTTAAGTCCCGTGTTTGCACACTGAGCAGGTGCTGGCTGGCCCCGCCTTCTGAATCAGGCTCCTGGGACCTCCCTAATAACTAATTAGCCAAGGCCTTTAATAGTAGACATTACTAATAAAGCGTTAACTGATGCAGAAGGCCAAGCCAGCACATGCTGTATGTGCAAACACAATACCTGAAGGGACTAAAATTTCAGGTTGTCCTGCACGTGCACTCAGAGCCTGTGCTGGCTGGGCTCGCCTTCTAAATCAGGCTCCTGGGAGCTCCCAGCTAATTAGTTAAAGCTTTATTAGTAATGTCTGCTATTAGAGGCCTGGCTTGTTAGAACAGGCTGGAGTTAAACTGCATCTGACTTACCTAATTACCAAGATCCCTACTTTTACCCCTGAACAAAGCATTAAATACTAGTCCGTGCACAAGGAGGGCAGCTGCTGCCCGGGGCTGGGCGCAGTCAGCAGCTCACGGCCACCGTGCGGGCCAGGCGCTCCCGGAGGTGGTTGGCGAAATCCACCTGTGTCTGGGACAGGACCTGGTTGATGATCGTCTTCGGCAGCCAGCCCTAGGGAGGAGCAGACAGCAGCCTGTTAGGGGGACTCACCACGGACATAACTCTTGGTTTTAGGGGGAAATAGTTCCCTGTGGGGCTTACCTTCAGGTCGATGCTCAGCAGCCATATCAACTTGGTTTGCGAGGGGTCGCCGGCCACCGGGCGCAGGATCATGCAGGTGGGACCGTTCTCAGCTCTACAAGGGCAGCAGCGTGTTAAAAACCAACCTCTGACTTAACCTCAAAAAGCGCTGAAGCACTTTATAAATTAGGATTTCCTTCGCAATTTCTGCCTTCCCCAAAACAAAACTCCCTTTGCTACTGAAACACACCACAGCAAGGCTGAGCCCATGCTGGGATGTGAATTTGACATTCACAAAGCACTCCAAAGTGAGCACAAGAGGTGGTTACCTCACGAAGCCCTGCTGCTCTGGCATGGCCCCGTAGGTGGTGGCCATGCCGGCCAGGACGCAGGTGGAGCCGCGCCGCTTGGCGCAGCGCACGCTGACAAAGTCCCGCGGCCCTACGATGTTCCCGGGGGTGGCAGCCGCCTTCTCGTGGGTGATCACCGTGTCTTTCCCAATCTTCTGCAGAATCTGGATGGTACAAATCGTAATGTGAGGCATTTATGGCAAAAAAGGGCTACAGGTAGCCAAAAGCTGGCTTTTGAGCAAGTGCATTTCCTGCAGAATTGGTAACAACAGCCCTCCCTCCGCACACAAGCTGTGTGGTTCCTGCAAAACAGGCTTAGTGCCTGGAGTGGGAAACATCCAAAATAGATGTCCATCCCCAAGGAACGGGTGGAAAAACCCCCGCTGTGATGTGCAAAGTGATTCCCCAGCCCCTGTAAGGCCACGTGGATCTGAGGGGGTCAGAAGGGAGCCTGGCACCCCCCGTGCAGGCACCCGCTCCCTACCTTGACCTCCTTGACGCTGGGGTTCCAGTCTCCCATCTGCTCCATGTTGTCCACCAGCTCGCTGTACACCGCGTCCAGGGGCTGCTCCACCACCACCTCCAGGCGGAACACCTTGCCCACGTCAGGCAGCACCTTGCTCAGCACTTTGTCTCCGTTGTCCTGCCGAGGGGAAGGCAGGGTCAGCACCACCAGGACAGGACCCCCACCCGCAGCAGGACCACCCCGGCACAGCTCACCACCACCGTCTCCGTCTTCCAGCCCTCCTGGTCCCCGAGGATGCTGAGTGATTTCTGCAGGGCTTCCTCCCCTTGCTTGATGTAGGACATCTCCACCTCGCTGAAGGGCTTCTCCTCCAGCCTCGAGCCTGGGAGGCGGCGGACAAAAGCCAGGAGGGAGCGTAAGAACATTACAACGGGCTAAGAGTCCTAATACCAGATAAGCTTTATCTACACCAAATTGACTTCGCAGTGCCCAGGGGCTCAGGAGCTCAGCTCAGCCCCCCCAGCCCATGCTTGCCGTGCGCTCAGCGCACCCACGAGCAGCTTCCCTCCAGCCAGACCCCGAGCACCGACCCCTGGGGGCCAAAACGCAGCAGGAGGAGGCAGGTCCCCCCCTGCCTGACACTTACTGAGCAGGGAGCTCCTCCGGCGGACCTGGTTAATCCACGCGCCGGGCCCCGCGCTGCGGCAGGCCAGCCGGCTCAGCTCCTGGCTGATGGCGACCGCGGCTTGTCGGCGGAGACCTGGGGCAGAGAGGGCATCACTGAGCCGTGCGGGGCGTTTGCCAGGCCGTGCTTCTTTCCTTTAAGCATACAGCACTGAGAACCCCCTGTGCGACTCCTTTCACCCCCCGCCACCGCTTGCTGCCCTCGTGCCATGGGAGGACAGGAGCTGCGCGGGCTCTGCTCCGAGCCCAAGCTGTGCCCAGGGAGCTGACGGCACGAGCAGGTGCCCAGGAAAAGCTGTAGGAAATGGAACACGAGCACAAGATCCCTACAGCCAAGGGGCTGTTATCTACAGCTGCTCCTCCTGGGGCTCCAGAGCAAGAAGCCTGCAGCGGGCTGAGCGCTCCCACAGCGCTCCCAAAGAGCAGAGGCGCAGCCACGCTGGAAACGGCGCCCAGCCCTCCCCCATCAGCCCCCAAACCCCAGAAACACAGCCAGCAGCAAAAAGGGGTCCCGGGGAACGAAATGCACCACCCAGGGACCGCAGCCCCCCATGCCCTCACCGGTCATGTTGCGCAGGTGGCGGTAGGAGATGGCAGCGCACAGCTTGAAGGTGGCGGGCAGCATCTCGGGGCTGGCGTCTGCGCGGCGAGAGCTCCTCTGCCCCAGCCCTCTGGATGCTCGGCCTTAAATACGCCCGCTGAAGGATGCTGGCTTGTCAGCAGGGAGATAAGAGCCGTCACTTACGGCAGGGCCCCGGGGGCCAAGGCCAGCCCCCTCCCCGCGCAGCTGCCGGGGGCCGCAGGTCGCCCATGGGCAGGGCACCAGGCGCACGCTCGCAGCCTCGTGCAGCCAGACCCAGCCCAAGCCACGGGACAGAGCCCACCGCACCCAGCCCCCCGACACGGGACGGGCACCTCACACCCGTTACCGGGACCAGATTTTGTGGGACTGCTGCTGAGGGGTCTGTGCGGGGAGCAGGAGGCGCCCCCCGGGCTCCGGCACCCCGCGGCTCCACGCCGGGCACAGCCCAGCAAGCTCAGAGCCCCCGAGCAGCCCCGAGCCCCCTGCCCGCACCGAGGGGCAGCCCCGGGTCCCCCCAGGGCTGGTTATCTGCGGGTGGGCAACGTTGGAGCAGCGATAACGCTCAAGGATGAAATGACATTTCTGGGATGAGTTACGGCCCCGCAGACGAGCGCTCGCGAGCCCCCGTGAATCACCAGCTGCTTCCTTTGACGTCAACTCCTGCACCCTCCTGCGGGGAACCTGACCTTCCTCCTCCTCGCTGTTGCAACAGCTTGGCCCAGGGGGAGGTCAGCCGCTCACTGCGCCAGCAAAGGACACCCCGAGCCCCCCAAAATGGGCTGGGGGCACCCAGGGAGCCCTGCGCAGAGCCCCTGGGGTGGTCGGCCCTGCTGGTCCCCCCCTACCTGTGCTGGGCACGGCCCCACTGCTCCGGGACAGCCGCTCTCCATCACCACGTGTGGGACACGGCCACCACCTGCACGCAGGAGCGAACAAATTTGCTTTCCACCCATGCCACGGGAGGCACCCTGTGCTTGTGTAACTGGATGGAGGCACTGGTGGCACTGGGAGGAAGCCAGAAGCCGTGCGCCTCCCTCCCCTGTTACTGCACCACGAGGCAGCGCTGCTGGGGAGCAGCAGCCCCCTCCGGGGGGTGCAGGGAGCCCCCCGTGCCGGGAGGCAGCCGGGGCTGTTGTTATCCCAGCCCCAGCAGCCGCTGCCGCACACAAGGCCTCGGCACAAGGACGCGCTCTTGTTTTTGAGAAGAGCCAAAACAGAGCCCGGGCAGAGCCACCCCTTCGGCTCCGGGGCTGTGCCAGGAGGGCACCGAGGGCCCTTGGGGGGGGGACCTGGAAAATTGGGGATGTCCCCGGGCTGCTCACCAGCTCCCCGATGCTGGGTCACCATCTCCTCCAAACGTCCCCTGGGGGTCCCACGGTGTCGCCGTGCCACGGGTCAGCAGAGCCTGCAGGGAGGGAGAGGGACCCGCAGCCCCCCGCGCCCCAGAGGCACCGGGATGGGAAAGCCCCCGGGGTGCTGGGGGAAGGGGAGCAGCGGGGAAGGGGAGCAGTGGGGCCGGGCTTCGTGCCTGCTGCGCCCCAGCACCCACCTCACCACAGCTCTCCGTTGGGGCAGGAGGAGCAGAGCTGCTCTGCACACGCAGGACACGGCCCCAGCCACAGCCCCACCTGCCCAAGCCCCCAGTTGGTGATGTTGGGATGGATCCTGCGCTGGGAAAAGCACCCAGACCCCCCCCAAACCCCCGTGGGGTGCAGGAAAAAGGGAGCTGAGCCGCACGGCAGCCACCCCTGAGCAACCATTTGGGTGCCCCCCACCCCAGGGATGGGGGCTTCGCTCACCCACCCCCCGACACCACCACACCAAGGTGCCACATGGCTCAGATCGCAGCTTTTTGCTTAAAAACGCAGGTCCAGGCGCTCAGCGTACAAATATTTACAGCTCTTTACAAATGTACAAAACCCAAACCGAACGCAAACCCGAGGCGCAGGAGCTGGGGGAGTGGAGGGGCCCCCCCGCGCACCGTACAAAAATAAAGGACGTCTCTGCTGGGGGGCTCGGCTCTGCACGGGGTCCTTGCCCCCCCCCAGTGCTGTGGGGCCCAGCCCCACGTTGGCAGCACCCCCCCACCCCGTGCGCTGCTGCCCCCTGCACAAAAATTCCCTTTTCTGAGCCCGTTTCACATTCTGGTGGCCGTCGGTGGCTCAAGGAAGGGGGGACGAGGCTGTGCCCCCCCCAGAAGGTCCCTCCCCACATCCCCAGCCCGTGTAGGACCCCGGGGTGCTCCCAGCCCCCCCGCTCCAAGGCTGCTTTGTTTCTATTTGGAGAGCTCAGATAAACCCGCGGCCCCCCCGCGCCCGCAGAGGTCACGCTCGGAGCTGGCGATAAGATAAGGCCGGCACTGCCCCGGGCTCAAACGCAGCAAAAATGGGTGCTGCCGCTCACGGCACCTGCACCCAGCCCTGGGGTGGGGGGAGAGGAGCCCCCAGGGTGCCCTCGGCAGGTGCTGACCCCCAAAAAACAGGCAGCTGGGGGGCTGGGGGAGAGGGGCTGGGATCCGCTTCCCCCCTGCGCCCCTCGGCCACCGCGCGCGCCAGCCCCTGGCAGCCTCTGTCCCAACCTCTCCTCTGCGAGACCCCGGCCCCGGTCCGAGGTGGCCCTGAGACGGCGAGGAGGGGGTGAGGAGGGGGCTCGGGGGGTCCCCGGGGACGGAGGAGCAGGGTCAGGACGGTGCCGGTGCCGTGCTCCGGGCTTGGCAGGCGGCGCCGGCCGCGGGGAGGTGCGAGTTCGTGGCTGCCGGCTGCGGGGACGGCACGGGGGCACCGATGGGGCAGTCGGCCGGCTGGAGGGACAGAGGGACAGGGGGACAGACGGACGGTGAGATGAGGGGGACGGGGAGCCGCGGGGCAGCCCCAGGACCCCGGCGCTTACGTGGCGGCGGAAGAGGCGCTGCAGGAGGCTGCGCTTGGGGGGCTCGGGCAGCTGCCTCCAGTCCAGGTCCGGGGAGCGCGTCCCGTTGGGTCCGAAGACGTTGAGGTCCTTGAAGCACTCGGTCTCGATCATCTGGGGGGGGCAGAGGGGGGCTCAGCGGGGTCGTGGAGCTGGAGCTGAGCCCCCCGTTCGATGGGGACCCCCCCGCACCTCGTTCTGCCAGGGGATGGAGACGCTGCCGGTGGCAAACTTGGCGTAGAAATCGTTGTCGGCTTGGTCCAGGTTGACGCCTTTCACGGTGGAGAACTGCTCGATGTCCAGCACGTCCTTGCAATACACGGCCCGGGGCTGGGGGGCCCAAAGTGCCATCAGCTGGGGGTCTCATCCACCCCCCCTCCAGCCCCATGGCACCTGCACGGCCTGGAGCCTTACATCTGGCACGAAGGAGGGCTTCGTGATGCCGGCCTCCAGGCGCTTGAAGTTGATGGTCCTGAAGAAGGGATGGCGCTTCACCTCGGCGGCCCCGTCCGCCCCGCAGCCCAGCCGCTGCTGGGGGTCCTTGGCCAGGAGCTGGGGAAGGGGGACGGGCGGTCAGAGGGGTGGCGGAGAGCCCCCAGCCCCACGGGGACCGGCGTGCCCCCAGCTCACCAGCATGCAGATGGCCCGGGCGTCCTCGCTGAATTTATCCGAGTAGTGCTCCTGCTCCTCCTGCACCCGCTTCTCCACCTCCTCCCGCTTCACCCGCTCCTTGCGGGCGCGGAAGGGCGACTGCCCCGCGATCATCTCATACACCAGGCAGCCCAGGCCCCACCAGTCGGGGCTGAAGGTGTAGCGCTCGTTGTTGATCACCTCGGGGGCTGCAAGGCACGGCCACGGCCCCGCACCCTCAGTGGCTGCACGCAGCCACCGGCCCCCCCGTGCCCACCACGGCCCCACACCTCACCCATGTAGCCCACGGTGCCCACGCGGCCCCGAATCGTCTCGCCCTCGGGGATCTTGATCGCCAGCCCCAGGTCGGAGATCCTGATGTGGCCTGAGGCAGGGAGGGGTTGGGGGGGCCCCATCCCATGGCCCCTGTGCGCCCTCCCCAAAAACACACCCGGGGGCCCCCACGTTGCCTCCATGGGGGCGCACGGAGACCCGGCCCCAAAACCAGGAGCGTGCGCAGAGCCCGACCCCGCAGGTCTCCTCCTCACCATCATCATCCAGCAGGATGTTCTCTGGCTTCAGGTCCCTGTGGGGACAGACGGACAGACAGACAGACGGACGGCTCAGCAGGGAGCACCCCGGCCACCCAGCCCCACGTGCCCCCCGCTGCCCCCACCTGTAGACGATGCCCTCCTGGTGCAGGTGCTGGAGGCCGCAGCAGATCTCGGCCGCGTAGAAGACCACGCGCTCGTCCTCGAAGCCCGGGTTGCCCATGTTGTAGATGTGGAACTTGAGGTCGCCGCCGTTCATGATGGTCAGCACCAGGCACAGCGCGTCCTTGGTCTCGTAGGCGTAGGCCAGGCTCACCTGCGCGCCACCGTCAGCCCCTGGCCCCGCAGAGCCACCCCGCACCCCGGGGGTGCCGCACTCACCACGAAGCGGCTGTTGACCTTCTCCAGGATCTGCTTCTCGTTCAGGGCCATCGCCTCCCCCTTCCGCTTCTTGATCCGCTTCTTCTCCAGCTTCTTGCAGGCGTACATCTTCCCCGTGGCGCGCACTTGGCAGGCGCACACCTGGGGCAGGGCGCACCGGGGTCAGCACCCCGGGGACCCAGCCCTGCGCCCCCCTCCCGCCCCGGCCGCACCTCTCCAAAGCCGCCCTTGCCCAGGATCCGGTACTGCCGAAACGTGTCCTTGGTGACCGACTGCCTGCAACACGGCCCCGTGTGTCAGCCCTGCTCGGTGCCAGCCCCTCGCCCCCCCCTGGGTGCCCCTCACCTCCCCGGGTGCCCCCCGCTCACCTCTCCAGGTACTTCCACTGCAGGAAGCGGTCGAAGTACATGCTGTCCAGGTAGTCAGCGAAGGGCGCCCTGCTCAGGTACTGGCGCAGGGGGCTGCGGGGACACCAGGGACGCTCAGCAGCCCCCATGGGGACGCCCACCCCGTGGCCGGTCCCCAAGCCGGAGGGATGAGGGCGCAGCGGGGCCGGGACTCACTGCAGGCAGCTGCTGAAGAGCTCTTTGCAGGGGCTTTTCTGCAGCTCCTCCAGGCACCGGCTGACGTGCGCCTGGCTGATCTCGGGCAGGTAATCGGGGGACTGCGGGGAGCAGACGGGGCTGGGGTGGGCACACAGCCAGCGGGGGACATGCGGCCCCGCTCCTGGCCCCTGCTCGCCCGTCCTGCTCCAGGGACCCCCCCCGGGCTCACCTCCTGGTGCAGGAACCTGCGGATGATCTCCTCGCCCATCTCCTTGCGCTTCTCATCCGGGGCCAGCTCGTAGTCCGCCTGGGGAGGAGGGCGTTGGGGATGGGCAGCACCGAGCCCCCAGCACCCCAGAGCAGCCCTGGGACAAGTGACCCCACTGCAGGCACCCACCGACCCCACAACCATCCCAGCAACGGGGAGCACAGCCCGTTTGGTGATGCTCCTGCTTCTGACTCCCCAGCACCTGAGGTCTCCTCCTGGCATCGCTCCCAGCCCCGCAGCACCCCCAGATCCCCCCCACGAGCCCCTTACCGCAGCGTCCAGGAAGCGAATGCAGCGCAGGAGCTCCGGCCGCGTCTCGCAGAACTGTCGGAAGAGCAGGCGCCCGATGGGCTGCTTCTCGCACAGGCTGCCGTAGTCGGGCTCTGCAAGGGGCAGCGGGGACGTGCCACCACCACGCGGTGCCAGCGTGGCACAGCGGTGACCCAGCGTTGTGCTGCTGTTTTTGGGGACACCCCCCCCATTCCCTCGCCGGGGACAGCTCCGTGCCGAGCCCCAAAACGCCTGCCCCCCCGGGAGCTCACCCAGGCCTCGCCGCAGCTCGTTGCACTGGCTGATGTGGGGGAAGCGCAGGATCTCCCTCCACTTCTTGCTCCGGCCTTTGCGCTTGCCGCCGCCACCTGCGGGTGGATGGGAGGGAGAGGAGGTGATGCTGGGGGGCACAGGCACCATTTTGGGGTCTTCCCTTCATCCCGCTGCTGCTGCGCCCTGGAGACTCGGGGGACACGAAGCCCCGTTGCTCTCACACTTAGCAAAAGCTGCACAAAATCTAAATTCACGTGGGAAAATCAAAACTTCGGGCTCCACCAGGGACATGGAGAGGGCACCCTGACACCAGGGCAGGGCTCTGACTGCAGCAGAGAACCCCGGTCCTGTTCCCGGCCCCTGCCCGGTTTGGGGCCCCGTGCCCACCTCGGTGGGGCGGGCAGGGCCCGGAGGGGTGCAGGCTTCCTCCCTGAACAATGCCGCGTCCCGCGCGGGCTCCCTGCCGTAAACATCTGGTTTCCTTCTCTCCCCAGCACGCGGGGCCTGCGAGCGCCCGGCCAGATCCCGCTCAGTCCCCAATGGGGACGGGGATGGGGACGAGGAGGGGGCAGCAGCACGGCCCCACTGCAGCCGCTCCTCCCGGGCAGATACTTGGCGCGTGAAGTCATCCCTGCAGGGACCTGACATCAGCGCGGCTCCCAGCTGGTGGCCGGCCAGCGCCGCCCGCCCCGGTGACGCCGAGCCGAGCCGGCGGGACGCCGCTGCGCCGGGCTCCGGCATTTCGGCGGCCCCGGGGAGGCGGCCGGGCAGAGCTTCCTGCAGGAATCAGCGCGCTTCCTCCGGCAGGAATCGCCCCGCGTCAGCCAGCGGGAAGGGGGCAGCCGGCACCGCGCACCCAGCGCATCCCCGCGGGGTCCCCCTGCTCTGTCCCCATCCTGCCAGGGCCAGGAGGGGAGAAAAACGCCCTAAGATCTGGGCAGTGTGCGCGTGCCTCGTCTCATAATGAAGTTATGTTATTTTACACGTTTTGGGTGCATTTTGAATGGGAAAGGCCGCATGGGGCACACCTGCCATGCCAGTGTGCGCAGCCCAGACTGCGTCCAGCAGGGGGGCATCAGGAGGGGACACGCACTGGGGACAGCCAGGGTGCACGTGGAGAGCCCCACATCCAACAGAACCACGGCCACAGCGACAGGACGGCACCGGGGCACGGCCACCCCGGCTCCCAACAGGGCAAGTGGCCCCAAGGGGCTGTGATCAGCCCCGAACTCCTGCAGGACACGGCCAGGGAGCAGCCGGGCAGGTGGCGAGGTGGCCCCAAAGCTCCCCACAGCCCGCTCAGCGGGGATGCCCCGGGGTGGAGGTGCCCGGCCCCAGCGCTGCACGGGGACCTCGCCAGCTGGCAGCAGAGATAAGAGGAGAAATCAGCGCCGGGCACACGAGAAACCCCACGAGGAGCCTCCCTGCTGCCGAGCTGACCTCTGCCACGCGAAAAGCTGTCGAAAGCAAAATCAAACTGCTCCCCTGCGGAACGGAGCCCACGTACCACATGGCGAGGCGTACGCACGGGGAGCTGTGTTACACCAACAAAGCTGCCGGCAGGGAAAGCCCCAAACAGCCCCGTGCCCAAGGCCCCGCAGCTCCCAGCCCCTGCCAAGGGGTTGGGGTCCCACCACGGGCACCCCTCTGCCCGGCACCCCCAGGAGCAGGGGGCTCAGCCCCAGCCCCCCGGGGTCGCTGCTCCTCTGCGCCTTGGCACCGACCTCCTCCGAGGGACTCCGCTTGCAGGACGTCGCCGGCTCGGGGCGAGCCATAAGGAGTTCCTCCCTGCCCTGTTATCTCCTCGCTGCTTACAAACTCCTGGGTTATTTACCCCGGGCACTTCCGCGGGCGGCCAAGCCTGCGGCTCAGAGGAACTCCTCCTGGCGCTGGGAGCCCCCGGGGAATTCGGCTGCGCTCGGTGGCAGCAGGGCCACGAGGCCAACCCCAACCTACAGCCGGGGTGCAGCCGTCCCCATCCCTCTGGAGGTGCAGAGATGCCCCCAGGGCCCCCACCCTGCCGAGCCCCCTCCCCAGCAGCGCCCACCCAGGGGTCGGAGCAATCCCACCGGCTGATCGCTGCCGGCACGAACCCCCCCGGGGTGTGCGGGGCAAGGGGACCCCGGCACCTTCCAGCCCCGGGGCGCAGGGGCCCCATTTTCCCCCCCAGCACCGTGGGAGCCCCCGGCCCGACGCCGGAGCCGCCCCCCGGAGCCTTTCCCCGACGTGAACCCGGGGCGCTCCCGAGGGGCCGAGCCCCGCTCGCAGCCGCCCCCCAGGGCCGCTGGCGCCGCCTCGCTGAGCGCAGCCCCCGGTGTCCCCCCCCCGAGACCCGACGGCACCGGGCAGCGCCGAGCCAGGGCGGCGGCGGCGGCGGTTGTGCGCCCCGGGGAACAACCCGGCCCGGCCCCGGCCCTCGCCCCCCCGGGTTTGGGGTCGCGCCCCCCAAATCGGATGGGGGGGGTTCGGGCACCCGCCGCCCCCTGCGCTGCTCCCGGCCCGGAGCGACCGACGGACGGACGGACCGACCCTGAGCCCTGGGGGGGGGGACCGGGAAGAAGCGGTGGGGGGCACCGGACCCCTCCAAGAGCCCTGCCCCGGGACACACGGACACGCGGCTCCCCCCCCGCCGCCGCCGCCCCGCCCGGGGGCACCGGGACGCGCCCCCGGCCCCGCCGCCGCCTCCCCCCGGCCGGAGCGGAGCGGAGGGGCCGGACCGGGGCGGGGCGGGGGGGACCCGAGGGGGCCGGGACGGGGCCGGGGGGGACCGGGAGGGACCGGGGGGACACGGGGGGGGGTACGGGGGGGGGTCCGGGCTCGCCCCTCGCTACCTTCGCGGGCCTTCAGCAGCACGGTGTTGGCCACGATGTTCTCCAGCTCCATGGCGCGGCGGGGGGCGGCAGGGGGCGGCGGAGCCCCCGAGCTCCAGCCCCGGCCCCGGCGGCACGGGGCGGGCCGGGCCCCTCCCGCCGCCCCCGGGCTGCGTCACGGCCGTGACGTCACGGGCCGCCCCTTGGCGTCACGCCTTATGTAAGGGCAGCGCCGCCCCCCCCCCGGGACCCCCCCCCCTCCCCGGCACCGGGGCTCCTCCCGGCACCGCAGCTCGGGGACCCCCCCCCGGGGGCTGCGTAGCCCTCGCGCCCCTGCCCCAAATTCCCTCCCCTCCGGGCACGGCGACCCCCCCGCGGCACCGGGACCGGGGTCGGTGCCACGGACCCCGACGCCCCCCCGGTCCCCCCCCCCCCCCCCGGCCGGTGCCGTCCCCGAGCCGAGCCCCGGGAGCCCCGCGGCGCCTCCGGGTTTGTTTTCTTCTCCCCCCGCCCTCGGCGTTTCCGTGTCTGCGCCTTCCCTCGGGCCGAGCTCCCCCTGCAGCCCTCGGAGCGCGGCCACGGCCCCGGGGCGCAAACGGCCCCGGGGGGGCTGCCCGAGAGCGGCCGGACCCAGCCCCAGCCCCTTCGATGCTGGTGGCTTCTCCAGCCCCCTTTGTGCCAGCGCCCACCCCCCTCACAGAGGAAGCAGCGGGTTTGGGAGAAATCCGCTCCCCCAGGTCCCCCCCCCCCCCAGCAGCACTCGGGCACCCTCCCCACGGAGCGTTTCAGCCTCGCAGGGGGAAGGAACCAGCTCGGCTCCCCTCGCCCCCCAGCTTTGCTTCTCCCTACCCTCAGAGCTCCCGGCTGCTGCCCAAAACCCGGTGTGGGGGGGGCGCTGCCTTACCCCCCGGCACCCAAAAACACCCAACTCAGCTCGACCCCCACCTCTCCTACCTGCCCGAGCTGTGCCAGCTCCACCAAGGCACCGAATTTTGGAGATGCCTCGGGAGGAAGAGGGACGGATGGTGCTGGGGGCGGGGGCAGCCCAGGTGAGGCAGCTCTGTCATTAATTAGCAGGGAATTAATTGCAGCTGCTGGGAAGGAGCCGCACCTGGGGAGCAGGGGCAGAGCCCTCAGGGTGCTGCCCCCGGGGGTCTCACCTGGAGCTTCCACAGCAGCAGGGGTCCCCTCACTGCCCCAGCACCCCACGGGGTGGGGACCCCGCTTGAGGTCAGCGCGGGGCAGGTCCCACGTGCCAGCATCCAAAAATCAAGGAATGCACCCAAAACACAGCCCAAACCACTGCTGTTGAGATCAGGGATTTATTTACACATCAGGGGGAACTCTTGCCCAGAGTCACACGAGGAAAAAACAAACAAAAAGACCCGAGGGGCTCCCCTCGGAACAGACCCTCCCTCGCTCACCAGAGCCTCAGAGGGCAGCCCAACGCCACCGCTCCTCCTTCTCCACACGGAGGAACCAAAACCATGATTTTTTAAGTTGTCTGCGCCACAGAAAACACAATTCTGAGATAAAGGCAGCCTTCCTGGGGAGCTTTGCATCAGCACGCGGGCGGGCGGCCCCCCAGCCCCGCCGCGGGGGTCGCGTCCATGGCGGCCCCGTCAGTACTCATCCAGGGTGTCCGCGCGCGGCACCGCCAGGCCCCGCTCCTTCAGCGCCTGCACCTTCAGCTTCTCCGACTCCTGCTTGGCCTGCAGCTCCAGCCGCTGCTCCTCCAAGATCTCCTCGATGGAGACCTGCTGCAGCGGCGTGTCGCTCTCCTTCTCCAGGTCCTGCAACGCAAAGCACGGGGGTGGCACCGTTGGGGGCACCGGGCTCTGCGCTCCCGGCACCACAGGCACTGCTGCACCCAGGACATTTTGCTCTGTCTGGTGCCCGGGTCCCCGGGGCAGGAGGGTCCCTGGGGGCAGGAGGGTCCCCGGGGGGAGCAGCCACAGCAGGATTTGCCTCCCAAGCCCGGGGTGGGCTCCGCGGGGGGTCCCAACCTCGGATTTGGTGCTTGGGGTAAAGCCACCTCCACGCGAGCCCCCGATGTGCCCGGAGGGGGTGAAGTTTGGGCAGCCCCTGAAGGTCTGAGGGCAGAGATGGGGGCACCGCCGGGGTGGGGGCAAGCAGGGAACCACCCCCAGTGACACCGAGTGCCTGCAGCTGGGGGCACCTGGGTTTTGGGGCAGGCTCCTGGGTTTTGGGGCAGGCTCCTGGGGGGCACCCAGCAGGACACAGAGGGACAAAGTGACACCAGACGGGACAGCAGCCGCCCCCCCAGCACCCCTCGGGGCCAGCAGGGAGGTGAGCGCTGTCCCCAGGCTGTCCCCACGGCTCCATCCCCCCCCCCGGCACCCCCAGCACTTACTTATTACTTACTATTTCCCCCAGCAGGACGACGTTCTCGCCCCTGACGACGAAGATGCCCCGGGGGATGTCCCCGTACTTCTTGCCCACGTGGATGCGCTCCACGGTCTGGTGCAGCACCAGGTTCGCTGTGACGATTACAAGGAAAAAAAAATAAAAAAAATGAGAAAAAAAAATAAAAATCACATTTTCACTGCATTTTGTGGCTGAAAGGAGCAGCCCTGGGCAGCGAACGCCGGGCTCCGTGGCCAAATTGTGCCGCAGGAGCAGCCTCAGCCCAGGGGCAGGAAGGGAGAAAAATAACGAAAATTGCCCAATTTATGGGGAGCCCCCCCCAAAACCCCAAAACCCAGCAGCTGGGAAGGAAGGGGCGATCCTGCAGCCCCGGCCGGGGACGGGATTGGTGACCCCAAGGACGCTGACACCGGGTGCCCCCCCCCCACCTCCCGGTGACCGGCACGACCCTCCCCCCGCCCCCCCGTGTCCCCCCCGTACCGAACTGGTCGATGCTGCGCAGGAAGCCGATCAGCGTCCGGCCATCTCGCAGCAGCACCAGGTGCTTCTCTGCGGGAAACGGGCGTCAGGCGGAGACCCGGTACCGGGGGGGGGCCCGGTAACGGCGGGGGGCACTGCCCGGTGCCCGGGGATGGGACCCGGACCCCCCCCCCCAGGGGATGGGGACGGGGTTGGGGGCAGGGACCCGGCTGCCCCCATGGGGAGCGGTGCCTGCAGGGCAAGGGGGGCAGCCGGCACCGGGGACGGGGGCACCGGGGGGTTACCAGGGGTCAACCGGGGGGTTACCGGGGGGCACCGGGGAGGGACCGGGAGACACCGGGGAGGGACCGGGAGCGCCTGGAGGTTACCAGGGGGGCACCGGGGGGACACTGGGAACGCCTAGAGGTTAAGCAGTGGGCACCGGGGGGTTACCGGGGGCACCTGGAGGTTACCGGGGGTCAACCGGGGGGTTACCGGGGGGCACCGGTGGACACTAGGGGATTACCGGGGGCACCTGGGGGTTAAGCGGTGGGCACCGAGGGGTTACCGGGGGGTTACTGCGGGGCACCGGGGGTCAACCGGGGGGTTACCGGGGGGTCAACCGGGGGGTTACTAGAGGTCAACCGTCCCGGTGCCCGGTGCCCGCTGCCGGGCAGCACTCACTGTCGATGTCCTGGATGAGGCTGGCCGTGCCCGGCATGTAGTTCATGGTGCCGGTGCCTCGGCGCCGAGCGGAAGCGCCGCCATGCGCCGCGGGGACCGCCCCGGAACCGCCCCGCGGCACCGAGCAGGGGGGGGAGGAAGGGGGGCGCTGCGCCTTTAAGAACCGCGCCGAGCCCTGCGCGCGGGGAGCTCGCCCATTGGCCGAGCCGCGGCGGGCGCCGCCGCTCATTGGCTGAGCCGCGGGGAGGGGCGGGGCCGGCCGGCGGCCATGGAGCCCCGCGGTAGCGCCGCGCCCTGGGCCCCGGGGCCGCCGGCGGGGCAGGTACGGGGGGGGCGGGGCCGGGAACGGGGGGGGGGGCGGGGCCAGGAGGGGGCCGGGGGGCGGGGCCGGGGGGTCCCGGGGGGGGGGCGGGGGGGGGGTCGGGGGGGGATCGGGGGTCCCGGGGCTGTGCCCGGTGCTCCCGGGGGCGGCCCCGGTGTCCCGGGAGTGTCCCGGGAGCGCCCCGGGCCCGGAGCGCAGGGAGCGGCCCCCCCGGGGGGGGTGTGCGTGGGGCCGGGAGGAGGAAGCGGGGCCCGGCCGGGTCCCCCGGGGCGTTTTGGCACCTCCCGGTTTCGGTGCCGGGGCTGAGCCTCCCGGCAGCTCCCCCCGCCTGTCCCCGTTCGTCCTCCGCAGGGCATGGACTCCCCGTACAGCACCGGAGCCTACAGCGCCCCGTACCCCCCCGCCGCCCCGCACTACCCCGGCCCGCCCCAGCCTCGGGGGTTCGGCTCCTCGGGACCCCCCCGGAGCCCCTACCCCGCCGAGCCCCCGGCCAGGTACCGGCCCCCCCCGGCCCCCGCCGCTCCCTGGGGTTACGGCACCGCGGACAGCCTGGAAGCGGCCCCGCTCCGGCGGCAGCACGGCCCCGGGTACTCGCCCCCGCAGGTAAGAGGGCGGCCGTGGGGGGCGAGGAGTTTTGTGGGACCCCGGGGGAGGGGAGGGGAGGCCCCCCCAGTGCCCCCTCTGATGGGATTTTGGGGCCCTAAATGGCTTTAATGTCCCCAAAAGCCCGTCCCTATAAATCCCCATAACCGCCCCTCTCTCCTCACCCCACAATTTGGGGGGCAGCAGGCAGCGGGTGGCAACCCCAATGCTGCGGCTCACCGGAGGTGTATGGGGGGGCTGCGGGCACCCACGGGGTAACGCCTGTCCCCCCCCCCTCCTCCTCCCGCAGACCCCCGGGATGCCGGTCCCGCAGTACCCATATGGAGACGGCCACCTCGGGACCACCCCGCAGGGCCCGCAGCCCCGGCCCCAGGAGGACGCCTGGGCTCCCCCCACCGCCTACGGGGCGCAGCCACGGAACGCCTGGACCACGGCGCACGGGAACCCCTTTGGCACCGACCCGCACCCTGCGTGGGGTGGCGGCAGTGGGGCTGCGTCCTACCCGCCCCCCCGGGACTCCAAGGTACGGGGGATGCTTTGTGCGGGGTCCTGGTTGTGGTCAGACCCCTCAGATCCCGGTGTTTTCCCCAAAACCTGCCCCTGTCTCCAAGCCCAGCTGGTTTCTGCGTAGAAGCAAAGGTTGTGTATCAAATCTCCTCTTTGTGCATCAAAATCTGCAGGTGTAATTCCAGAAAGCCCCGCAGGCACCAGGTCTCTGGGGATAAGGAATTAAAAAGGGGCAGCTCTCACCTCACACCTCGCTCTGGCGCAGCTCACGGTGTGGGAGCAGCAGGCAAAGAGCGGGGGCAGCCCTCTGGGTCGGTTTGCAGACTCTGCTGTTCCTCTGCAAGTGCTTTTTGCCTGGTCTTCCCCTAAATAAGAAATCTTTTAGGCAGCAAATACAGAGAAATGATGCACCTGGGGGCGGGCTGTCACCTCGGATCCCTCTGGGTTTGACCCAGAGGCTGCCACGTGCAGCAGCAGCCCTGGGGGGGTGTTGGGAGCAGTTCAGCGCTGTCAGCTGGGGAGAAGGATTTTTGGAAGGGCCAGGGGGGACCTTGCTGGGATCTGTTCAGCGTTTATTTTTTTTCCACTCTGATTGTAGGAAACCGCTTACGACAAACCTGATCCGAGCCCAAACCAACACAACTACTACTGCGATGTCAGCCACCAGCAGGCTGGGGCAACGAGCGACCACAAGGCACCCCCCGCGCCGCCAGCCCCCCGGGTGCAGTACAGCGCTCAGCCCCAGATGTACGGCGCTGCCCCTCGGAAGCCTCCGGCTGGGAAGCAGGAGGGAGGCCTCAGGGGGGGCGAGCAGATCCAGCCGGAGATCCAGAGGATCCTGCACATCACCAGGGCGGCTGCGCAGCTGGAGCAAGAGGTGGATGAGTTTGTAGGGAAAAAGACAGATAAATCCTACCGGCTCCTGGAGGAGATGTTGACCAAGCTGCTGTTGGAACTGGATTCCATTGAGACTGGTGGCCAGGACGGCGTCCGGCAGGCCAGGAAAGAAGCTGTCCACAGAATTCAGGCCATTCTGGAAATACTGGAAAGAAAGGGATTGTGAGAGCCTGTCAGCCACAACACAGCCACAACACAGCCTGCTGCTGAGGTTCCAAAGAGTTTTAGTTCTGCTCAATGTCAGCTCTTTCTGCTAAGCACTATTGACAATGGAAAGCAATAAGCCCTGATTTAAAAAAACAAAACAAAACCACGGAAAAGCCCAGCCCCACGAGATAAGTTGGCAACGGACAAATTAAGAGGAGATGGAAGCAGCAAAACGAATCGTGTGTTCCAGGCTTTGGAAAAGCAGCACCACCTGAGGTACCAACCCCTGCACAGGTCCCTGGGGGGGCTGCATCCTCTGAACAAGAAGAAAATCACTGCAAAATTCCCCACCTCGTGGAGCCACAGCCCTGGGAACAGCTGGAATACCCCCAGATCTCATCACAAAGGCACCGTGCAGCCGTGAGCCGAGCCCCTGAGCCTGCCGACCACTGCGTGTGCTTTCAGCTTCAGATCCCTTGCCATAAAAGCTGGTGCGTGTCCTCGGGGTGCTGCTTGTTTTCAGTGCTGCAGGACGTGACCCTGCTGGCAGCGTGCTCAGCACGGCAGCACCAGCGCCCGTCGCGTCGCGCCGTTCCTCCTGTCGTGGGGAGCTGCCCCGTGGTGCCCGGTGTGGCTGCAGGAACGCAGCCTGGAGCCCTCCGAGCTCTGCCTCTGGAAAAGACGGGCACGGCCAGAAGTGTTGTCACAGGGCAGCCCTGGACAGAGGGAGGCATAGGAATGCTTTTCAGGTCACTCGGGTAAAAATCCACTTTTTAATTGTAACGTCCTCTCACCTACTGCGACGTCTGTGTCCCGCTGCACACCCCCTGCTCAGTGGCACTGGACGGGGCAGGGACGGGAGGAGCTCAGCCTGCCACTGACCCTCGGGTTACAGCACGTTCAGTGAATCATTACTGCGTGTAACGAGATAATAAACCCTGACAACTTTTAAATGCTGTTTTGTAATTACGATCTCTTGAAGTCTCTTCTTTTAAAGGGAAGTCGTGTGCACGGTTGCGTAACTGAGACCTGCCCATGACCAAAATACCAGCCGGGTTGTCTCAGCAGCTGAAGGTTAGGGATGAACGCAGCTCAGCAGCAGCACCAAGGGTGGTTTTTTTTGGGGGGTATTTGGGTTTGGGGGCCCCCATCCGCTCCCAAGCAGAGGCTCCAGGAGCCCTCGCCTTGCTCCAGGGGTGGCGGCCGTGTTTCGGAAGGGATCTGGAAGGGAACTCAGCCTTCCTGAGGCCAGGAGCCCCGACCTTGTGCTCCGCAGGCTGGCGGCCAGCTGCTGTCCCCAAGGAGCCCGGCAGATGCCACGTCGGTGACGGAGCGGGCTGCGCGCACGGGACTGACCTTTGGGGCTCTTTGGATGCGATCACATGCGGCAGGCAGCCCGCAGGAATGGCCCGGTTGGAGGCCAGCCAGGAAAAAGCCGAATGTCCTGGGACTGGTAAATGCCTGACGGCGATTTCGTGCCATCCTCTTGTCTGCAAGCCTGCAGCTTCTCCAGGCATTAATCAATCTGTGCTGCCGGTGGGTGATTCTTTTGGTGAGATTATTTGTGGTGGGGATGATTTCCGCGCAACCCCCAGAGGAACGAAGAGCAGCGCTGCGGTGTCATTACCCTTATCGGTTCATCTTAGGGCTGAAAGTCTTGGTAAACGCTGCCTCTAAGGCCCCAAAATCTTTCCCAGGAGCCTGCTGCAGGCTCACTGAGTGAGTTTGACCCAGCAATAACTTCATTTAGTTTTCTGGAAAGGAACAGGGGCAACAACATCGGCACCCGGTGTGCTGGAGTTGTTGGATCAGAGGTGGCCAAGCAGGAGGTGAGCTCCCTTCCCACCCGAGAGGCACAGCCTGCATGGCAGCGGGGTGGGGGGCTGACACAGACATGCTCCGCAGCAGGGAGGAGGGGGCTTTGCCCCCAAGAAGGGGTCGCACATCACCGACAGCCCCAGAGGCTGCTCCTCGATGCTCTGCAGCAGCTTGCTCGCCTTCAGTCCTGGTTAGCAGCTCAGGAACGCTACCGTGCGTCGCCGTGGATAGCTGTAGGAAGGGCAGATCCCCTGAGCAAAGGTCAGAAGCTTTTGGAAATCCCTCCCCAGCACGGCCCACGGAGCTTTCCTGGTAACTGAGGCCGTGTGGGTGAGCCACCGGGCGAGCTGGCGGAGCCGGCCGGGCGGCACCGCACCGCACGCTGCTGCTGGCGAGGGCTGCAGGACAGGGGGGAGGCCTGGAAGGAGAGCACGATCACGCTGCTTCTTCTCGCTTCTGCCCTCCAGGTTCAGCTCCACGTCCAGGCCCAGGCTGCCAGAGCTCCCCAAGGAGTTACCAAAGAGCTCGTTTCTCCCCGTTCCCACATTCGTTTTGTTTCATTGGCGTGGGTGTCGAAATAAAGGTCTGGGTTCCCTTCGAGCAGGATCCAGCCACGGGCTGGAATTGGTTCTCGCAAGAGGCGGTGTGTTAATCACACCTCAACGAACATGAAATAAAGTGAAATCACTCGGTTCTTGAACCGGTGCCCTGTACGGCACGGAGAGCTGCAGGGGTGCCCGCAGCCTGCCCCGGCCTGCTCTCCTGCTCAGTCTCTGCCCTGCCGGTTGCCAGCAGAGGCAGCCCGGCTCCAGCCGTGCGAGGAGGCGCCTGGAGCGACCCCGGGTACCTTGCAGCCTCCCCGGCACTGCAATGCAGGGAGAGGACACAAAGCTGCACACGCCGCTGCCGTATCACCAGCGCTCTGTGGACTGGTGCAAAGGTTTTCCTGCTGCGGGGATGAACGATAACTTTATCTAATCGTAAGGAAAACTGGAGGTGTGCGCGTGGCATAGCAGCAGACAATGCCTGGAGGAGGGGAGGTGGGTTTGGGTTTTGGTGTTTTGGTGCCGAACCCATCCAGGTAACAGATCCCTTCACGATGTTTCCTCTTCCGGAGCTTCAGTCCCTGTGTATGGGAAGGACTTGGCAGGGGGTGATGTAAATCCCAATCAAAATCACACAAAATAAAACCGAAAAGCGGGCTGACACAGCAGCGTGCTCCGGCAGGGCTGGTAATTTGGGGCAGATCTGTGAAAACGTGACTCCGAATTATGCTTCCAACCGAGCAGCAGCCGGCGTGGCCCTCGTGCAGATGGGGTCACCTCACTTTCCCCAAATCCCTGCCCAATGTGGGGGGGCAGCGATGTGATTAGGGCACACTGGCGGTGCCCCCCGTGGGGTCCCCACTGCCTTCCACCCCCTCAGAGCAGGGCCCAGGCTGCTCCCCGCAGGGCCGCAGCACCCATGGGTGCCCAGCGGAGCGGTGATGCTCACAGCCCCTTGCTCTGCGGGTGGAAAAACGAGGATTTGGGGTTTTTTGCAGCGGTGTTTTTAGCTCTGTGCTCCTGGCAAGGGGCCGTGGCGAACCTCCCCCCAGCCCCCGGGCCCCCCGCCTCTAAAAGGGCTCCCCACCGGGCTCCGGCCCCACCGAACCGGGGGGGGGTCGCGTTTGTGGGGCCGACCCCAACCCCAACCCCAGCCCCGGCCCCGGCCCCATCCCGGGGGCCCAGCAGCGGGCGGGGCCCGGTCGGGGAGCGCCGCCCCGGGCTGGGCCGGGCCGGGAGCGGGGCCGGGCCGGGCCTGCGCCGCCGGTGGAGCCGCCTCGGGAACGGGAGCGGGGACGGGGACGGGGACGGGGGCGGCGGGGGGCGACAGCAGCCGGGGCCCGGCCCGCGCCCTTCGGCCCGGTACGCGCCCGGTGCCCGGTGCCCATGGCCGGCCGGGAGCAGCCCCCGGAGCAGCCCCCGGTGGCGGCGGCGGCCCCCCCCGGCCCCGCCGAGCCCCGCTACGAGCCGGTGGCCCCGCACTGGTTCTACCGCAAGGCCGCCGAGCCCCGGGAGCGCTGGGTGCCCTTCAGCGCGCAGGACTCGGCCCGGCTGGAGGAGGCGCACGGTGCAGGTAGGGTGCGGGGGGTCCCAGCGGGGGTCTCGGACACCACCGGGCTCCCGGGGGGGGCTGCAGCACGCTGGGGGGCTCGGGGGGGGGCCCGAGGTGTGGGGGTGCGGAGTGACCCCCGGGGAGGTGGCAGCACCCCCACAGATCCAGCTGCCAACGCGGCCGGGCGCTGGGTGCAGCGGGTGTGCCGACCTGGTTTGGCGGCACGTGCTCGAAATGATGTATAATTGATTAAAACGATGGGTAATTGATTAAAATGATGGGTAATCACGCTGCGAAGGGACCCTCTCTCTAGGGGATGGGATGGTGCAAATGGCACCGGGGAGATGTCCCCGTGTGGGCAGCCGGCGGTGCCTGGCTCCGGACAGGGCCCTCGTGCTCGGCCAGGGGCTCGGTGCTTTCGGCTCACCTGGGGGATGTCTGACATGGGGCACGTCCCTCCTGGGGTGCTCTCTGACACCATTCCCTGTGCTCGAGTACCGGGAACACGGGTGGTTGTTGCCACTTCTCATCCATGGTATTCATGTGCTACCCACGGAAGGTGCTCCGGTCGCAGCCCTCTGGTCATGCACAGCACAAAGCTTTTTGGTATTTTGCCTTCCTGGGCCTCTCATGTGTAATTTCGGGCTTTGGTTCCTGCAGGAAGAGAGAAAGAAGCCGTGGTTGTCCCGACGTCGGGGGGTCGGTACGACGTTCACCTGAAGCAGAGGCAGCGCGTGGCGGTGTACTGGGAGGAGGAGGTGTCCGAGGTGCGCCGCTGCACCTGGTTTTACAAGGGAGACAAGGACAACAAGTACATTCCCTACTCGGAGGCCTTCAGCGAGGAGCTGGAGGTAAACACGCCTTGCCTGACAGCATCCACCGGGCCCTCTAATTCTCAAACCCTGGCCCTGACATCCCAAACTCCATATGGGGCTACTGGCACCGCGGTCACGCCTGAGGACATGAACTCAAAAGAGGCTTTGGCAGGACATTTTCACAGCTGATTAACATAACTGTAAATACTGCCACTGTCTCCTTCTGGCCTGCTGGAGCTCGGCGGCCTCCCCTTCCTCCTGCCCCCACCCAGCAGCATCCTGCATCCCTCTCCTCAACAGCCCGCTTGTTCTCTGCGAGCCGTGCGGCTCGGGCCATGCTTGCAGCCTCTCCCTAGCATCCTTGTTCTTTTTTTTTTCTCCTGACCCTGCCTGTTACAACTTCTCCCTGAGAGAATCATCCTCGCCACGCTCACAGCTCCACCAAGCCCAAAGGAGTTGTAAATGTAAGAGTATTTATTTACGCACTTACTTACAATCGTCCGTATCCCGATGTGCCAAAAACGCAGTTCTGAACTGATTCTGAGGGGGAAGTCAGTTGCTGCCATGGAGATGGGGACGTTTTAGAAACTTCCTAGGAGGTGATATTTAGATAACCCTGCCTCTTCCCCAATTCGACCTAGCTGATTTCTATTCCTCTTTCACAAAGTGATGCCTTAAAATGGATGGGAAATGTCTCAAGTGGTTGAATATCCGTGGGCATACCTCCAGCTGACTCACGGGGGCATTCTTTTCCTCAGGAAGCTTACATGATTGCTGTAACCCTGGACGAGTGGAAGAAGAAACTGGAGTCCCCTAGCAGGGAGATCATCATCTTGCACAACCCAAAGGTGAGGAGAGTGATCCCTCTGCGGGCTGGCGAGGACATTCCTCAGCGATGGGAGAAAGCCATCACGTGCCTCCCCTTAGCTCTCTTGGGAGCCTGTCATTCTGCTTTTATGCGGTTTCTTTTAACCACCTCTGCTTAGAAATCAATTTTGTCTGAATGGCATTCCCCTCTCCTGCCTGCTGTAGAGCCGAGGGCGATGCTAGCGGTGTTTCACACTGTAACATTTATCTCCAGGCACCTCTCACTCTGTACAAAGGGCTCGTAGCAGCTCGGTTACAGCAGCGTGACCTGGGACCTCTCTGTACCTCCCGTATCAGCCATTGCAGCGAAACGTCCCCTCTGCTTAACCACAGCGTGCGCTGCAGCTTAATGACAGGCTCTCCTTGTTTACAGCTGATGGTGCACTACCACCCGGTTGCCACCTCTGATGATTGGGGCTCAACTCCTACAGAACAAGGTCGGCCTCGGACTGTGAAGAGAGGAGTAGAAAACATCGCCGTTGAGATCCCCAACGGTGAGCTTGCTTCTCCCTCCCTTAAGCCCAACCAAAGCTAGCAAGTCTGTTTTCCACGCAATTTCTCAAAAAGACCATCAGAAACATCCATAATCCTGACCAATGAAGGGCACCTCTAAAAGTTTTGTGCCAAAAGGATACGAAAGGTTTTTAGAAACCTTCGTAGTGCCCCCAGTGCACATCAGTGCAGAGAGGAGGCAGACGCGTGGGAAGAGAGCTGCTCCCAGCTCCTGCGCTCTGAAACCAGAGCTGCTGAGAGCGCCGGGGTGCCTGAAATTACTCCTGAGGTTTTGGCAGGTATGTTCTTAAAGGAGGGAGTTTCCTTCCGTGCTGGGGACACCAAAGCTTACCACCCAGCCTTCCGTGCTGGAATCTGGCTCGTGTGCTCTCCCTGTCTCTGCAGCTGCGGATCAGCTCTGAGCTGCTGTCAGGCTGCAAGACTTGTCCTGTTGGTGAGGACAGGCATTTTTTCCCATCTAACGCCTTTGTTTTCCATGCGCGTATGCCTTTGGGAAAGCATTTATGCAAACTAAAGTGTGTGGGAAGTCGGGACCAAAATGCTTGAGAGGCAGCTCCTGCCGGAGCGCTGAGCCTTGGCTGTGCTCAGGCTGGGTGACTCGAGGCTGTGCACAGGGCAGCTGCAACAAGTCCTCGGGGTCGTGCCCTCTCCCTGTGCCAAACGTGGAGAGTGACAGCATGGGTGAAGCTCCTCGAGCCACCTCACCTTCCTGCGCTGTCCCCTCCATCTGGACCCATCCCAGGTGGGAAGGGGAATTCAGCAGGACAGAACTCAGCAGGTCAAGGAGTTCAGAAACTCGAGAAGTGCCACTGCCTTAAGGCACACGCTCAGGGCACCAACTCACTTTTTTAGATTATTTTTTTTTAACCTGGGCTGAGATGAGGCTGGCAGGCTGGCACTGTCCTGCAGAGCACGTGGTGTCACCGGGTCGGCTCCTCCTTCAGTGGTGGTCTCTGGCAGGGTCTGCATCCTGACCTCTTCTGTTTATCCGCAGGAGAGCCTCTGCAGATCGATCACCTGGTGTTCGTGGTGCACGGCATCGGCCCAGCCTGCGACATTCGGTTCAGAAGCATCGTCCAGTGTGGTAGGTGGCGAGCCAGGCTGGGGAGCTCCTTCCATGCGCTGCGTTCAGCACAGCGAGTAAACCTTCTGCATGGACAGTGGGAATCGCTGTCAGAGCACATTCAAACCATCCTGACACTCATCTTGGCAAGCCGCGCTGCTGAATTTGCTGACTGCAATGGGGAGTGTGAATACAATACTTGCTAATCCATTAAATCCTACCATCTGGAAAGGTTTGGGCAACCACTTTTCATCATTGCATTCCGCTGCTGCTCAAAATAGTGAGCTTCCCAAACTGGATACAGATTTTCCAACTGTCTAAACCTGCTAAACTAATTAGTAACCTGCTCAGTCTATTGCTCCAGGTTAATCTCGCTGGGTGTAACACCAGCCCGGCAGCCTCTGGCATGATTTTGGACAAAACCCCAGGGACGCTGCTTCCGGCTCAGGAAATCCCTGAAGTGCAAATCCCTGCAGGCTAGGGGAGCGTAAGAGGAAGCTGTTGAGTGCTGTTGTCGTGTGCTCCTCCAGACATCCAGCACTGATCAGTACCCGAGGCAGGACACTAAGCAGAACGAACTCCAGCCTGACCTGTTTCGTAGTTGTAGTTCAGAGGCATTCAGTTCTGATGAGAGGTCATCACCGAAACTGCCTGGAAGCCCAACACCACCTAACTTGTACAAATCAAGAGAGCTGGGGTTTTTCACAGCAGGCTCTCTTTAATGCAGTCTGTTCTTCTATACGTTCATGCAAAGAAACTATTTCCAAGGCTGCTCATTTGAAATCAGGGAAATCAGCCTCTTACCTCCTCAAAACAGTAATTTCAAGTTGTCTCCTCCCTTAGGATTCCCTTTCTAACGTATGCATCTTCACAATGGTTTCTTTCTTCTTCTAAATTCCTACAAGTACCTTCCTTATCTTGACTGCCGTGTTAAAGCCCTGCACACGTGGAAAGGAGGCTTGTTACAGATGGGGCAGCAAGATCCAGTAAACACACATGTAAGGACATGGAGCCGTCCCCTGATCTTGTAGTTAAAGATTCAAGGTCTTAGGGTAGCAGCAGCTTAAAGACCCTGGTGGGATTTCCCCCGGTAATGATCTTTTCTTTTATCTTATTAAGTGTTGTTGATGCAGCAGGCTTGCCCTGTAGCCCTGCTGCTCTTGAGAAGAGTTCATGTTTGTTTTTTTCCAGTGAACGACTTCAGGAACGTTTCCCTGAGCATGCTGCAAGCACACTTCAAGAAAGCCCAGGAGCAGCAGCAGATCGGCCGCGTGGAGTTCCTGCCCGTGAACTGGCACAGCTCCCTCCACTCCACCGGGGTGGACGTGTAAGTGTCTGCAGCCAGCCCCCTCCCACCGAAATGCTGCTTTTTGTGGCAGCTGCTGCAGACAAAGGGAAAGCCGTGAGTGTTCAGGGCTGTGTGTGCACGGGTGACCAGGGCAAGGAGCACCCCGTGCACACCCCCACCCCTGTGCCCAGCCCGGCTCTGCAGAGCGCAGCAGGTGTCTGAGCTGATCAGCACGCAGCCGCAGGGAAGAAGCTTCTGCCTTTTCTTAGCTAAGATTAGAAGGGGCCATGGGCATCCACATCTCTTTAAATAGGACCTCTGGAAATGGAATACCCCATTTCAGCACCTACAGACCGCTCTGCAGTGCCCTAGGAGGGGGAAAAAGCAGGTTGGGTTCCTGGGGAAGGAAGGACAGGCTCTTGTGCTCCTGCCTAAGGAGGTTCCTGGGTGCTCAGGCAGAGCACAGGCTGTGCTCCAGATTTAGCCTCTGCTGAAGAATCTGGGTTACAACATCACATCCTTTGCGACGTGACAGTCCTTCCCTCAGCTTCAATTTTGCCTTAGAAATCTGCTAGGGTTCAGGGGCACCTCTGACAGCAGTTTCCTCTCCTCTTCTTGGCCCCTGCAGGGACCTGGAGCGAATCACTTTGCCAAGCATCAATCGCCTGCGTCACTTCATCAACGACACCATCCTGGACGTTTTCTTCTACAACAGCTCCACCTATTGCCAGACCATCGTGGACACGGTGGCGTCCGAAATGAACCGCCTCTACCAGCTCTTCCTGCAGAGGAACCCCCACTTCAAAGGGGGGGTCTCCATCGCGGGTCACAGCTTGGGTAAGGAATTCCCCGCGGTCCCAGCGAAGTGGCTGTCACCACGGTGTCCCCAAAGCATGGCAGCAGGGAGGGTATTGGTCTTCCCAGCCCAGAAGGGAGATGGCTCGGGGTTTTTCCTTGACTAGATGCCGATGCTTTTTCCATCTGTGCTTTGTTTCCAGGGTCACTAATTCTGTTTGATCTCCTGACGAACCAGAAGGCTGCTCCCGAGGAGGACGAGCAGAGCAGAGAGGTAGGAGCTCGCTGGCTGAGCAGGGAGCCAGGGCATTCCCACAGCACTGTGTGGGGAGCTGTGCTGGGGCGGGGGAAGGAGGAGAAGGTCCAAACTGCAGGAAAATAAATGAGCAGAAAGCACAGCCCCTGGTGGCTCTATTCACAGGGCTCCAGGACAGCCTCGAGCAACACAGGCATTGAGGAATTAAAAGAAATTCTGGAGAAGCTGGAGCTGTCTGAATACTGCGATGTTTTTGAGAAGGAGAAAATGGACAGGGAAGCACTGGTAAGGAGCTCTGTTATTTATTTATTTTTTTTTGCCATCTCTTGTATTTCTTCTTTGTTTTTCTTGCCAGTCCTCCCACCTGTCTTCCTGGTACTGAGTCACTTGCACATGAAACTTCTCTGCTCCTGGGCTAACAGCTGCACTGCTTACTTTCTAGTTCTTGTGCACAGAGGAAAACCTTAAAGAAGTGGGAATTCCCTTAGGACCAAGAATGAAGATCCTCAATTACATCAGCTCCAAGAAGGAGAGGCAGGTATGTCTCCTGGGTGGCTTACCTTCACCCAGACCATGTCCCTTCAACGTCCCTTCACTCACACAAGGAGCAGCATCACCGTTGACGATCGCGGTACGCGGGATGCGAGGTGTCAGTCCCTGTGCACCCCAAATGCCTCATTCCTGGCTGTTCCTATTTAGACAGCTTTCAGGGGCTCACGTTTGGAGCTAGTGTTACGGATGTGGCCCTCCCACAGGGTCTCTGTCCCGTAGCCAGGAGGGGTGACCCCAGAGCAGGATGCTGTGCCCGTGGTGGCAGCCACCGAAGCGCAGGGGTAGTGTTGCCTCAAACACAGGGAAGGTGCTCAGGAGGAGCTTCTCTCCTTCACCACCGCCAGCCCTGGTTCTGGAGGGGTAGGGGTGAGGGCAGCTCACGGCCTCGCTGCAGGATCTGCCCCTGCAGGGTTCTCTCTGTGTTGCTGCAGGGCGCCAGCGAGCGGGGCGCAGCAGCGCCTGGGCACAGCGGGCAGGCTGGCCCCGATGGCACAAGTGACAGCAGGGACTGCCAGTACAGGGACATCGGCTTGGGACAGGTAAGGGCTGAGCTCGTCGCTATCCTTGAGCAACAAAGCACCTGCAGCACCAGCATGAAGTCTGTCTCATGAAACAAACCCAAATCTCCCTCCCCTAGGTCTCGGCAAACTATCCCCAGCTGATCTACAAGCCCACCATCTTCTTCGCTTTTGGGTCTCCCATTGGGATGTTTCTCACGGTGCGAGGAGTGAAGAGGATCAACCCCAACTACAGCCTGCCCACCTGCAAAGGCTTCTTCAACATCTTCCACCCTGTAGGTATAGGAGGCAGAGCCCTCCTGTGCGGGAGGCACGGCGTGCGCCTCGCTCACTGCCCTCCTCCTCCGCACAGTTCGACCCGGTGGCGTACAGGATTGAGCCCATGATTGTCCCGGACGTGGAGTTTGAGCCCATGCTGCTGCCTCACCACAAAGGCAGGAAGAGGATGCACCTAGGTAAGGGGCACGGCCGCTTCCTCAGCCGGCCGCAGCTGCAGCCCCGGGGCTGACGCCGAGCCCCTGCCTTTCAGAGCTGAAAGAGGGGCTGACGCGCATGAGCGTGGACCTGAAGAACAACCTGCTGGGCTCCCTGCGGGTGGCCTGGCAGTCCTTCACCCGCGCCCCGCTGCCAGCTGTGGAGGCCGGGAGCACCGACGTGGAGGCAGAGGAGGCCGAGGACAGCGTGGAGAAGCAGACGGGTCCACCAGGTTGGTGGGGGGCGCGGGGCGGTGGGGAACGAGGGATGCAGCATCACCACCAGCCCCCAAAGAGGCTCCTCGGGGCTGCCTGTCACCCATCCTGGTGTCAAAGCCAGGTGCTGCTGCTGTCCTCTGCACTCAGCAGACAGATTGCCTTCAAGCTGCACCCGTGGTCTCTTCAAATGCTGTGACCTCTCCCTCCTCCTCCTGTCCGTGGGGGGGCACGGCTATGGGCTGCACTTTGTTGGGTGCTGGTGCCCCGTGGCTGAAGCACACTCCTCTTCGCTCCTCCAGACGTAAAGCCAGAAGAGCCCCCGCCAGCAGCGAAGGAGGAGGCCTCCCCCATCAACGTGGGGAGGCTGAACGGAGGGAATCGCATCGACTACGTGCTGCAGGAGAAGCCCATCGAGAGCTTTAACGAGTATTTATTTGCACTACAAGGGCACCTCTGCTACTGGTAAGCTTCTGCGTAGCTGTCAAGCTCCAAATTTCTGTCCCATATCAGCAGAATAGTGTCATTTTTAAAGCCAGCGTAATAAGAAAAGCTTTAAGTGAGGAAGCAAGGTACATTCCTGTCTCATACCGATGCAGGATGGGGGGTGGGAAGGAGGCTGCTGTGTTCTTGCCTGGCACTGGCAGAGGCTGCACCTACCCCGTGGCCATCATGATGTCCTGAGAGCAGAGGAAGTGTCCTCCTCTAATGCCCATGTCCCCCTCCTCCAGGGAGTCAGAGGACACGGTCCTGCTGGTGCTGAAGGAGATCTACCAGACCCAAGGCGTTACACTGGATCAACCTTTGCCTGGAAGCCAATGACCTGCCTGGGCTGTTCTGGCCGCCTGACGTAAGTCACCTTGGCTGTGCTTTTCACATTTCCTGGGACACCTCAGAGGACACGTGGTCCATCTGAGGGAATGATGTTCCTTACTTACAGCCCTGCAGCCAAGGCAGGGATCTGTGTTGGGCTTTTGAGTCTATTCCTGTGTTCTCTGTTGGCTTTTTTAGATATGATTCAACCGAGTACTCACCAGGAAAGTCCAGACTTCTTCTCTGCCTTCCTCTCTTCTCTGCTGCTGTGTCCCGCATGCTGCTTCCCCAGTACTTGCTGCTACCTGGAGATAAGGACGATTTTCCTCCGTTTTGGGTAGGGTGAAAAAAAATAATTAAAGGAAACCACTTCTGCTCACACACACACACACACAGCACTCACACTGTGACTCCCTGTGCAATAACTACTCCTCAGCCCTGAGCTGCCTGCCCACCCTGAGGTTCTCTCACCAGCTCTGCAGCACTGATGCAGACTGGGTGCCTGAGCTAGGAATTGACATAGGAGGGGCCTGAACCCTGCTGCGGGCTTAGCGACACGACTGAGAGCTTGCAACCCTGAGAAATAAAAGCCTTAAACACGCAGCACGGAGAGAGCTCCTGCAGCCTTGCCGAGGGAAGGAGATGCTGCCTTCTCCTGGGAGGCCGAGGCGCTGCCTTTCTCCCTTCCGCAGCACAGGGCACTGGGCTCACGCTGCAGCCTTTGGGTGGTGCAGACAAGGAGCAGGGGCATCTGGTAAACAGGTAGGAGGTTGTGTGCCAGCTGTCCTCATTCCCTTGTCGCTGATGCTGGGCTGTGTGGGGCAGGATTGCCCCATCAACAAGTGGTGAGGGTGGCATGTTTGTGAGTACCTGACCTACTGAGGCTCCTGCCTGCTCTAACACCGTGGCAGCAGCCTCCCAGCACACCCAGGACCCCCCCAGGCACCGCGTGCGTTTCCCACAGGACCACAGCTAGCAGCTAGGTGTAACCATGCATGAGGGAAGTTTTACCTCCAGCTCCCAACTCCAGCTAGGCTGGGGAAAAGCAGCTGCCCCAGGCACTGCGGAGGCCTGGAGGGCCAGCTCCCTCCCGTGCTTTGCAGGGGATCCCACAGGGATCTCACGCCAGCCAGGCTCCAGTTGTTGTTTTTGTTTGCAAACACACAAAACTGAAGAAGCAAAAGCAGCTTTGCGTGCAGTGCGGGCTGCAGCTTGCTGCTCTGTTAGCTCTGCTCTAAGGGCAGCGGGGCCAGAGCCCCAGGTGATCCATGCCTTGTGACCAAAATCATCCAGGCTGACTCACTGCCTGGGCTGGAGCACAGAGCAGGGCAGAGGCAGATGTTTCGGTGACGTGTAAGGCCATTGCTTTGATAATACGGGACAGCCTTTGGGAAGAGCCAAGCCCCCTTCCCTCCCCCTGACTTTTGCCCTGCATGGGGTAATAAGCCTTGTTTCCACAGCCTCGGTTTGTTTGTCCTCTGTTGTACCACGTTATTTGCACTATTTGAAAGGTGTTGTTTGCAGCCTCCAACCTCCTCCCACCCCAAAGGGACTGACGCTGTTCTTTTACCTGACGGCAGAAACAGACATGCTGCTCAGTCGGAGCCTGAATTACTGATTGCTAAAGCGTCTCCTACAAGAGTAGGAAAAGGAACAGTCTTAACATGGGACATTCAACTCATGATCAGCTTTTTAAGTTATGCACTTTGTTTAAAAAAAAACAAAAAACAGAAAGGAAGAAAAAAAGAATTTTAAATGTTATTTAATGTCTTTTCCAGTAAAAGCCAACATAAATAAATAGATGACTCTGGCGTGTTCATGTTTGGAGGAGAGGGAGTGGGCTGAAGAACTTATATTTGCCTAATTTTAAGGGAAAGTTAAGCTATTTCTGTAATTTTTACTAAAGCTGCAGGGTCATACCTTGGATTTCTCAGCAGCACTCTGCCTTTCCAGTGTATGACAAAGCAAACCATGGCATAGGGACAGAACACCATTGAAAGGATGCTCTAAGACACTACTGCATTTTCTGCTGATTGTCATCTCTTCACACCTCTATTAAAGCCGCAAAGAAAGAGAAATCCCCACCTAGAGGCCCACGCAGACATACCAAAATAAATGGTTTGTTTATACAGCCATAAACCCAGTCACTGAAGCGAAGTTTTCAGTACCACAGCTCATTTGAAAAATTAAACTCATTTATTCACCAAATTGGAGAAAAAACAAAAACCAAAAACCAGGGTAGCACAATAATGCACAGAACAATCACGCTCGTTGCATCTTCTCTCTCCTGCACTTAAGCCGTGGTTAAAGGCTGCAGCCTTGCACTTATCACTCTAAATTAGTTCAGCTCTGACTGGGAAGACGCACATCACCCCGGCACCAAACAGGCCCTGCACTCGTTAGGACAGTTCCCGTGAGGAGGAGTGGGACAGGGTGGGTGGAAGGGGGATATCTGCCCGAGCTGTCTGGCCCAGGAACAGCCCCAGAGGGCACGGCACAGTCCCACTGCTCCGGGTTCCAGCTTCAGGACCTTCCGCAGCCAGGCTGTCCTGCTGACACAGGCTGCCAACCTCGCCTTCCATCGGGTCCAGAGGAAGGGACACCTACAAAACTCACAGAAACTAAACACAGGCCCCTGGACAGCACAACTTACCAACGCTGCAGAGCAGAGTTCCCGTTTGGGTTTCAGGCTCATCCCCCTTTGAGACAATTCCTGTGGGCCAGGACCAACCTCCTCCAGCCTCCCGAAGGTGCCAGCAGGACAGAGCCCAGCGTTAGACGTCCAGGTGAAAGCCGGCAGCCGCAGCCTTTTCTTGGTGCGCTGGCAGCTGCTTGGATTTAGACAGAGATGGTTTGTGGCACATGGAGTCCGTCAGAGGAGGGTAATACTGCCTGTAGCAGAGGTACGCAAGCACGAAGCCGATCACCGAGCCAACCAGCACATCTGCAAGGCGAGACCAGGAACAAGTGAGCTTCCTTCTGCCCTCACAACCCTCGGCAATGTTTTCCAGCACGCTGCTTTTCAGCTCAGGGCACCCAGCGGTGCCTGCCGACCCACCTTGCCAGTGGTGCTTGTGGTCGCAGATGCGGGACAAGGCGATGAGGGTGGCGAGGAACAGGGGGAGGAGGAAGGCGCAGAGCCGCAGAGCTGTGCCACGCTGCCCGGGGGCAAAGCAGTGCAGCTTCCCGGCCAGGTAGAAGGCACAGAAGGCGAGACCAGCGAAGGCAACTGGAAGAGAAGGATTTGCTTCAGGAACGGCGCTGGAGTTTCTGCTCACCACGCTTCATTGCCTGGGGATGCTGAGGACTTACAAGAAGCGTGGCCGCTGGGGAAGCTTTTGCGTCCCTCAGCCACGATGCTGGGGTCACCCGTGCACACCAGCTCTGCGTTCACTTGTCCGTCCGGGAAGCATCGATGGAAGAAATCCGGCCGCGGCCTGGGGCAAAGAAGCAAAGCCCAGAGGATGCTCGGGAGGCCTCGCCGTGCCCCCTCACAGCTAGGGGCAGACCAACCATCTCACCTGCCCACCACAAGCTTCAGGGTGTTGGTGAGGACCCCGTTGAGGACGAGAGCAAGGCTGGCAGCTAGGAGAGAGCAGAGAGCTCGCGTCAGTGCTGCACAAACCCCGCACAAGGGGCTGTCACCCCCAGGCAGGGGCTGCGGGGAGGCTGACCGCAGCCCAGCCGTGCTGGGAAGGAACCCACCCCGAGCCTGACGGCCCCGTGAGCACAGCCCCGTGCCCCTGCCTGATGTGCTGTGATGCTGCCAAGGCCGGCAGGAGCCTCACAGCTCGGTGTTTGTGCCCACGAGAGCAGCAGGAGGGCAGGGGGGAGGCAGGAGCTCACCCAGGCAGGCCTCCCGCGTGTCTTCGTGGTCAGCGCCCAGCAGCAGCCTCGCCAGGCCGATGAGCAGCAGCGGCGACAGGAAGGCGATGAACTGCCACAAAACCAAAGCGAGATCTGTCGGGCCGAAGCAGATTTAAACAAAGCAGCAACTGCTCACGGGAAGCACGCAGCGTGGACCTTGTAACCCAGCCCCGTGACCGATAACGCACGGCAGCCTCCGCTGCTGTTTATAAGCTCGGTTGAGACCCAGAAGATGAGGCAGGGCTACGAGGACGGAGCCCCTGAGCGTGACCGGTGCCTTTTGGCAACGCCACAGCTCCCTTCCAGCGCATCCAACGAGGGACCCCAGGCTCTGGGGATGCTGCTGGCCCCCAGCCCTGCCTCAGAGCTCCGGTACGGCCACGGGCAGCCCAGCAGCGCTGCAGCACAGCCCCACTTACGAACATGGGCAGGGTGGGGACGTGCTCGGCCTCCAGGAAGGGTTCGTGGTACAGCCGCAGCTCCTCGGGCGGCACCGCGCGCTCCACCGGGGGCAGCGCCTCCAGCACCCTGCGGGGGCAGCGGGGCGGCTCGGGGCGGCTCGGGGGGCGGCCCCCGCCGTCCCCCCCGGCATCCCGGTGTCCCCCCGGTGTCCCCCCAGCCCGGACTCACAGCAGGGCGGCCCCCAGCACCCCCCGAGCCGCCGCCTCCGCCGCCAGCCCCGCGCCCGCCCGCATGGCGCCGGCCCCGGCTCCGCCTCAGCCCGGGGCGGAGCGGCCCCCGCCCGGTTCCCCCCTCCCGGTTCTTCCCCCCCCCCAAAATTGTCGGGAAGCTGCCGGGCCTCGGAACATTCAGAACGATTTATTGAAGTCAAACCTCAAGCAAAAAAGTTCATCGAGATCAGTGGAATGTCGTTAAAAACCTTTCCAAATGAACCCTTCCACGGAAGCGAAAAAACCACATCGGAATTCCAAAGGAGTCGGAAAATTAACAAAAAAAAAATAAAACAAACAAAAAAAAAGGCCAACATCTCGGTAAATAGAATGTACAAAAATTATATGGTCCTACCGTCACACACATTCAGTAAGAAGCTAAAATATTACAGGCAAGTCTAAGTACACTATAGCTAGTGGACAGTCAGCTACCTATGTACAGGTTACCCAAGCTTTACAGGTTTCACACTATGCAAGAGAACGTAGGCCGAACAACAAAACCCCCCAAAATATCGTAGATCTCAAAGTCTATGCGGCAACATCAAGTCATAATACAGTAATGCCCCCGTGGAACACGGCCAGGGAAATCGGACACCTCCTTAGTGTTGAGCATGGAGCCAGCCGCCGCCAGCTCCGAGCAGCGCCCGCCGCAGGGCGACGCGCTGCTGGTAAAGACTCGAGTGATTTCGGTAAAATAACATCTCACAGAATCTACAAAGTTTGGTACAGATAAACAAAGTCTACAGAAATAACGACTCTACAAAGGTCATCGTTACAGACAGCACGTGGAAATGGAGACGGAGCCTGCGGGGGTCTGCGCCGGGCGCCCACCCGGCCTCGGGGCCCGGCACCCGTCCTGTGGCAACGTGATCGGGGTGGAAAGGAAAAGCGACGCCAGAGTGAGGGACAGTCCGAGCGAGGAAGGTGAAGCTCTCCCATCCAGTCCGTTCACAAAGCAAAGTGACCGAGGAGTCCCCAAAGCGCGCTGCGGGGCGCCCCGAGGGCTCAGCACCGCAGGAGGTGGGCGAATGGCTTTGGTGAATTCGTGCGTGATTTCCCTTTTTTGCTTGCCCATCAATTCCCAAAGTCTCCAGCTTCACGATTCCCCGCTCCCGAGCAGTGAGAGCCCCTCAGGGGGCAGCAAGGACCTGAGCTCGCCGCTCAGGAACAGAACAGAACAGGGAATTTTTTTTTTTCTTTTTTTTTCTTTTTCTCAGAACAACATTGTGAATACATCCAACACACAGGAGTGTATCGTAAGTGCAAATGGTTTTGCTACACAAAGATAATGGCAGGGGGAAGCTGATGTGGAACTGAAAGCAAACGGACAGCGTTACCCAAGGGTCGCCGTGTCTCATGCACCACACGCCCCGAGCACACGGCTCTGAGACAGCTGCTCGGAAAAAACTCTCCCTTTTGCCATAGATTCACTGTACACTGGGAGCAGAAAGTAACTGCGGGAATGTTAAAGACAGTTTCAATGTAGTATACAAAAAAGTCATGTATAAATTAAAAGAAAATAAAACAAAAAGCTGTATAAGGAACTGCAGAGCTTCAAGTACATTAAACCCTGAATTCAATGAGGCAGAGGTTTCAATGTTAAAGTGACTACTTCGTACCAGCGTCGGACATCCCCCTCCCTCCCTCCTCCCCCACCCCACCCGAATAGTTCTGTAAAGTTTCAATATATACAGATTTTATGCTCATTGTTAATTACGTCTAGTAATTGTGTCTTTCCCATTCAATCCTGAAATTAAGATAACAAGTTCTTAGAAGAAAGGCCAAAATTAACATTCCAGCCCCATTACTCCATTCTAACAGATTCTCTAAGACCATGGTGGTGACCAGAGAAGGTAATTTGCCCAAAAATTGCCTTTAACGTCATCCTTCCTGAGCTGCAAATGCCTTCAATTCTTACAGTCTATCGATAAGACAAATCTACGCTACTAATCGGAAAACTACGATAACTAACGCTTGCACCAAGTATTTATAAACCTGTAGGAACTCGCCATTGCACCGTTTGGCCATGGTCTGCAGAGCATCTGCGCTGTGCTAAGGTGCGTACTGTAGAGTAAAAGCTCCAGTAAACAACAACGTCCCGTTAACTTTGCAGAGCAGCTCGGAGGCTGCACACTACACAGAGAGCACAGGCTGCTGAGCTGGAGACAGGTGTTCGCCAGAAGCACGGTACTACCGCGAAATTTAAGACAAAAGGAAGGGAAAAGTGTGATTGCGTGTCCCAGCTAAGGAACAGCGGAGTTCGGAACAGAAGATTCGACTTCTCTCATCTCAATCCTAAAGATTTTTGAAAGATTCACCTGAACCCCAGCAGTGTGAAATCCAGTTCAGACTTTCTGTTCATAAATTGTTCACGTTTATAAACCAATCTCCTCTTTTCCCTTCTGAGTTCACGCCCACCTGTTGGCTACTATTATTTTTTGGTGGAAAAAGGAGCACCTGTAAGAAGTTTGAAAACAAAGTTAACCAAGACATCAAGTGGCATGGCACACGAGTAGCAGCAGGCCTCAATTCACAGCATTTTAGAAATTTTTAAAAGCCTTTTGCAAACCTTCCCATGTTCTGTGCTATTCAGCATACCGGTTCGGCACAGCGAGCCCTCGCACGTGGCAGCTAACGCTCGCTCCCTGCTGCTTCACTGGGAAGTCAGCACGGACACAGGGCTGGAGAAGCACGTGGGTACACTCACACTGCATCGTGTCTGCAGTACTCAGGATGCTCTGACTTCCCAAGAGAAAATCCTCTGAACATTACCCAGCCTAATAAATAACAAAGTGAACACATCAGGCCCTACAGACATCGTAGCAGGAGCTATGTTTGGAATTTCTGAAAGGTTGAACACCCCCGGTAAGAGCTTAAAAAGAGACATTTGTCACACAAAGTGTTAAGAAAAATAAAATCCTTCTTGTAAATTTCTTTTGTAAAAAATACCAAAAAATAGCACTGCTTTCAAGCAAGATTAGTGTTTCAGACATTCACTGTAGTATGGACCACGAGACCAAGTGTTCTGTATCTCCCATTAGCCTTCTGTACCATAAACTGACCCCAGAAATATCTGCACGGTTCTGCCCCCCAGACACCCTCAGGTCTGTAGGAAAGGCACCTGCAGGCTGTGCTGGAGATGAACTGCCAGAGCAGCTCAATGGCACAGCAGCTGCTTAAAGAGACTGTAGTGTATTTCCTGACTTTGCAATTGCACACAATTTTTCCCCTGCACAAAAATTTGAGAATGAGGAGGACACCAGCCAGAAGCAGGACACGTTCCAAAACCCCACGTGAACTTTTCCAGCCTACCGCTGTCTGGAGCTGAGCAGTCAGCATGTTCCTTGGGTTTACACGAGGAGCCTTCCAGAGAGAGGGTTCTTGAGAATTAAATCAAAGGCTTAACGTAGCCAGATACCAGCAACACTTACTATTAATTCTTTTCATTCAGGGTTATTTTCAACACCCATTAGCAAAAAGCTCCCCTGAAGCTGGCCAGCATCAGCACACAAACCAGGAGCATGCTGTACCCACACCAGGGCTTTAAGACCGCAGGCCAGGGGAGGAGATTGGCCAAAGACTAACTTCAGCCTGGGGACACTAATCCCCCTAAGCTCCTTGTGCAAGGATTGCAGGACAGGATAGGTTTCCAAAACAAAATCTGGAGCAGGAGCCTACCTAAGCCACTTCAAAAGCTTCACCGAAGCAGCCCGTCCCTCTGCAGATTAACAAAAGAAATACAAGGCAGAAACATCTCCCGAGGCTGAAGCTGGCTGCTCTGAATACCTCCCATTACCAAGCCAGGGCAAATACCCTGCGCACTGAAGGAGTGCTGTAGGGAACTAACATCCTGCCCTGCTCCAATAGCAATGAACATTAAAGCTAGAAGATCTCTCTCCCCAGAAATAAAACCCCTAAACGTTCAATCAAAAAGCCCGTGAGTAGGGGCTGGATTCCTCAAGCGCTCAGATTTCCTTTAAAGCTAAAGGGTGTCTGAAAAGAAGGCAGCAGAGATCCACAGAAATACAACTGCCATGAGGTTTGTGCAGCCTTGGCAGAGGACCAACACGTACTCACAGAGCAATCCTCCACCTAAAGAAGCCAAAGGGAGTGCAGGATCCAGCCTCCAGCTCTGCGTGTGCTGCAGTGCGTGACCAAGGCCAGGACGCTCCCCTAACTAGGACGGTTTTCCAAATTAGGCAGGGTAAAGAAATTACCATTGTGAAATTAAGCTCTTTCTGAAATTCCACCTGTCTGCAGACACCTCCAGTTACAGCTCTCCAGCAAGGAACCATGATTTCTTCCCCTAAAATTTTAGACCTCATGCTACGAGCACTTCCAAAGAATCATCCGCCTGATTTCTCATAGGAAAAGCTTTACAATAATATTCACAAGTTAACATGATACGTAACCTACCTTCTCAAAATGCCTTTAAAAATAAGTACTGGAATGGAGGCATTTCACCATCACCTGGTCTGAAACCCACATTTGCCTTTACGGTATCTGAATGTTACACAGAGTGAGGAGGGTTTATTCTTTCCATAAACTAGACATAAAAGTTACATTGGCTTTGCTGTTTTTAAAGACACGTTGACTGATCAAAACCAGATCTTCAACACCCTTTAAAAATTAAATAAATAAATATGTTGCTATGCTTTGCTTTCTACACTCAAAGAACATATTTAAACAGAAGATTCTTTTCACTGTCGAAAGGTCTACTGTTTTCTTTAGAAGGCCGAGACGTTTCTGCTTTCCAACAGTAAGAGCTGCTGTAGCACATTCAAGGGTAAAAGAAAGACCAAACAATAAAAAAAACAAATGCCACTGCCTGCTCCTGTTGTTGAGATTGAATGGTCCCATTCGCAGGTCACACAAGACGGCTCCGATGATAAAGACTGAATGCGTGGTAGCAGTCTCTTCAAGTTCATCGCCTGTTTGCCCGTCTTCTCTCCCTTGTTTTCCAACCCAATTTATTCCTTTGCTTCTTCTACAGGATTCTGAAGTTCCAATTTGCATTTTATCTTGTTCCAGTACTCAGGTGCCACAGGAGATTTGGGGTCATGTGTGGAGCAGCAGAGACGGCCATCCAAAGCTGATGCCACCAAGGCTCCCTTCTCGTGATCTTTACAGAATGAATGAGGGCAAAACTCACAGAATGAAACTGCAGGATTGCTACAGATGTCACACTGATGCCACGGACATTCCCACTTTCCTGAGGGTGGAAGGGGAGGGGAGAAGAGAGAGACAGGATGCTGCAATTAGTGCGTTTTAGGGACAGCACTGGGCTTCAGGCCTTATTCCATGTAGAAACTGTTCAGATGAATGCAAAGAAAGTTCAGAAAAACAACAACAACAAAACCCCACACTGAGAACTCTTGCTCAGGTTGCTCTGGTGATAAGATGCCATCGCTTCTTTCTCCAGCCACTAAGCTATTTTGGGGAACGCTGCTACGCTTCTAATATGGCAAAAAGGCACGTGGCGTATTCAGCTCTGCTTATGGCAGCCTTCAGCTTAATTCAATCATAGACTAATCTGGACTTGCAATGATTTTCATTGAAGGCTTTGGGATCAGGAAGATTAAAGAGATAAGGATTTCTACAAAATCTTGCAATTGGATTAAGATGTTGTGTTACTGAATAATTTGAACCCTGGCTGCAAAAAGCTACACCTTAACACAGAAACAGCCAAATGGAAGATAATGCATCAGGATACCACAGATAACTTAAATACATTTTCTGATTGAGCCCTAGTATGCTGTGCTCAGTGTTGTCAGCAGTTTGAACTACCATGCAATTGTGCTTGACAAGCTTGGCACATCAAGACGATGCCTGCATTTCAACCAAAATAAAAGAAGGGAAGTTATCCAAGGAACAGAAGCATCAAGAAGAATGTTAGAAAGCATCACAATGCCTCTTCTCCGCAGGTTCCCATTCAGGAACACTTCTACTCAATACATTTCTAGAATCAGGTGGTACTCCAAAAGCAAATACTCTGTTTTTGATGTAAATGGATACTACGGCTCAGCTCCAACATTGCCTTACTGCAGGAAGGAAACGGAATCTGCATGAAAGCTCTTACCAAAAGGTGGTTGAGTCAGGTTAAGGCATAGGAGGTGGTATGCTTTGGGACAGTCCTTTTTATCACACATAACTAGTTCTCCCCCATCTCCACACTGGAAGCAGTTGTCTTCATGCATCTGCTTCTGTTCTGTTTTTATTTTCCGTTTCTTCTGCTTTAATTTTGCATTCTTCACCTTCTCTTCATTTGCTGTTGCAAATGCTGTCTAGCAATTACAAAAGATAACAGCAGTCACTTTATAAATCTCTCGCATTAAAATAAATTTAATCAACTTTGGTTTGTTATTTGCACAAATTACGTTTAAGTTTGCTCAAATAAGTTTTTAAGCTTTAAGAGCCAGGAATGCACGTTCACATGAATTTGAAGTAACCACCTGGAAAATTAACTGCAACCTAGAGCCAGCAGCTCTGCGTTTCATAACTGAAGTCTCTGGACACTTTCAAGGGAGGAAAGTATTACATAGACTAAAGTAAGAAGTTAAAACAAAAATCTCTCTTTGCCCTACTCTCAACAGATCTCTGGATCTGGGAGAAGCAGCTTCAGTTTGCATCCACGTACCTTTGGACGCACTCCTAGGAAACCACTGCAGTTTTCTGCTCCACAATGACATTCAGTCCGACCATTGCCAAGGCAATCCAAATTATAATTAAATGTTAACTCCATTCCTAAAATGAAAAGAAAAACAGTTCACCCACACATACGTCGAGGAAGACAGGCTTGTGACAATGACATTTTATTAGCACTTCTCTCTTTATAGTCTGTGGGAATTAGCAGCAGTATGTTTCAGAAGGGCAAGCTTGCAATAGTGCACTGATTTTAAAATTTTTCAAAGTAGCAAATTCTACCCAGTTCAGGCTTAACTAGCAGCTGTTATGCTATTATACAGACTGGGTTAAAATGACAATTTGGGTAAAAGCACCTAACAGAGAAACCCACTACCAACCAGACAGGTACTGGTGAAAGGATCAATGCTGTACGTGTTTACACAACACAGAATTAACAGTGTACTTAGTGGCAAACTCTGTATTCAGCTTTAACAGAAACAGTTTGAGGCTGAAAGCTACTAACTATATGATCCCTGCTAAAACTAGAACTCAAATAATCATCTCCAGCCCGACAAATGACAGAAGTTCCCACAAACATCACTTGTATTAAGCAGTTTCAGAGAGAAGCTGGGTAAGTTAGGAATTTTGCCATGGTAAGAGAAGCCCGTACCCACAAAACAGTGCCATCTTTTTACCTGCAGGGATATCACAAAGAGCAAACAGTCCAACTCTAATGTCACCATTCACTGTCCATTTCTGTGTTTCACAGTTTGGATTACAACTATGGTTCATAAAGCGAGAGTAATTCCCCTTCGGACCAGCGTCTATTATCCGATCCTTCAAATAAAAAAGAGAGACACATCTTAGGTATCATAGATCAGACTTAGCACTTCGAAACAAACAGATGTTTCCTGCTGACATGTGACTAGCTGTGGCTAAGGCAGGAAAAAAATATGCCCGCTTTAAATTAATGAAAATAGGGAACTTTTCCCTACAGGGTTAGTCTTAAGCAGAAGCATCTGAAAACTCATGCTTATGGAAGTGAAACAGGCACAGAATGAATAACCTAAGATACAGGTCTTGTCTCTTTACCCATTCTATTCAAGAAAAAGAGAGATGTTATCCTCCTACCAGCACCCAAGTGCCAGCTGGAAATAAGCTGACATTGCTATGAACTCCTAGCGGTTGTCTACATCCCACTCTATGTCTTTGCAGAGCTCTTCAGAGACATTATGAACAGGCCACACGTTCATTTTTCCACTCCACACAAAACTAACACCACTAAATCAAAATTGATGCAAATTAAAGCCATAAATTATGCACACTACAAACAGAAGACTTGGAAACCTTTTGCCTGAACTGAATCTCATGAGCTTTGCTTCTCACATGTATAGAAATTGAGCTGTGCACATCAAGCATGGAGTGAGGATTCCTCCCTCACTTTGCATTCAGCTGCAAACAATTTACATTGAATGAAGATATATTTACCTTTGTAACAGTTAACATATAAAAATTGGTCACGCTGTTTTCATGAGCACGTTTAATCCGCAATCTGCACTCTTCTTCGTCAATTAGCTCACCAACATATTCGTTCACAAATTCACCCTGAAAAATAAAAATAAGAAATCCATGCTTATTGCTTCTTACTAAGACAAAAGATCTCTTGAGTGGATTATCCTAAACACCTACGTACAAGAGCTAAAGAACACACTGCTTAATGGCAAAAGAATCAATTTAGAATCTCTTTGCTTTCCTGATGCGAGAGAACAAACACACACACTTTCCTCCTAGAAGTACGATACGGTCACCTCTTCCCCTCCACCAATAGAATTCAAATTCACAGTCACCTGAAGCTAACTTCTGCTCTGTGAGTAAAGATCAAGGTTATGACACTTCCGTCAAAACAGCTAAACAGATTTCGCCCTTAATGCTGCACCTACAGAAGTCTCAAGACTTTTTAATACAAAACTTTTACTGGAGAGGGCTGAAATTTTAATACGCATTTGCTTAAGGTGCACCAAGTTGCAGTGTTTTCACATAAAACCACACTGATGGCTATCACAGCCTTTGCTTGTTGTAATTCTACCTTTTTAATGTTCCGTTTTGTCCTGAGACCCCATCCACGTCGATCCGTTTTTATGATTTCAGCATCAGGGTAGAGCCTTTTGGTGAAGCACTGGTTCTGACACCGCTCCCCCGCTGGGCACACCTGGGGATGACACTCATACTGGAGCATCCTGTTCAGACACTCGGACTCCAGGCCACAGGGGTTCTCATCAGACGGCTTGCAGTTACAGCGAGGGATTTCTGACAGATCAGCTACCTGAATCTGAACCTTCCCTATCACCTTGTTGGACTGTGGAACAAAGGGAAAAGAAAGAATAAAAGATGAGGACAATGTACAAAGATTCAGAACAACTTTATTTGAAGCCCGTCATCAACTGATGTGAGAAGGCTCTATAGGTCTTCAGTAGGCTAAGCAGTCTGTATTCATATTAACATTTAGTTAAGTACACTAAGTTTTAATAGCCAGGATGTATCTAAGAGGGATGAGACCAGCAAAGTTCTGCCTTAGGTAAAGTTGATCTTACTCTCTTTTGCTGATCCTCTGCTAAAACAATGTTTTATGGTACCAGAAGACAGAACAAAAGATTGTTGAAAAGAAAAGCAAACTGATTTATTTGAATTTTGCTACCCCGGAATTGTTGCGAACACTGGCTGTTTAAATACATAGCTTACTCAGAGGAAAAAAAGGAAAAGAAGCCAACTCACTTTAATGTGTTTATAAGGTGGAGGTTTCCTTGAATTCCTTTCAATTTCTAATGCTTCTTTACTCTCTCTTTGTGCTTTCAGCTCCTGGAAGCGCTTTGCTGCTTCTTCAAGTGCTGTGCAAGGGAGTTGAAAATAGAAAGCAATTAGCACCAGCTGCTGCTAATCAAATACATACGTGTATTTACATTTTTTGTTTTTTAAAGCTAGGAATAGAAGTCTATAAACAAAACACAAGCTAAAATGAGTTATTACAGTACATCATGAATCTACTTCATCAGATACTTTTCGGCAGTACTGAGATGTTGAACAATGATCCCATGCAGCAGAGCCCAAGCACCATCTTAACATTTCCCAGTTTGTGGAAGAAGTGAACTTGCCCACAACAATACACAATGAGTAGGCACTTAAAGATATCTTTATCTGCGGTCAAGGGATCTGCATAATGTTTGCAATTTTATGTGAACACAGAACACTAGGCATATAATATTCCCATGCAGGTTAAGTGGTGATGGAGACACAAACACGTGGAATTTTTGTCATAAACCACTATAAACTTTGTTTGATTTTACCTTTCTTGAAGGTCTTGTTAATACTAGTTTGCCCCTCAGCAAAGCTTTTATCTCCTTCAACATAAGGGAAAACTCTGCCCTGGTGTACCCAATAGTAGTCATGTGAACCAAAGAAAAATACTGGGAAGTCCCCGATATCATGTTTGAGGCCCTGTATGTTGAGAGGCACAGACCTGGGATTGCAGATCTCTGCTGGCCACCACCTGGAAGCAGAAAAAAAGCAGCATGTAAGTTCTGTGAGCCACAGCCTCAGCTGCTGCATGTGCTGAGCTTGACTGAGAAATAAACCACAGTTTTCCTTTCTCAAAGAAACGAACTCCTCCCTTACGCAATCGAGGCTCCTTCTGGCAACACTTGGGAAGTGCCAGGCAAAACACAAGCAGCCCTTGGCTCTCAGTGTTCTCACTCCTTATTTTGGAAAAGCCTCGTGAGAACACGGCACAAGAGTGGATTTCTAAGATCACCTACAGATGCTCGTGTTCCTGCAGGTGACCCACAGCAAACACGAGCTAGGACATGGTGGCTCTCTAGGACAGCCCCTGGTTTTCCATAGAGCTGTGCCATCCTACAGAGCCAGCGTGAGTGCAATCAAGTGTCCATCAGTGCCTGGAAAAAGCAGGAGAATTCAATTGGAAAGGCAACACCAACGTCTGACACAAAGGAAACAAAGTACCGCATTTCTAGTTCTTGCTTGCTGGGACTGAGCTGCTTTGAGTTATCTTCCTGGAATTCTACAGTACATTAAAAACATCTCAAGTATTAAAAACCAAAAAAGTAGCGAACTTGCCTGTAATTTCCAAGCTTGACCCAAACAATCTGCTTGTAACGTAGCTTCTTGCCAGCTTTACAGTCATTGCAATTCCAGCATCCTTCGGGCATTTCTATGTTGAGACACTCAGGGTGAAAGGAAGCTGGGCACGACTCACAGCACAGCAGTTTTCCACCTTAAACAAAGAAACCCTGCTTGGTTTATAGAAGTAAGGATTTGCTTCCCCCTGCGCGTAGCAATCGATATCAGTTTTAAGTCAGACATTCTACACCTTGGTTTGTTTCACAGCAAAAATACGGCAAAGGAAGGGATCGAGCCAAAATTACAATGCTGGATTAAAAAAAGACTGCAGTGCACTTTTCCAATGTGCAAGTTGTGCCTCTTAACTGCATCAACAATCTACTAAAAAGCAAATAGTATTTTTTCAACAAGAGCAACGTTGGCAGTAGATGCAATATTCCCAAATGAAGCACTACCTAGGAAAGCAGTGCTGTTAGCTGTAATTTCTTTGGGGATGACCAAACCTTTAATCATGACAAATAACCAAATTTTAAGAAACGCTTTTTAAGTCAACATTGTTATGACTGAATCCCTTAGCAATCAGTTAGTGTGCACAAAAACCAAAACCCACAGCCTATAGGTTGATCAATACTTTTCTGTAGTAACAGCATTATAAAAGGGTTCTAATGATCAATACGTGATCAATGTGTTTATTTCACCCCAAAAAAATAATTTACCTCTGTCAGCAATGTGAATTCAGCTATATAATGAAGAATGAGACACTCAAGTTGTCCCCATCCCAGAAGTTTCCTCTGTGCACAAAGGAAAGCTTTGTGCAGGGTGGCTGCAGTTTACACTTACTTGGACAAAAGTTGCTCTGGCTGGCTTATGTCCTGGTGGGTGTATTAAATGTGGAGAACCACATCGCAGCTCTAAGCCACCCTCAGCAAACAAAGCCACTCGTACAGTAAGACTTGTTAAAATATACATGCTGTAACATTTTATACAATATATATATTCAAATATATATGTCTCAAGGTATGTGAATTAAAGGGCAAGAACAACAACAAAAAAAACATCAAAATTTTGGGTGCCAGACTGAAAATTCAGGAGATATTTGAGGCGATTGAAAGCAGTTTTCAATCACAGTATCAAAAGAAATGAGAATGATAACTTTCAAGCATGTATCAGAAAATCTTGTCCACCTATAGACTTTCAAATACGTCATTGCATTAATTGATAGCTGAATGTTGCAATAAGCATTCCACAAATCATTTACACAACCAATACTGTATTTCCTCTGCTAAAATCTGTAAATCCAACCACGTGGATTTTCCAGAGTTCCCCAAACCCACAGTAAAATTTTAACTTTTCAATTCATTTTTGCAGTTGTTATTTCAGAGGAAATACAGACCCAGTGTCAATTACCGAAGCATCATCCAACATGGTAAAATGCCAAGAGATGCGAAAATCAAAACAAAATCAAACATAAAACTTTCAGTGCTAAGCAAGAAACAAAACTGCTCTCGGGATGCATTAGTTAGATATTGCTCAAGCTAAGCAGAGGGCTCAAAATAATTTTTGTTTTCAGGACTTACAGAAACTACTGAAAGCCATCGGCATTGAAAATAACCTAACTTTGGAATGGTTAAGGGGGCACCTTTTCTGAACGCTCTTGGTAATCAAATTTCTGTGAAGAATAAAACGTTACACCTGAGCATTTCACAGAGCCCACCGTTATCTCCCCACGAGGAATATCCTGAGATGCTCCGGCACCACCGCACCGCCGTGACGCGGGGCCTCCGTTCCCTCCTGGGCAGCGGGGCTTTCTTCTCGGGACGCAGCCCCCCTCCCTCGAGATCCAGCACCTCCTGCCCCGAGCAGCATCGGCCACGGGAGGAGAGGAAGGAGCTCGGGCTGTCCCCGAGGAACGGGAGCAGAACGCAATGCCCATGGACTGCAGCAGACACAGGCAAAGCCTCACACCGCCTTCCCCCTCCAGCCTGCTCTGGACCGGCAGCAGCACCCACCAGTGTCCCACCTGGAAAAGCTGCTGTTCCTCTGGGCTTGGCCTCAGCTACCCGTAAGATCTGACCCAGACACCCCTCTTCTTCTGGTCCTAAAACCAATTTAAGAAGCCGTTGCCTTTCCATCACTGAGGTACTGAGCTCTATCTGCCACCTCTCCCTGTTCTGTGCAAACGCTCCCTGACGCTGGAGTAGCCAGGTACTGAACGACTTCGCCTCTTTCAAGGAGAATTTGGTGACAGCAATTATTTTAAGCCCTTTTATAATTAAAAAAAAATAAAAAATTGCCAACAACATGAACACGCTCACAATAATCAATGAGTGAAGTTTACTGAAAAGCAGTAAGTGATGCTGGACAAGCACACATTCCTCGTTCGATTTAAAGGTAAAGAAATAATAGGAAAAGCAAAAGTAAATTAAAGAGAAAGAAACTATTTTGGTTACCTTTCTCACATTTCTTTTTGGAAGCTGACGAAGGAGGAGGAATCATAGGTAATTTCATCAACTCAGCACGATTTGATTCATTCAGTAGGTAGTGGGACTTATAGGCATATGAACTGAACAGGGGGTCTGAATGATCCTGCACTACCAGCCCTATACGAAACAAACAGAAAGAGATGAGTTGCAATGAAACTACCCATGATTCCGTAAAGGAGAAAATAAAATAAACCAAATGAACACCTATAATGCATATATGTGCGAATGAAAAAAAGAGAAAATGAAGAAAAAGAAAGAGTCTGGCAAAGTTTCTTCACTAAGAAAGAGGTTATGTGTCGGAGAGACTAAATTCAGTTGTAACTGGGAAATCCTACAATGAAAAAGCTGCTTCTAGGTGGAATTTCAATAGTGCTTTTACTCTTAATTTGTGCATTTACAGGAAAGCACAAGAAAAGCAACCAATTTTAATCCTGTCCAAACCACCCTCCCTCCCCAGTGGAAAAAAGCGAGCGGATTTGAGACGTTGGGTGATGACAGCCACTGCTCAGAGGTAATGCTGGGGGTACGGGCTGCAAGAACAGACGTATCCGTGGCCCCACGCAGTGCAGAGCCCACATCCCTCTCACTAGAAATCCAAGATCTTACCTACGGAAGTGTTTTGCCTTCATAATTGCATTAGAGAAATGTACCTAGGGGTCAGCGATTCTGCAAGGCACCAGGGGCAAAGGAGTGGATGGAAGCGGTGCCCTACGCCCTCTGCGCTGAGCAGAGCTGCACCAGCCCGGCCACATCAGCTCCCAAATGAGACACCCGGGAGCAGCTAAGCACTCGGTTCTGCTGTACGGTTGCCTTTCCTTCCAGTGGTGTGTGCTTGTTTTTCTCCATCTGTCTCCACTAAGAAGAGTTCTTCCACATTGCTCTGAGTCAGGCAGCGGAGGTCAGAGAGCCCCAGCTGCAGATCAGAAGCATGTTGGCAGAAATTCCTGGGGACAGCATCACAGCTGAGACCCAAAGAAGCAGGAAGACGAGCTACCAAGACAGCCACAAATTCCTTCCCCTGGGACAGGGGCACAAAGCTGAGTGCTGCAAAGAAGCTTTTGAACTGGGGTGCCTAAAAAACCTCACGTAAGCATCAGTCTACCTGAAACGCATGTCCTCAAAAGAGTTCATGAACAAGAGGAACGAAACATGAAGTTATGTGGGCTGTAAAGTCATAAGGAAGATATTTTCCAGAAAGTATCTCATGATAAGCAAGTTTTAATATTCTGTAGATAATCTGCTATTGCACTTTCTCACACCAGTAATGTTGTGCATCCAAACACAAAGTCTCTCCTTCCTACCATCAACTAAAACTAAGCAGGGAACCGTTCTCAAATCCAGACACCCCAGTATTTCTAAAGCATCCATGTCCGCAGTTCCCTCTGGGCAGGTGCTCTCAGTGCTGTCCTCACCTGATGCCCCTCATGCTGCCCACACACAACAGGACAGGGCTCAATTCAGCCACCCGGGCACTTTGCTAACTGCAAACCTTGCCCAATCTTTTCGGTGAAGCTCCCTGGCTCCTGACTCCAGCTCTGCCTGGTAGAAACAAACCCCACAAAAATTTCCTGGAACAAGTGCATGGCTGCTACCAGACGCAGGGCTCAGCCAGCGGCAGCGTTTGTAGTGTTTGAAGTTCTCCTCAGGTTCAGTGAATGCAAGGATGGGAAATTCCATCTGCTGGGGTTGAGGTCACTTATATTGCCAGGAGAAAGTACAGAGTGCTGTGATTTCGTCTCTATACCTGAAGCTAATGTCTAACAGAATTATTAAAACAATGTCAAAAAAAAAAAGTAACTCCTGCCCATCATCTTCTGCACTTCACTCACTTTTAAATGGGCCCTACCCAAGAGAAGTACAAGGCCTCTCTTATTTTCTGCCTTTACAGCAGAATACACAGCCAAAGCACAGAGTGAGATTAACCCTCATATGCACCTAAAACAAGCTCGTGCAGATTTCTAATCTGAGCAGGCTCTTCTACAACATTCAGGTCTTATGTCGGCTTCAGTCACCTGCAGGAGCTGGCCACAGGGCGAGTGAAATGCAACTTCAAAGAGACTGAACAGCTTTACATCACATAGCGTACTGAGTCACAGCAACTGGCTTGGGATTGTTCAGACTGGGCATTTGTACATATTAAATAAAATTCATCTTAGAACATACATAACACTACCTAAAAACCTAAAATAAAAGACACGCAATGTCATTTTTGCTCATGTGAACTTAAGCAATGCCAATGTGACTCAGAGCACGTGTGTCTTGTTTTGGGTGCCCAAGATATGTTTGACTAAGTCCACAAGAGGGAAAATACTGAACCACGTAAACACCTTTCTACACATTCTGAGGAACTTCTCTAAGACTCATTCTAAAACTTACTGTTCCTCTTTGAATTTCTGGCTATCGTTTCTCTGGAAAAAAAAAAATACACTTTTATTGAAGATTTTTTTTTAAACTTGATCCTTTGTGATGGCTCCTAAATTACTTGGAAATGAGGAAAGGGGAAGAAAAGAGAGAGGTGGAAAAGAAATGACTCTGGCACCATCCTTCCCTTCCCATTCAGAGATCTTTAATTGCTACTCTGCTCCTGCAAAGTCAAGACAATCTTTCCCATACTAAACCAACAACTCAATGAAAATATACAAAAACAAGTGGATCCAGAATTTCTGTCACATTTCCTTTTCCTTATTAGTAACCTTCAAAGCTATGTTGGGTACATTCCTTTCAACAAACTTTTGAAATACTGCATAAGATATGTATTATTATTATGCAAACACCTAATATCAGTTTGATTCCTCTGAGAAAATAACGATGTTTTTGTGTTGTGTGACTAATTGGTGCAGCGAAACCTTTCAACCTGCTATCTGGCACAAGTCAGGTGACTGGAGAGCCCTAAGAATAACAAGTGGGAAGAAAGGAAAAAAGGAAGAAAGAAAGTAAAAAGAAAAAAAAGAAAAGTTTGGCACATGGAAAATCCTACCATGAAACTTGTTTGCATGGTACTGTAAATGTTTTCCTTTTGAAGTTCTCAGATGTGATGGTAGTTAAAAATTAAAATGAATTTTTCTAGCTCACGAGTAAATCCTGCTTTCTAGGCTTACTTTACATAGTTTTAAGTTTGTGAGGTGTGAAGGAATCCCCTTCTGCTTAACAGACTGAATAACACCACCACATTCATTCTCAGGTTGCAATGGCAGAACTGGGGGCTCAGCATCAGCTTTTCCTACTGGGAACACAAGCATGCCTTCCGACTAGCTATAGCTGGGTATTTCTGAATATTGAATATTAAGGCCAAAAATAGCACACGGAAAGCTTAATGAGAACTGCTGACTAATCCAAAAATCCCAGGAAGCATTAAAATCCTTCAGAGCCCTAAGAGATGTTTTTCTTTAATGAAATACATTATTTTTATCACTACGCTGCACAAGTGACAATAGAAGAACTATAAAACAAAGGGGGGAAAAAAACAAGTGTGCTCACCTCTTGCACAAACGAAACAAAAGCCTACATTTACAGCTGATGAGGAGTGATTCCTTTTGGAATGGTTACTACAGATGAGAATGTGGGATGACACAAACAAGCTTCCTGCAGCAATACAGCCATCTCCTGAGTGATAGGCAATGGGACATCTGAAACATCTCACCATGCGACCTGTTCAATATAAATGCAGAAAAATGCACCGTGTCACCCTGGAGTCAGGATATGGCAGAAGACACCATAGACAGATGCAGGACTGATTTTTATTCCAGAGCGCTAGATCAGAGAGACATTTACATCTTTGCAAAGGTTCACAAAAGTTAACTCAATTTCACTTCAAAGCTCTGTTAAGAAAAAAAACGTGGTTTAATCATTCCAGAGGCAACTTTTTTTGTTAACATCTTTTGGTTCATTTCTAAAAATGAAACCCTCGTTCCTTGCTGCATGCTGCATTACCGAGAGCAGAGTTACACTCATTGTTTTGTGATGACGTGTTTGAGTTTCCTCCTCCTGTCCAGAACCAGCTCTGTTCTCACCTTTGCTTGCTTTATGGATATCCTTATCCACTGAGCAGGCCGTACAGCAGTGCTGCGGGCAACGAAATCCTCGCGACTCAAAGAGAGCAGTGGCAAACTTGCGAACACAGGCCTCGTGGTAAAATTTACCACACGTGTTGACAGAACAGCGCTTCACGTCTTTGCCAGGAAGCTTGCACGAGAAGCACGTATGTTCTCCTTGTGAGAGAAGAAAAAGAAGCTTGAATGTAACTGCCAATACCTGGGGACACGGATGCTGTTAGAAAAAAATCTGAAGTGCACAGAGCTACTTCACTGAGACACGCAGGCTCCCCCCTTAAAACAGGTCAGTCAGTCACAATAATTCACAGTAACCACGTCATTGCTGTCAACCCCAAATTGCTTTATGCTGAGTGTACCCTCAATGGTTTGTTACTTTTTCCTCTTATCAAGCACTTGCTAAGTGGAACATGAGGATCTGGCCTCAGAAGTTAAAAAAAAGTAACAGAATAGCACAAATGCACTTGTAAAACCTGTAATCTTTCTATCTCAGCTCGGCCTGACCATGCTCTGGCACCTCAGCAGAGCAGGAAATCCTTCCCCGTTTCCTGGGCGTGCGAGCACACTCACCATTCTTACACTCCGTGCAGAAAAACTTCTCCTCTGGCATCGCCTTCAGGCCCAGACACTCCATGTGAAAGACGCTGCAGCACTCGCCCTCGCAGGACACCAGAGACTCGCCAGAGCTTTCACAGATCTTAAAACAAGCAGACAGCCAGTCAGAGAACAACGGGTACCTGATGTACCGAAACACAACTGACTACGAGATGTTGGAAGAACAGAAATGGGCTGAAAGCTCTTCAGAGCTACAGTAAGCCAGAAGTGCCCCACGTCCCACAGCAGACCTGATAAAACCTACGAGCTGGAGGCAATCCCAGCAGTTCCTGTTAGCAGGTACGGGTTAGATATCACACCTGAGCATGTAGCAGAGCTTATGAATTATTTCCAGAGCAGAGTCCTAAAAGCCTCGATATTCTGAGATGTCTAATTATGAGGCATGAGGAAAACAAACCAGTCTGATATATCATAAATTTACAATCCCAAATTAACAAAAACTATTGACACATCTTTAGCATTCATCTCTTCACAGTACCATCATTTACCTGACAAACAGTGTCTTTTTTATTTGTTCCAGTTCCTCTCCTGGATAAGCTAGAGTCTACCGACTGCACATCAGAAGCATCAGCATCGGCAGTCGCTGATGGGCTGTCTGAGCGTTTTCCAAAACTACCCTACAAAGAGGAAAAATCCAAGACACTCAAACAAGACACTTCCAAAGGACAATCACATTGTGAAAAAAATAATTGCATCAACACTGATTAAAAGATCATTCAATATGCCGAGAGATACAAACATCCTTGGAAGACACTGGACTTCACTGCAATGCTACAAGAACTGCTGCCTTCTTGACATAAAACTTCTACCTATACAAGCAAAAAAAAAGTTGTCTATTTTACTCTTTCCAGACACCTCTTAGTTTCACACCAAGCAGCATCCCCAAATTCCCAAGGAATCTAATAGCTTTTCAAAGGGCAAAATGAGTCACTGACCTAAACCAAGGTTTTGTCAAAGTATAAATATTTGTTAAAAAAAAAAAAAAGTATCTTATTTACATTGATGTAATGTGAGGGGTTAGAAATAAGATCACAAGTTATTTCTCAGACAATAAAAATTACAAGATTTGTAGGAAATACAGCATTCATGTATTTAGTAACAGACAACTGAGGAGTCTATTATACTCATCGATTAAAAACCAGGTATCCGTGAGCAACAATTTGCCTTTACCTGTAAATCATTAAGTCCTCTTGAGTCAGAGTCAGATGTATCTCTGTAAGCTGAGCTAGTCAGTTCTACATCAGTTGAGGCACGACTCCTCTTCTTTAATGGTTTACAAGAATCTGAAATCTCGCTGGCACCTTAACACAACACACTAAAATTAGTCTTCATGTACATTCTTTTTTTTTTTTTTTTTTTTTGCTTGAAATTAGTAAAGGAACAACAAAGATGAGACAGCCTGAAACTGGACCTTGTTTGCTAGCCTTAATTTTCAGTTTGCAACTTACATATTTAATTCTCTATTAAAAGCTAATTTAGTAACTGAAAATAACCTCAGAAAGTCCTTCTGACAAATTCTGAATATGCTGACATAGTCAAGGAAACTACGAAATTGTCTATAACAGAGGATAAGCTGTTAGGAGATTTCCTCTTCATCATCCCTATTTAAAATACATCTGGTCAAAGATATCATCTTATATTTTACTATGTACTTACAGCATACGAACAACACAGGCTATTCCTCCAACTAGCAGTGCAAAAAACCCCAAAACAAAACCAAAAAAAAAACCACCTTCATCACCAGAAAGTTTCAAGACCTCTGTAGCTCACACAGAATGAAAACCACTGCCGATGGTGCAGAGCCAGAAACTTTCAACACAGTTTGCTTTGGTGTGCAACTCACCTTTCTGCAGTCCTGTCTTCACTGCTGTCAGTGGAACCATTTCAACCTGTTTGAATAGGAAAATCCATAGTTAAAAACAGACGAATTTTTTCCCCTAGTATTAAAAAGAAAGCATTAACGTTTAAGTGATTAGCATCAGATGTAGTCTGTCATCCCCTTCTTAGCGCGAGCCTTCTTGCCGTGCTGGGGTTTATCCTAGCTGCCTACGCTGGGTGCCACGGGCCAGGGCAGCCACACGGTCACTACAAGGTCCTTCCCCATCGCTCCCTTTGGGCATGAAGATGACAGGAAAACTTTAGCCGTGTCCAGCAGGCAGGAGCGGGGTTCAGCTGGGCAGCCAACCCTGACGCCTTTGTGAAACCCCACACCTGTGTGAGCACAAGTTTACCTGAACAGGCATGACACTCGGGTTAGAGACACTTAATGCATCGCTATTTTAAGGCACATCCACCAAGCATGCACTCTCCAGCTCCTGGGAACACAGACTGTTTCTGTATAGAGTGCTGCAAGGCCGCGGGGATGGAGGCAGGGGCTTGGCGCAGCGCGTTGCAGGGCTCTATACAGCTGGAAACTCAATGCCAGGACACACTTAAGCAGACAAGCTTACAGTCTTGCAAAAGCACTTCAAGTCCTCGATCCTACAGCAGAAGGGCAAGTTTAGGAACTGTTCTGCCAATGCACGTGTAAGGTGAGAATTTGGCGAATGTACACTAATTAGAGGAGAAAGTTGTTGCCTACGGTCCTGGTTTTAAGGTTAGGAATTACGAGTTACTGCTTTACAATGTGGTTACATATGCATGGAGAAACACATTTAGTAAATATTTAAGGATTATTCTCTAATTTTTTTAAAAAATATTTTATTTTGTTGTACAATAGGTAAAAACATACAATAGAAGGATTTGTATAGGATACATTTCGTAATACAAATATAAAATCTAAACAATCACTTTTATTTCTCCACTAGTCACTGTAACAGTAGCATTAACATTTTGTTTTTCCCATTAATTGTACTCGTTCCAGTTATAATTTTATACCAAGTTGTTGCAGACTAATTTGGGAATCAGTTGCAAGAAAACTTGACTTTGGGTAACAAATATTGTTGCATAATTGTAAGGAGTTAGTACGTTTTTCTTCTTTTAATATAACTTAATACATTCAAGGTTATGCGCATTACAGTGCATCTGTGTTTAATTTTCAGTCATATACTTTTCCTGAGAAAAGCACTTTGATGTTCATAGTCTTAGTTAGCTAGGTAATATAAGCAAGCAAAGCTAACTGGGACCCATGAAGTTCATATTGTTGGTTCTTATACCTTAGTTAATTTAAGAAGCATTTACAAACACAAAACAACTCATTTGAAAGCATGGAGGCTGCAACGCCCCATGGCAAGAGGCTAAGGGGCTATGTCGGGTAACTCACGCCCAACATTTAAGTTGCTTTCAAGTTTCTCGCTGAAACTTCCTAGAGCTAGAACATCCTTCGGCTGAATACAGATGTAAATGCTACGGCATCAAAGGAAAAACGTGAAAAAAAGCAACTGGGTCTACTTTCAACCTCTGAAATGAATGAAGTGCAAAACAAAGTGTAAAGGGCAAAGAATAAATTAGAATAAAAGAGATAAAAACAAAAATTTTCCCCTTCCCATATAAAATCTTTATCCTGACTGTCCCTTTTTAAAAACCCTCATTGAAAAAAGCTATCCTATGAAACATTGTATATAAAATTCTCAGGTTTCAAGTGGAAAGGCCCTCGGAGAGTGAAACTTGACCACATAAGGAAAAGAACCAACAACTTTGACAAACTCGTTAAAAAGTGTACTCAGTTTTTAATATTAAAGTATGTCCATCCACTGAACTTTCCTACTCATTTCCACGTGGAATTCTTTTTTTTTTGTGTGTGTGTTTTAAAGCAACAACATTTGTCTCTCTGACATCCAGATTAAAGGAATGCCCTGTACACGTTAGATCTACTTAAGGAAAAGTAACGTATATCCCAGAAGACCTGTTTTGCTGATGTCTGCCAACATAAAGTCTGACTATTCATCGTTAAGTTAAATCATTCTCAGAGTCCATTTTCAGAAGTGGTCAGATTAATCAGTCTAACTTCATTTGAAAAACAAAACCTCAATACAAACCAGCAGCTAAATCAAGAGCAAAAGGAAGGAACCTGGTGGCAATTCCATCAAATAGAAGTGACTGAAACAAAATCACTTTGCTCATAACAGAAATCTCATAGCAAACATGGCAGGTTCATTAGGAGTCTTGCATCATTGAGTTCCCATTTTCCATAGCCTGACTGATACTGTGAAGATGCCAGTAGCAGAGTCACAGCAATGGTATTGACAAGGGGATTTCATGAAGGATAGTCCAAAACGAAACCCGATGGGGAAAAATGGAGAAAAATAAAAAGGCACCAATATAAGCCACAACATTTATGAATACAATATATTTTAACTCTCTACATGGAGGAAGCCAACCTGCTCCTTTTTGATCTTCTTCTTTGGCACAACTTCGGTGGATTTCTCAGACTCTGAGCGGGTTCGAATCGATCTTCTCTGTTGCTTCTTTTCTAAAGAACCTGAAGAAGGAAAAGGGTTTCTATTATATGGTTCCTTATATTTCGGAGCTACAGAAAGATGTTCAACACCAAATCAACAGATAAAGTAACGAAACCAAGACTTTTTCCTCTTTTGAATGTTTTATTTTAAAATTCAGTTCCAAGCTGTTTGCCAACTGGTGCTATGGTTTGCAGAGAACATGTTCTGAGTCCATAGACAGAGGGAGCAGCTTCAGAAAGAGACACCAGGAATAGCACAAAACAAAAAGCTGGAATCCAGTTTAGGGCAAATGGGTTTTCGTAACACACCTCTCAATCAGTCTTCGCTTTGGTTTATTTTTAACCAAACAGTCCGTCTTTGGTGCTTATGGGGAGGTATCCACAATGAACTTCTTGAACTAAAACAAGCTAGAAAAAATCAAGACGCAAACCAGAGCTTCCCCATTTTCACTCCCAGTGAAAAGCCAGTCCTGTGCCCCAGCTCTGCGGGGAGCATTGCTCTTCCTTCGCAACTCTGCCTACCACAAACATCTCAAGCAAGAGCCCCGCTAGAACACGTGCCATCAGTATGAAATCTAAATGGACAACTGAAGATTTGGAGAGTCGAAGAAAACAGAAAGCACAAACAGAAGCAGTGATTGCGATGCGTTATTATAATTAGAGTGAAAAAGAAGTTTTTAAAAAATATTACCATGGAACAGAAACCCGGATTAATGATGATTATATTATTTCAAGAGAGAAAGTATGAATTGCTGTTTAGGCCCTACTGAGACCCATGTCCTGAAGGCTCCACGCCACGGGCGTGACCAGAAAGTTAATTTAATCAATAATGTATTTCCTCCCCACGCTGCCTCGCTGTACTAATGGAATTAAGATACCAGCCCTATGTCGGAGGAGAAACTCTCCAATCAGTGCATCTAACATTGGCTGAAAGCAGTTTCTTTGAACGTAACAGGCACTCAGGCACTTTTTTCCTCTTCCTGCTCTCCGAGGATCCAGTGCATCACCTCCACAATGCTCCTATCCCGTCTTCGCGAGTATTTTGATCCGGTTTCAGGACGGATTTCAGACCAGCAATCTACCTCCCTACTGGCCAAGCCAATCCTGTTTCGGCTGATTGTGGGAACCAGAGGCACTACGAATTCTCACTGCTGTTCTCCTACGACCAGACTTCCAGTTAGAGAATTCTTTTCCCAGCTTTATGGACCTGTGTACATCTAGCTGCAGGCTGTTAATAAGGACTCCCAGAGTCATTCTGTAAAATACTTTACCGTAAAGGTATTCTGACGTCCCGGTGACCTTAAATTTGAAAAAAGGACTTCGCAGTTATGTTCCACGAGAGGGGATCAATAACTGTCTGGACTTTGGAAATGGCTTTGAAAGTGACTGTTTGGAGTGTGTACTGCCGTAAAGCTCATGCACTCTATAGGGTGTTACCAGGTGGAGTTTTACGTATCCACAAAACCTAAGAAAATGAGAAAAGAGAGGCTCAGAATTCTCACCCCCTACATCTGAAGAGCCATGGTGAAGGTGAAGCCTTTAGTTCCCAGGTGAAAAAAAAAAAACAAAAACAGATCACCTCTCCTGCTGCAAGGCAATTGAAGTAACAACTGCTTGAAAAAGCTGAAGTAACCATAGTGACTAAAATTGGAAAAAAGAACCACTGTCGACAACAGCAGAGGAAACCCCGCTTGCATCAGGAAACCCCACTCGCACCAGAACATCCGGACTGCTCAGCCTGCATTGTAAAGTCCCTAAATAGTCCAGAAAGTAGCGTATAAGAAAGCCGACCTAAAAGCTCTACAAGTGCAGGAACTGAAGCGAGTTTGCAGAGGAGAGTGTTCCCACCCATGGTGACTGAGGTTTTTGACTTGGAGTCTCATTTATTTTATGTCCAGAAAGGGAGAAATAACCAAACAGTTAAAGCAGAAGTGGCACTTAGTAACTTTATAAGATTTTCTCAAGAAAAGATGTTGCGGTTTGGGGTTTTTTTGGCATGCTAGCTGTAATGAGCCTTCCATTTTTATTTTTTTTTTCTTCCATACCAGGAGCATTTGCTCATCCTGCTATGAGAGAAAATCAGCGTTGTGTTCTCCAACCTAAAAATTACTTCTGCATGCCCAATGTAAAATGAATTACTTATGTTCAAGGCTATCCCACAGACACAGCACATCAACAAACACACACCGGTTAATGATTTTTACACGGACTGTAGAAAATCTGTGGTTGAGATATAGAAGTCCCTACAGTGACAGGAGGAACGTGAAAATCTCTTGGTTTAGGATGACTCAAAACTGCCTCTTTTCAGGAACCTCCATCCTTTCCCCAGAGGGGTACGTCTCCTTCTGGGGATGCTGAGAGAACGCACTGCAGAAGGAATTTTCTGCTGGTGGGGAGATCAATCCGTATGGAAGAATGCCCATTAGCTATTTATCAGAACCAAAACATGAAAAAAGCATTGGTTTTCTATTCCAACTCTAGAAAGCACTCAATCTGTTTTCCATTCTTCCCTACTACTGTACTACAAACTAAACTTCAGATAGTTTATTCCAGGCTTTCCCTTTTCAGCCTCAAGCTCCGTTATTTGTTTCAGTGGTTCTCCCTCAGACAGTACTCCAAAACTCCGTGTTTTCTGATAGGGCCCCTAGAACAACTGCAGAATCAAGCATCACATAATTTTGTTGATAGAGTGATCAGAAGCAGTTAAAAAGAAGAAGAATCACTGCCCTCTACAAAGGTAACACCGGAATTCATCGGCAAAGTTTGGTCACACACCCACCGCGGTTCAGATCCATGCCTCACGCATCCCACTTCCAGATTCTCTTCCTTTGATCTCAGTCATCATACTTTACATTTGGTGCCAAAAGCCATTACGGTACCCTGCTAACACACGTCCGCTGCGTTATCTTCTAAAACAACGTGCCATCTGCTCTCCACAAGGCACCCCTCCTTCTAGTAAGATGGCTTGGATCCTGCCAATTGCAGACGCTCAAAGTTCAGAGGCCAAAGCAGCTAAATGCCATCACAAAGACACCCCGTGTTTCTCAAACACCTGGGCTCAGCACGTGCTTATCAGCCAGGTTTGGTGCAGCTGTTACGTGAACACAAATGTCCATAATCCCTTAATTCCTAATGAGAAAACGCCAGTTACAGTGCAGACCCCCGGCAATTTTGCCTACCTGTTGACCCAGGAGTTGTTTCAGGAGAGGACGCATTTTGCACTGTTGCTTTTTCATTTCTCTGATTTGATGAATTAAGTTTTTCTTGTCCTTTCACGCTTATTTCTGTTTTGTTACCAACTCCCTTAAAAAAGGAAAAAAAAAAGATTGTGTTAGCCTATTTATCTGTGTTATTGCTACCACCCGTACTAATCTACCCCTCAGTCCCAGAACAGAAACCTTCCATACAACACACACACATCATGAGCTGTACTACAGAGCTGCTTCTTTGCAGAACTTTCCATCCCTCTCCATCTCCCCTTATATACAAGGAAAAAAAAAATATATTCCAGTGACTTTTCTAAACATTACCTTCTCTCTAATGCTTAGGATGAAATAAATACTCTCCAGGTAGAGAGGCAGAAGGAGGAGGCAGAGAAATAGTCCTAAACCTTTTCCTTACACTGACTCTGAGAAGCTGCTGTGCACCTGAAGGAAGCTGGGAGGCAGAACTCATTTTAGAAGTCTTATGCAAAACGTAGTTATTTTTCAAAATATTATTAACAGTTTTGTCACCTTATCTGTTTCCCACAAATAAACTGCTTTTAAGATTTTCAGAAAATTGCTCCATTATTTTAACTAGTAAGCTGGAATTAAAAAACTTTAGTATTTTGAACACATTCTTAGCAAAAGTATGACCATCTGTAGGGAGCTCCTTGGCCGACAGTCAAAGTAGTTACTACCAGAGACTTTGGGATGCCCTGAAATTAGAGGTTTAATACAATACAAGATTGTTATCGTAGCCTGGCTTTTGTTAGATCTCTCCACTGAAAGAAACACGTATTGTAACGCGCAGTGGACACAAGTTTAAGCTCCACAGCCAGTCAGACTTGGGGTAACGATGAAGAGGAGCCGTCACTCCACAAGGCACATACCTTAGTAGAATAAACAAATTGATCGATGAGCTTCCCGTCCCCAGCAGCATTCTGAAGAGCAAAAACCTGTTCAATTTTAACAACTGGAGACATGTTACATTTCTGAAGATCCAGGTTGTGCATGGTTATTGAGGCTGGTAAGGATTTTCTAGCTGCAGCAGTTTTCCATGCGATTTTCACAGGAGGTGGCTCCTCCTCTTCCACGCTCGACTGCCTCCGTTGGCTTTGTCTTCGCAACTCCGCACTGGAAGGCGACGCTGCGACCACGTTGGCGTGCTCTGCCTGGGCGTTCAGTGCTGGCTTTGGACGTCGATTCTTCTTGGTCTCTGACTTAGAAGCAGCAGTCTTTTTGCCTTTTGACAAAACCTCCTCTGGCTCTTTGTCTATATAAATGAAGGTGTATTGTTCTATCCTTTCTTCCCGAGTCATTTTCAACGCTTTCTCAGCATGGGCAATGCCAATATCCCACTGAGCTCGCTCTCTTTGCGGCCTTGGTTTGCGGATCTTAAGGAACAAAGACAAGCAGCTAATTACACTGAAGAATCCCGAGGCTCTTCAAATCTCTCAGGCAGCAAATTTACGGTTACTCTCCATTTACAGTGTATTTTTGAAAGGTAGACTGAGAATTCCCCCACTCGGAGCACAAGCAGACACTCCAGCTAGATTGTACCACCACTACCATTAAAAGTGTCTGCCCTAAATTACGAATTCACTGAAGACGAGCAGGCAGTAATCACGCCCACGATTCTGCTACGGGATACAGAATGAAACCTGATTTACCTACTTCCAAATTCTCCATGTTTTTCCATAAACATCCTTTCCTTTCCACATCAATATTCTGATTAGCATAAATATTGACTCAAGTAATCCATCTACACAGAAAATAATTGCTGTAACTAACACTTCCTTTCAAATACAGCAGTGCAGGACATATGCACTAGTAGCAGGGGCTGAAGAGTCTCCTTTAAAATATGCATTTGCCACAGAACTGGTTAACAGTGAACACACAGATGTTTTTATTTAATTTTCTGACGGAGATGTAAAATCATCTCCAAAGCCCAGGATGACAACTGCCACGATGAGCAGACAAAGTTAAGCTACCAGAATTTTACCAAAATTTTTCAGGAGGAACATGGAAACATTTTAGGTATCTTCGTGAGCACACACAACCCTTCACGCAGCGAGGCACCGCCGTGTTTCACAGCTGCACCCATGAGTTTCACTTTCACAGGCACCGTAAATGCTCTTCTACACAGTTTGTGTTCACCGTACCTTCTGCTTCTCAGAGTGGTTGCTGGCTTGCTTAGCAGCCTCTGCCAATAACTGCTCGTACTGTTTGTGTCCTTTGTACTCTCGAACCCTCTTCTCGTGCACCCACGCCCGCTCCGGCTGGTTGCTAAAAAACTGAACATGGTATTCACGGGCACCTGAAATTGAGAAATTCCAGTCAGCAGTTTTGTTAATGCCACCTCTTGTGCTCAGCTTACGCTCTCCTACCCCACAACGCTCCGCTGCTGCGGTCGGAAACACCTCGCTGAGCTCAGAACTACGACAGGCCCAGATTCAGGGCAGGGTAAGACGGGAAGTTGAGCGCACCCTGCCCACCCCGAGTGCTCTCACCCTCGCGAGCGTCTTCTCCTAACACACTGCCCTGGGAGACGTGCACCAGCAGGGGTTGCACAGGCTCGTTTGCAGAGGTAACTTAAAAAGCTCTGGTTCTGTGCACTGCAGCAATCGTTCAGCTCAGAATACAACCGAGCAGAATCCACCCCACGAGGGGAGCTCGAAGACGAGGTTTTGCATAAAGGAACAAGTACAGACACCTGAGGCGTTCTAGCAGTCAGCCTCCTCCCTTACCTCTTGTGTTAATTTTGGTATGAACATCAAGCTGGGGGTCACATGAAACCATGCAAGGCCACCATGGGTACGTCCCCACCTTGGACCAAACCAGATCGCCAACCTGAAACTTGACGTCATGGGCGCCTTGCGTTGGAAGAGAAGGCAAGAACTGCTGGACCTACAAAGAACAAGGCAAGCTTAGCAGCCACGGGAGACAACTCCATGCACTTGCAGATACACACACGCCGTCGCAGGGATTTGTTATTTTTCTCTTGGGTATCACTGGGGTTTGGTCATCTAACGTGAGACAGACATTGCTGAACAACGTGGCACCAAGGGCTTGCACACAGCTAGGGTTTACACACGATAGCCACCAACAAACCAAACCACAACAGCCCGCCCCAAAAAAAAACAACCTAAAAAATAAACCAAAACAAAATAGAACAAACAAAAAATAAAAATTTAAACAGTTTCTGCTTTGTAAGTTGATTATGAATGTTGTAGACTCAAATAATAAATACAGTGTGAGAGATGGTTTGACACAGCAGTGATTAACGAGCATTTCAGAAAATGGCCACTGATTAATCTGACAAATTAAGGTACCCACATTGTAACTAGAACACAAACAGTAACACAAGGGAAGTTCAGAAGGCGTTAATCAGTAGGTGTACTAACCGGGGCTTCCTCCAACAGTGCATCTTCTCTTGGTCTGTCTGCTAGCATGCTAAGCCTCTCATTTGGTCTCTAGGACATGGGTAAGAATGAGGAGGAAAAAAGGAAAATAAACACAAACAAGATAAGGGGGCAGTAAAAGCAAAGAAAGCATAGTAATGAAACCAAACAGGAAAAATAAACAGCAAAGAGAAAAGCAACCATGAACCCAGGAAACAAGGGTGAGGATTCCTTATTCCCAGCTCAAAACAAAAGCAGCATCGCAGCCAAACGCCTCTTCCCCTCTCCGCTAGTTCCGTTCCCGTCACACCTCCATAGAGCACCGCTCTGCTGCAGCAGGTGACAGAAAACACGCAGGGGCATAAACCCAGCTGACATCCCACCCAAACGAACGCACCAGCTCCAAGGAGGAGATCCCCAGGAACACGGTGAGCCTCACCTCGTACCCGGTACTTGCAAGAAGTGCATTAAAAACTGATATTAAAGATTCAGTACGGAAACTGAAAGATCGGTGTTGGACTGCAGGGAGTTGATGTGTGTTTGGGGGAACAGAGAATGGCAACAAAAGACCTTTGAGGGTGTTTCCAAGGCAGGCTGAGCAGCCCATGCCCTCTGTCCCATGGAGGAGGGCTGCAGGGGCTTGGCAGAAGGGCGCTGGGACAAGCCCCGAGGTAAGAGGAGGGCTGCCAGCACCGAACGGGACGCAGAGCAGGCAGCAGAGATGTCGGGAGCCAAAGGGCTCAGGGAAAAGCAGGAAGAGGAGCCAGAGTCATGCAGTGGGGAACTAGCAGTGCTGTTAACCCAAATCACACCCAGCGTGTGTAAAGCCAAGGCCCCAGTTGGCCGCTCAGAGCCCACAAAACAATCGTTAAGGCCAAGCACGTTGGATTTGCTGGGCAGAAATCACTCTTGCCTGGCCCAGGAGAGCACGGTGCTGACTTCTGCCCTCCTTTCCCCTCCGTGAGCTCGTGGAAACCTCGGCTCTGGCAGAAGCTCTGTGCTGGTGCACAGGAAGCCTGCACGACGCGCCGCCGGCTTCCGCTGCCCGCAGAGCGCAGCCCAGGAGCAGAACAACTTCTTAGAACAAATCCTCACGGCGTAAAGTTCAGCGGTGTTTGCATAACATTTTCCTTTCCAATCAGTGTTCCCTGCGCAAACGCTCTGCCACAATCAGGGCTTGGCACTGAGATTGCAGCACCGGGAGGAGGAAGCCACCGCACGGCACCCTGCCTTCAGGTAACTGCTGAGCCCAAAAGCACGGGGCAGCGAAAGCTCCAGCAGGAGTCCTGGTTGTAAACTAAACTCAGCGTGGTAGGGACAAGTCTCACCCCATCAATGCCAAAGGGATCGTGCAGGTATACACCAGGAATGTGCATAAAGACTAAAAAAAAGCAGCGCTGTGATCCCTGCGGCTGTCTGAAAGCCGGGTGAGGGATGTGGGAGCAGCAGTGCCTTGAGGAAGGCAAACAGAAGCTGCCAAGTGGACAAAAGCAAGGCTTGGATTTCTGTGAGCCCAGGCTGACACACGTCGCACACGGCTGGGAGCTGAGAATTTTAGAGAGGCAAAGGTTTGGTTCGGTCTGGGGAAGCCAGCACAGCAACAAGACCGAAGAGGACGTCCTGGTCACGTCCTCTGCGCCAACCTCGCTTGTAGAATACGAGAGCAGCCAAAGGGACAGGCACTGCTGGAGCTGTGAGAGCCCGGCCCTGGTAAGAGGCAGAGCAGAGCAGGGCAGAGCTGACAGCCTGCCGGGGGGGCAGCCCTGGAGAAGAGGGCAGAAAGCCGGGCTGACAGCCTGCCCCCACTCACCTCCGAACGTACTGCACTCACTGAGGTTTATGGCAAAGTTTGGGGGGAACGCATCATCGCAGCAGCAAAGCCCTCAGCACCACCGCCACAGCAGGGAGGGCACAGACACAGCCCCGGAGGACTTGGACAGTCCATTTATTTATTTATTTTTATTTAATTATTTTAAAATCTCACTGAACTTCACCAGGCTCAAATAAAGCAGAAGCTCGGGGTCCTGCTGCAGCACCGAGCTGACCCCTGGGGGAACTCTGCCCACTGGATTAGCGGCTCTAAGACCTGTAAATATTCCTGGTAAGAGAGGGGCCACATCAGCAGCTCTTCCATTCAAATAAACACTTTTAAAAGTAAATAATGATAAATCAAGCTTATGAACCTGCTACACCAGATCAGAGCCCTGATCTGGAGCGCGAGATCTTCTCCCAAGCCCACCAGAAGCAGCGGGTATTGCCAGCCTGGGACATGGAGAGACAGCCTCACGGAGCGAGCAGGAATGGGCAAGAGGAAAGGAAGCAGAAGCAAGGAAGTGGCCGAAGAGCCTGAGGAAAAGAAAAAGGCCGAGAGGACCAAAGAGCAGCAGCCCGTGCCTCTGCCTCCTGGAATGTAAGCTGGAACAGCCCCGTGCAGCCCTGTTACAAGGCACCAACAGTTCTGAGGGTTTGCTGGGCCAGCTGCTAGTTCAGATTTGCCTGGAGCACTGATTTCTACCGGCTCCTGCATGCACCACATCAACAGCTCTGGCTTTTAGTACAACATCACAACATTCACACATCCACCAAGACCTCACGGCCGTGGCCAACATCAGTCACACACCAAGCACGTTCAGACACCGCACAGACCCAGGGACAGTGCTCTGGGTGGATCTGTGCTTTGGAGAAGCAGATGATCGTTTCCACAGGGGAATCAGACTGCTCCTACATTTGGGAGCTGTGGTGATGAATGCTCTGGGTAACCCCGAACAGCCCAGCTGTGCTTCGAGAGGCAGCTTCAGGACCTGCGTGTACCTGCGTGCTCCTGGTCAAGAGCCCCAACCTCCAACACTGCCCACAGCGCAGCCAACTCTGAGCACGCTGAAGCACTAATACTAAAAATCATTAAATCAACTTTTCTGATGCTTATTTTTCATTCGCAGGCTTCTCACCACAGCTCTGTTGCTCTACGAACACATTCCCAGCAACCTAATACAGAGCCCCTGACAGCAGGCACAGCCTCGGGGCTCTCGGTGCGCACACCTAGGAGCAAGGGAACGCACGGCTGGAGGCGCACGCTGCAGCACCAGCAGCAGGCACACAGACGGCTGACACCCTTTTTCCACTTACATTTTGCTCCTCTGGTTCTAGTTTGGGAATTTTGTGCGACTTGCGCTCTTCCGAGCGGGAAGAGTCGTGCTTGCTACTTTTTTTCCTTTTCTCTTTCCTCCCCTCGTGTTTCGCCTTGGCGTACTCGCTCGCTTGTACTTCATTTAAAAGGTCCCCGCAAAGGGAGGACTCGAACAATTCCCTGCCGTTCTGGATAGTTTTGGTTATTTTCAGTTTGATCTCTGGCGAGCCAGTCTTCTTTGGGATCCCCGTTTGTGCACCTGAAGGCGGCGGTGGCGGAGGAGGAGGATGCGGCTGGGGAGGGGGAGCTTTGTCCAGGACTTCGTGCGGCCGCGCGCTGCAGTTCTCCATTTGGTAGTACTCTGCAGGGCCAAAGTTCCTGACGGCGCCGAAGCCGTTGGCCGAGCCATTGGGGTACTGGCCGTACGCCTGGTACTTGGCGGGGGGCTCGTAGCCGCCGCCGGCGGGGGGGAAGCCGTTGGTGAGGGGCGGGAGCTCCTCGGGCGCGGGGTACTGGAAGCCCGGCTGCAGGGCGCTGTCGTACGGCGCGGGGCCGGCGTCTTCCGCGGCGTCGCTGCCGGCATCAAAGGCGTCCTCCTGGCGGACGTTGGCGGAGTCGATGAGCTGAGGTGGCTGCTGGATTGTGTTTCCCATGATCCCTTGCATGAAAGAGAACGAGAAATCCATTGTTCTGCTCCGGCATCCTCAGCTCTCCCTTCTTCTCACAGGGCCTGCGGGCACAGGGCAGAGGGAGGCAGCGTTACGGGAGCAGCCCCACAGCTGAACGCGGCCACCCCCGGGCTCCCCCCGCCCCCCACAAGGGAGCTGCTCCCTTGTCCCGTGTCCCCCTCCTGCTTCTCCAGACAGCCGAAGAAGTGATACAAGCACCTGGAGGTGCTTCGGAGCTCTGAGGCCGGCTGTTGGGAGGCCAGAACAGTGGTGCCCAAATGCAAACCACACCACGGAGCCCTCCTCGCGTGGTGCTGGGCCGCGTGGCTGTGCCACAGGGCAGGGGGAGGAGGCCCTCAGCCCGCCCCAAAGAGCACCCAAAGGACACAGAAACAATTCCTCGTCCTCCCTGCCAGATTTCAGGGCTGGGGAGGAGCCCTTGGATGGCAGATACCCACAGCAGGGCCTCTGCTCAGCCCCTGAAGCGACCCGCACCCACCTCGGCTGCTGGCAGAGCTCAGGGGGGGCTCCCCCATCCCTTCCCTCACCAAAAGCAGAGCCGAGCCTGCCCCGTTTGGCTCCGGGCAGGCAGAGGGGAGGGCTGCCCCCTCGCTTCCCCTCCTTATGTTAACACCGAGCACCCAGAGCTTAAATAAAGGCTGATCACAAGCCGAGGGGAGCAGCCCCGGCACAAAGGATCCCAAACCCGTGCTCGGTCACGGGGGTATCACGGGGGGGGGAGACGCCGCTCGCCTTCCATTTGCCATCTCTATTAAAACACCAGAGTCAGACTAAACCACAGTCAGATTGTCAGAACTCAGAGGCTCAGAAGGAGCTTCTCACCTTCGTTATTATTACTAATAAAGCCCTCCCCAAACCAACCCCGATGTTCAGCATGGAGAACGCAGGGTGACCCGAGCACAGGTACGGCCAGCAGCGTGCAAGGTCAGCTCAGCCCTTCCAAAGCAAACACGGCCCCGGGTTATTTATTCTGCTCGCCGCGGGCACGCAGCAGGGTGGCTGTGCCCTTTCGGCCAGCGTTTGGTGTGACACCAACACCTCCCGCTGTCACAGGAGCCCCCACAGCCCCGTCCCCCACCTCTCGGCTTTCAGGTGAGGTTCTCCTCAGGGGCTGCCAGGAGAAACTGAGTTACAGCAGCAACGAGAACCTGGCCAGCATCGTGTTATGTGCTTTGCCAGCTCCGTCCTGGGGTTATATTCACGTTGTGCTCATCCCCACTGCCCGGTGCCATCAGCTGGGGCACACCTGGCACCGTAATTAAGGAAATTTGGGGAGCAACCTAAGAGCACGCGGCCGTGCAGCAGGACCTGCCAGCTGCAGCAACTTCAAATCCTGGGGCAGTGAAACCACGGCAGCTCTCAGCCACAAAACCCCCAGTGAAGCGTTGCTGCTGGTGGCAGGGGCAGCACACGCAGTGAGAGCACTGCCTATCGAGGTCACAGCTCCCCACAGCACCCCACAGCTCCTCACATCACCCCACGGCACCCCAAGCCCCCGCCCATTCCAGGAAGAGGAAGAGGAACTGCCTGTGCTAGCTGCAAATTAATTGCTGCTTTGCATCTGCCAAAGCGAGGAGCACACAGATTTCTCCCACTGGTAGGGAATTTCACCCCAGGCTGTTGTTATTTGTTACTAAAAACAGAACCAATCCATGGGGCTCCTCTGCAGTGCTCCAGAAGAGCCCAGGCTTACAGCCCCGTGCGTCCTGCAGGGCTCACCCACTGGGCAGGGACACAAACGCTGGAGTTACCCAGCTCGGCACTTTAGGTTTGAAACAGGGATTTCTCCTCTTCCTTTACCCAGCGCTCTGACAGCTGCCCAGGTGTTTAGCTCAGCACCAGCCCCACGTAATGCAGCTCACCCCGAATGTTGGTGGGGATATCCCGGAGGCACAGCACGCAACAAGCCCTGGGAGAGCTCAGCCCTGCAGGGCAGGCAGCCACGCAGCACCCCGTGTAGGAGCAGGGCTTTGCTCGTGGCACACGCTGTTTGAGCAATTCTGCTTTGTGCTGTCCCTGCCTTGCTTGGGGGAGCAGCAGCCGCTCCCTGCTCAGCCCCCGGCACCACCCGAGCGCTATCGGGGACAGCCAGGGGCAGGGCAGGGCAGGGGCTGCTCCTCCTCAGCTCTCGGAGCAAGTCCCGAGCTGGAACAGGCCCTGGGTTAGCAGCCTGCTGGATGTCCTGACGTGGACACACGTGTGGGTTAGCAAACCTCGAATCACCACTGGGACTGGAGCAAGAGCTGGCAGCTAAACACAAATCCAAGCGGTTTTTTAAAGCAATTCCCTCCCCGCTAAACAACAGCCTCAGACCCTGCAGGGAGCGCTCAGCTTCCAGGCAGGACCCGCACCGGGCACTGCACCGCTGGGACACCGCAACTCACCCCGCAGGCAGAGGTAACGCACGCAATTTCATTAGTTCAAGCACGGGAAATGATTCCAAGTCATTTAGGCACGAAACTGGTACTTTTTAGCAATACTGGGAGCAACAGGGAACCAGAGAGACCTTCAGGACCCCAGGTGAATTTCCGACCCGGAGAAAAAGGAGCCTGCTCCCTAGCACTGCGGGCAGGGCCCTGCCTGGAGGAGAACCAGGACCCGTCAGTGCTAAGGGTTTTTGGTTTTGTTTGCAAAAACTTTTTGTTTTTGTTTGCAAACACAGCCCCGTGCTTTGTCCTGCGGCCAGGAGTCACAGCTCGAGGCATGGGGGGAAGAGGTAACTGGGATAAACCAGGAGGAACAAGCTCTGCTGGGGGCAGGACCCGGCTGGCCCCGAGCACAGGTACCAGCTGCTGATAAAACCAGCACAGCACACCAATATTTTACACCCAGCGTCCATAAAACCTCCTGGAATGATTTTACCTCTTCTCACTGCCTGCTGCCCGCCACCACGTGCGTGACCTACGATGGCCCGGCACTTGTTGGGCTGGAGGCCTTTGACAGAAACACAGGGAGCAGAACCTGCCCCGCTGGGCTCCCATCCCCACTCCCTGCACGCACACCTACATCAGAGTGAGTTGCAAACCTGCTCGTGTCCTGCCCCCAGCGAGCCCTGAGCCTCGCAGCACCCGCTGCCCTCCAAACCCATGGGTCTGGCCCAGGCAGGCTGGGCTGGTTCCAAACTGCTGCGATTGATTTCCCTCCCGGCTCCACTCTGCCCTGCTCAGTGCCCCTGGCAGCTGTGGCTGGCGTCCTGCAGCAGCTCAGCACCGACACCTGACAGCAAACACCTCACTAGACCCAACCGTGCCCGTGCTTTTTCTACAGCTGCATCAAAACCGGCTGGGGAGCCACCTCCCAGGGCACTACAGCCCCTACGCTTTGAGAAATAACTCAGCACGAGGCAGGAGTGCAGCGACCACCTGTAGGTACTGCTGCGTTGGGTGTTCACGGGCTGCTCTGTCTCGTTTTGTCCTGGATACCTGTACAAAACCCCGCAGTATTTCCACTTCCACACCCTAGGCCCGTGCCCAGTTTCCAGCCGGGCACAGACTCGTCAGCACCTACAAATTGCACCTGTGGATTGGGACTGACTTCAGCTGGCCCGAGCAGCCTCCTCCAGCAGGCACCGCAGGTGAATCAGAGGCCTCCTGACAAACTTTGCTCAACGTTTAGAGCTCACAGTGAGGCTGGTCACCTCCCTACAGGTTCTGAGTGCCAGGAGAAACAGCCCCGTCTGCCAGAGGGCTCTGACACGGCCACTGTTACCGAGCTTCCCGCGGGGGAATGGAAGCAGCCACCTCACACAAACACTGTGCATTTAGAAACAGAAGGGGTAACAGGAGCGTGGGGCACTCGCTTGTTCTGAAGAGCCTCAGGACTCAAGCGAGGGACATGGAGGAAACCCTCTGGCTCTCTGGGGAGGCTCAGAGCCCAATATCCACACAACACCAGGAGTCAGAGCTTTGGCAGCACCGAGCGCTGTGTGAATCACAACCCGCTCACACGCACGGAGGCCGGGCTAACAGCCCCACGGCCCCACAGCCCCTGCACCCCCCCAATCCCCGGCAGCGCTGCGGGGCCAAAATCACCCAAAGGCTGCGAGCAAACACCACAGAGCCCCTGAGCCGCTCGTGCTGCGGCTGGGGCAGGCTCCGAGCAGCTCCCCGAGGCTCCCAGCCCCCCCAACAGCCCCGGGAGCCCCCAGGCCGCGGCTGAGCCTCCCCTCAGCGCCCCGCAGCCGCCTCCAGGCCGTGCCCCGAGCCTCGGGGGGGAACCGGGACCCAGGGAGCGGGACCCACGGACACGGCCAGGGACCCACGGACACGGCCCCAAGGCACCGGGGCACGGAGCGGCGCCGCGGGCAGGCTCCAGGCGCGGCCCAGCGGCCCCGAAGCCGCTCTCGGGGCCTGTCCGAGCCGTGCCGGGCCCGCCCCGGCCGCTCCGCTCCGTGCCCGCCGCGAACATGGCGCCGCCGCCCCCCGGTGCCCGCCCGCGCCGCCCCCGCCCTCACCTTCCGTCAGTTCCATTCTAACCGCCCCCGCCGAGCCCCGAGGAGACAAAGGCCGGCGGCGGGGGCGGCGGGGCCCGGCCCGGCCCGTCCCGTCCCGTCAGGCCGCCGCCGCCGCCGCCCGTTGCCCGCAGGCCGCAGCCCGGGCCTCGAGTTCCGCGCCCCCGCCGCCGCCGCCGCCGCTGCCGCCGGGCCCCGCCCCGGGAGGGCTGCGCGGCCGCGGGGAGGCGCCGGGCGGGCGGCGGGGTGAGGCGGGCGGGGGGTGAGGCGCTGCGCTGCGCTGCGGGGCCGCCCCGGGCCCGCCCCGCGCCGCTCCGAGCCCCCGGCCCCGGCCCCGGCCCCGCTCCCGCGCCGCCGCCTCCGCCCCCCGCCGCTCCCCCGCCGCTCTGAGCCGCGCCTGCGCGCGACGCCGCCTCCCATTGGCTGCGCCGGAGGGGGGCCCGCCGCGGGGCATGCTGGGGGATGTAGTTCTGGGGGAACTACAAGCTGGCCCCAAAGCCTTCCCCTACCCCTTCCCTTTTCTGTTCCTCTCCCTGCTGTGCATTTGTAGCCCCGAGTGCCCGCAGTTGCTGGGCTGCTGCTGTTCTCGTGGCTGCGGGGTGGGAGCACAGCTGCTGCTTCCCACTGACTCCTCCTGACAGCAATCCTCATCCTCCTCCATTTTTCTCCTCAGTTTTTCCCTGTTCAGCTTTCTTGCACGCCACTTTTGCCTGTTCCCAAGTTTTTATGTGAAACGGCTGCTTGGTTGGGAAGCTGCCCCCAGAGCTAACACTGAATCCATGCCAGGGAGGCTTCACAGCAGCACCTTGACCCTCCTTAGCCTCCTAAGGAAAGAAATCCCATGGGAGCAGAACGGCCGTTAGCAGCATAAAGCACTCGGGCACCAAGCCGTACCGTTGCACAGCCCGCACTGACACCGCAGAAATGTTTTTGATCGTAAAAACCGATCTGGAGGAGCGGCGGGGAGTTTTTTTTTCCCAGAACTTAAGGGCTTGGAGACCAGCCCCGATGGGAAATGCAGCGAGAGACCTCTGGCGGCCGGCCTCGGGAGCTGCCTGCCTCGCTTCTCACCCGTTTCCCAATTCCTTGTTATTTATTTATTTATCTATCTATTTATTTATTTATTTATTAAGAGACCCGCCCAAACCCGCCTGTGCAAAAGGGCCTAATGGGGCAAACAGGGCCTGGATGGGGCCTAATGGGGTCAAACTGGGTCTGAATGGGGCCTAACTGGGTTTGAACTGGGCCTAAACAGGGTCGGACGGGACCTGAATGGGGCTTAACGGGGCGAACGGGGTCTGGACGAGGCCTAACTGGGGCCTAGCGGGGCCCAACAAGGCCTCAATGGGGCCTAATGGGGCCTGAACTGGGCCTAACGGGGCTTAATGGAGCCTAATGGGGCCTAACAGGTCCTAATGGGGCTTAACGGGGCCTTACGGGCCCAATAGGGCCTAAACGGGACTTAATGGGGCCTTAACGGGGCCGAACGGGCCGCGCCGCCCCCTCCCGTCCCGCCCCGTCCCCGCCGCCGCTCCTCGCGCCGCCGCCACGCCCCGCCCCGTGACGTCACTCCCCCCCTCGCGCGTCCCCACCAATCACCTCCCTTCCCCACGGGGCACCTCGGGTTGCGCCCCGCCCCCTGTTCTCCCATTGGCTGTCCGCCGGCAGGGCCGCGGCTGCGCCTCCCGATTGGCTCCCGCCGAAGCGGCCGCGACGCATTGATGCGGGGGGGGGGGAACCATAGAGAGCCGCGCTTAGGCTAGAGCGGCCGGCGCAGGGCGTGATGGGACGGCGCTGGCGGACCGAGCCCGAGCCCGGTACCGGTAGGCCCGGGCCTAGGCCCAGCCCCCCCGGGACGCCCCGGGACGAGGCCTCTGTGAGCTCCCGGCTGTGTAACGGGCACCGAGCTGGATTAAACAGCGTCTCCTTCGCTTTTCTGCCCGTAGTGGCTGGGTCTGCGCTGAAACGAGGGCGTTCGGCCTGCTCGGCGCCTGCCTTCCCGCGCCTTGTGCTTTAAATAACAACATTTAAATAACTTAATTTAAATATTAAAATTGTGCTTTAAATAATAAAATTTAAATAATTTAAAAAGCTTAAATAATAAAATTGTGCTTTAAATAAAATTTAAATAGCTTAAAAAATTTAAATAATAAAATTGTGCTTTAAGTAATAACATTTAAATAATTTAAAAAGTTTAAATAATAAAATTGTGCTTTAAAAAATTTAAAAAGTTTAAATAATTGTGCTTTAAATCAGCCACGGGCTGCACCAGGAAATAAGGTGAGTGGTGTGAGCAAAGCTCTGAGGTTCCTGGTTTAACCATGACAAATACAAATTACACAAACGCAGCGCTGTGACACAAATCCTATATTTTTATTTTTGATCCTGTAAGTGTAATTTCTAACTGCGCTGACCTGCGTGTGCTTCCTTCAGTAGGTGCAGCCCAGGAGGTGCAGCTCCACTCAGCACCAGGGCACCCTCCTGGCTCCTGCCCCCGCCGTACAGGGAGGAAAGGTTAAAAAACAGCGGCCTGCAAGTAAAATGCAGCGCTATGGCCTTAGGGAAAAACGTGTGAGCGACCCTTCTGAGAGCAAGGAGGGGAAAAAAAGGAGTTTGACAGCGTCACACAGAGCACATCAGCAGTGCAGGTTCCTGTATTATGGACGTGGTTTAGCCTGAGAGCCCCCGCTGTGTGCCCTGTCCTGGGAGGTAAGGACAGCACGAGGAGGTGTGCCGGCACATCCCGCCCTGTGTGCGGCAGCTGGTTGTCCGAAAGAGAGTTCTTGTGTTAGTCCAATCTGAGAAAAGCAGCAATAGAAAAAAAATAAATAAAAGGATTTTAAAAAGCGTTTGCATTGGTACTGTCTAAAATCTGCAACTTTTACACTCAGACTACACTGGAAGCACCTCAGAGCAGCAAGGCCGGTGCCAGCGGAGCCTAGCCTGAAGCCAGCAAGGACAATCCACCGCTGGAGGAGAAAAGCTTTCATCTCTCCACCTCCTTAAAAGGGAAGAATGATTTTCCAGCTGGCTGCTTTTACACAGAAACATGTCAGTCGTCCTGAGGGGCTCTCTCCCTCTGTTCCAAGCCCATTAGCAATCGGGCAGTGCTAAGATTATCCAGATGACACCGGCTTCTCGTTTGTGCTCCACTCCCTCTACCCCCCACCATTTTAACTTATGCTGTAAATACGTTGATACCTGCACTGCTGTCTGTGCTGTTACTGAACAGGTGCTCGTGCTCCTAAACCCGAGGAAAGGCAGCTTTCCATCCTCATGAAGGGCTGGGCACACAAGGAACTAGGCTAGACGCCCAGTGAAGCCTGCTCTGCTATCTGAAATCCCAAGCAAGAACACAACCACGTATCCAGGGCTTGCAGCTTGCCCTGCTGCTGCGGCTTGATAGGTTCAAGCTCTCGATCCTAGGCAGCGTGGTTTAACTGATTAAAAAGTGCACAGTGTGTATGTAAATATTCAGAGATTACTTTATGGACGATAGATACGGGTATTCATACTTACTGTAAAGTCAGACGTGGTGCTGAGTAGCATGAAATGTCTTTGCTAGAGGCCAGGCAGCCTTTAGGGCAAAAAAGTCATCTCAAGGTGAGGCGTTATCAGCGCTTCAAGCACCTGACTCCAGGCTCCTGCAGAAGGCAGCTGTGTTTTTGGCTCGGTACCTGCCCCTCTGCCTCGTTAGTTACTGGTATGCAGTGCTGCATATTGGTATTTAATTGGTAAATGATGGCAAATGTGGCTTCAATAAAAGAACCCCATTGCTCACACCTCGCTCCTGCCTCGCTGCAGCATGGACGCGGTGCTGCCAGCGGCCGTGCTCCGCTGTCAGAGCTGGAGCAGCCTTCGACTGCTTCTGAGGCAGGACACCTCGCCTCCCCGAAAACACTGCCAGCTGCTGAGCTGCCAGGGGCACTGGGACCTGACATCCGCAGGGCCTGAAAAAGCATTTTCTCCCCTAAAGAGCTGAGTCCAAGCATTCAGTGCGATATTCCAGTGGTGTTGGGAGCAGAGGTCAACGTGCAGGGGTATAAGAATGGAAGTAAGTTCTGTGTTATGGGTACAGCAGGTAAATGGGTACAGATCCTGAATGTATAGGTACAATTCCTGAATTTATAGGTACAATTCCTGAATGTATAGGTACAATTCCTGAACTTGAGGTTATTGGAAGAGCCGTGTGAGGCAGAAGTGTGAGGGGCTCAGCCACAAAACCCCGCAGGGTGTAGGCGAGGGGGGGCTCTGCCTCTTCCTGCAGCCCCTCCGAGCCTTCCAGTGCCGCTTCCCACCGGCAGGTCGCAGCAGCCCTCAGGCTTTGGGGAGAAATGTGGTGCTGGAGAAGCCTCAGAACCAGGAGCAAAACCTCTCCCGGGCTGGGATCGCGCCCTGCTGCCCTCACGCCCCTCAGATTTAACACCCCTCAGATCTCACCCTGCTCCTGGCCTCAAAAATTTAGTGGAGAAATCATTTTTATTTCCAATTGAGACCCCCGGGAGGGAGCGTTACCCAGATATTCCCCCTTGGCAGGGCCCGGCTGAAGGCGCCCATCGTGGCTGAAGAATTTCGGATTCCCAAAATCAGCCACGGCCGGAGCCATACGGCACACATGGTGCCACCCTGCCAGTCCCAAAGCTTTCCGGGCACTCAGAGAGTTTGGGGCTGAATTTCAAGTTGCTGGGGGCTTTTTCTGATTTCAGTCAGAAGTCCCCCAGCAGTCCCGCGCCGCTCTGAACAAACCCAAACCAGACCCCAAATCCCTCAGGGGGGGCAGAGCGCAGCCTCCCCCGGCCGTGCCACAGGGCTCAGCTTCCTGCGCCCCCCCCTCCCTGACCCCAAAATGGGGGAAAATCAGCGTTTTCACTACGCGACCCCCCCCCGAGATCGCAGAGGAAGCGAACCCAGCAGAGCCCCGTAAATTTCTGGATTCTGCTCTGCAACGTGGGGCAAATGAAACGCGGCCGAGCTCCAAGGCCGTGTGTGCTTTGGCGTGGGGAGAGCTTTTCCAGCCCTTCGGTGCCAGACACCTTCCAGCCCTCCCCTTGGAGCTTTGTCCTCCCCCTGGGCATCCCCACGGCCACCGCTCGCTGCAGGGGAGGGCTCGGCCCCGAGGGACCCCAAACCCGTGGCTCTGACCCCTTTTTGCCTCCGTCCCCCTGGCCTGGCCCCGCTGCGGGGGATTTCTGCTGAGACGTCCCCGTGCCACGGCCGTCCCCGGCCCCCCGTCAGCCTCTCCCCTCCGAAGGCTGCCGGGGAAAGATGCCGCGCTCAGCACTTCTGCAGCAGATTAATATTCCGAGGGAGCAGCGCTGATTTAGTGGGGCCCAAGCACAACAAAGGCTGAGATTTATGGCCCTCGGTATTAGAGCATTACATTCCGTGCAGGCTTTCTGTCTCTGGTATAAATTTGTAACAAAGGCGGCCGAGGCTTACACCAGCTTAAAATAATGTAGAACAAGGGCTCGAGAGCCAAACCTGGCAGGGAGAGGAACCGGGAGAGTTACGGGGTGCGGACGGCGGGGATCCCCCGGGATCAGCCGGGATCTTCCCTCCCCACCTCGTGCTGGGGTGCAGGGGGAGGGCCGGGGGTGCCGGTGGGTGGGTGCTGAGGGCAGCCAGGATTTTGGTGAACCCCAACCCGGAGAGGGAGCAGGGGGTGCGGGGATCCCCCCCGAGCCCTCCGCACAGTGGCAGGGCTTTGACGGGAGCGGGAAGGATCCGCAGCTGCCCGGGTTCGCAGCCCCAGGTTTGTTGGGATGAAATCAAGCCGAGCCGCGGTGTTTGACAGGGGCTGGTGCGCGCTGTCAGGGAGGTGATGGGCAGCAGGACAGCCCCACTGAGCACCCTGCCAAAATCCTGCTAAGGGGGGGGCTCCAGCAGGGCTGGGGGGCTCACACCCCTCACACCCACCCGGGGCAGGGGCGCAGAGCCCCGTGTCCCAGCGGCCGCATCCAGACCCCATCCCCTGCCCTCGGTGCTCCTGCACAAGCGCCTGTCCCGTGGGGATGCAGGAGGAGGGGGAAGGGGCTCCCCCGCCAGCCCCCAGCCCTGCCCAGGGCTCTGGAGCTTCCACCCCATTTCCTGCACGCTCTGCTTGGCCGCCCCTGGGGTTGGGGGTTATTTCCTCCCAGGGAAATAATTTATGGCTGGGGAGCTGCCCCCGGTGCTGCGGGATGCTCCTGTGCTTGGCATGGGGTGGGAGCTGGCAAAGCCCTGCCCGGGACACCCCCAGCCCCGCTCCCAGCCCCCAGCCCTGCTCCCGGCCCTGCACACACGGAGCAGCGAGGTGGGATGGCGAGGAAGGCTCCTGACAGCGCTGGCAGCCAGACAAAGCCCAGCTCCCAGCCCAGCCGAGCAGCCAGAGCCTGGGCCGGGGCCAAGAGATTGTCTCGGTGCTGTGCAGCCGAAGGGCTTTAAAAGGAGAGGAGGAGGAAGGCGAGGAGTGGGAGACACAAAGGATGCTGCAGGAGCCAAAAGTGTGGCCACGGGTGAGGTGCTCGGTGGCCACCAGTGCCTGGTGCCGCCAGGCCACGTGCTCGGGGTGCGGGATGGGGTTTGGGGTCTGGGTGTCCCCATCTCGGGGTCGGGGTGTCGCTGTGTCCCCGAGCTCGAAGGGGATGCTCCCAGGAAGGGCAGAGGGGCAGAACTGCAGAATCCCCTGCCCTGGGTGCTGGCAGCTGCCCCGTGCCCACCCAGAAACCCCCAAACCCCCAAACCTGCGGTGTGAGGGCAGGCACCAGCGGCGCTGCTGGAGTCGCTCTGCTTATTATCATATTTAATTGCCCTCCTGGTAACCCCAGGAAATGAGCAGAAGATTGTGATAGCAGCAGTTTCTGATGATGTAAACACGAGCTCCATCTCTCCCCGCCGCCTTGCCAAGCCGGTCCCAAGGAGAGCGGTGATTTATGGATGCCCCCAGCCCCGCTCCCCCCGCCGCTGCCTGCCTGGGCTGCGAGTTTAATCTAGGGCTGTGAATTCAACATAAATCACTTGATTAAAAGCCCTACTTAATTTAGGAGGGGAGGGGGCGAGAGCGCAGCTGATCGATTTAATTTACACATGGAAATAGCAACAAGCAGATGCTTTTAAAAGGGCCGGGGAGACAGGGAGCACCGCGAGCCTGCAGCCTTAACCATTTCCTGGCTAAGGAGAGGGGCTGCGAGCCCCTCGCCCTTGCCCCTCGCCCTCGCGGTGGGTGAGTCAGGTCCCAGCCACGCTGCCAGCCCTGGGGACCCCCCCGCCATGTCCCCCCCAGGGACTCCTGGCGATGCCCGTAACCGCCCGCTGCTCCCCGGTGCCTTTCCCAGGGCCGGCGCGGTTTCCGCGGGCAGCAGCTCACAGCTGAAGGCAAACGGCCTGGAGCTGGCACCGGATCCAGTGCTGGGAGGAGGAGGAGAAGACGAAAAAAGTGCAGGGAGCGAACTCGGGGCTGACGTCAGGGCGGAGGGAGGGCTGCGCGCGGCCGCCCAGGCTGGAGACATCCCCGGCACCTCCGGGACAGGGGGGGCCCAAAAACACAAACCTGTCCCCCCCGGCCTCCAAGGAAGCCACCCAGCTGCTCAGCCTCGTCTTCCTCGCGGGGAGCAGCTCCCTGATGGGTGGCGGGGAGGGGGTTAAGGGTCCCTGGGTCATCCCCAGCGCTGGAGGCTGGAGCCCAGCTGGCCTCGCGCGCCGAGCTTTTGGCGAGGACGGCGGCGCGCACGCGGCTGCCAGAACATCTGGCTGCAGCCCCCGGCCGAGCCCCCCCTGCTCTGGGAAGGGGCTCCCTGCCCGGGGACGGAGCGGCCATGGGGGGGAACAGCCGGGGGGGTCCAGCCTGGGGGTGGGAAACACGTGGGGGTGACGCCTGCCACCGTCATGGGCACCGCGCGCTGGTAGCGGAGAGGAGGCAAAGGTTGCTGAACGGGGTGGAATTGGTACAGGGGAATTTTGGGGTCAGGAAAAACAGCTCCCAGCAGAGCAGCCCGCATTCCTCGCAGCCTTTGAACTCCTTCTGCCCAAACGGGCAGCCCGGAGGAGCCGAGGGTCCCGCGGCGTCTCCCAGCACCGGGGGCCAGGACCTGGCCGCACGCGGGAACTGGTAAAACTGGGCTCCGGCGCGGCTTGGTTAAAGTCTTTAATAATTACAAGAATTCCAGATTCATTACAGAAGAGTTTACAACAAATAATATTTCTCCATACAAAGGCAAAATAAAACTTTTCAAGTAACAGCGCCCTGGCTCTGCCGTGCCGGGGAGGGACAGGGACGCGCGCCCCCACCAAGGCACCGCCGGGCAGCTCTGCGGGCCGGGCACCGGCACCGGCACCGCCGGGCAGGGCAGGGCCCGGGGAGGGCTGCCCGGCACCAGGACGCTCCCCGCGGCGCCGGTAAGGCACAGGAGGGCATGGCCCAGGAGCGGGGGCTGCCCGGGAGCGGGGGCCGTGCTGTGCCAGCGCCCCGGTGTCAGGGGGCTGCAGCCGGCCCAGCAGCGCCTGGAGACCCCGGGAGCCAGGGGGGAGGAAAGGCCATTTACACCATGACAACGTGCTCCCAAAAGGCATCGACACATCATTATTACTGTTGAATACAACCCCATATAAAACTGAAGCAGCAGCAGCAATTCTTATTGAGGGACCTAAACTGAAATAGGTTTAGAACATAATTTAAAAAAATAAAAACAGCAAAAGTAGCAAAATATATGATTTTTTTTTTTTTTATAGCAACTGATATCTACCAGCCACTAGTACCTTACTACCAAACTGGTATATCTCTGGTAACAACCCTTTTAAAAAGACATGTAAATATATATTCATATTTATACATATTTTTAGCTATGTACACAGGACTTTTGTTCCCAGCACCGGCCGTCGGCTGCCTCTGCCGCCGGTGCTGAGCCCGCGCTGGGTCCCCCCTCCGAGGTCCCGGGGGTTTGGTCACCGGGGGCAGCCTCACAGCACCACGCACCCGAGGCTGTGCCGTGGGACCCCTGCGTGGTCGGGGATCACCCCCCTGGGCTCCCCGTTTCCCCCCGGGACACCACGTCCCAGCAGGGCGCTGGCCCCCGGGGAGGATTTGGGCTTAACCAAGTGGAGAGATCGAAGCGCAGAGCTCACGGAGGAGCTGAAAGGAAAGGAAACACCCGACACCCAAAACACCGAGCGAAGCCTGCGGGCTGCAGAGTTCCCAGCGGAGGCGGCAGGAGGAGCTGGCAGGAGACGTGGGTGGTTCTGGTGCCGGGATGCTGCGGCCGTGCCTCCGAGGCCCCTCTTGCAGCTCGGCACGGCCGGGCCCCGCGGCGGCACCCCCCCGGCACCGCGGCACCCGCGGGCGTCCGGTCCCTTGCTGGCCGTGCCAGCCTCAGTGTCGCTTCAGTCCGCCGTTGGTGTGCTGGGGGGGGTACTTGGGAAGGCACGGCTCGTCCGGCAGAGGGTCGTGAGAAAACACAGAGTCCTCCCCCGAGGAGCAGGTGGAGCTGCGCGTGTCCGGGAAGCCGGGCGAGTACTGGTCCAGCGGCACCGAGAGGTCCAGGTACTCCTGCAAGGGACGGGGCTCAGGCGGGGACGGCGCAGCCCCGGGAGGGGGTCCCGGATGGGGTGGGCGCACGGGGGGTCCCCTACCTGGTTGGAGGTCATGGCCACGATCCTGTCCAGGTCCTCCACCAGCTGCTTGAAGGTGGGGCGCTGCGAGGGGACGGCGTGCCAGCAGTCCCGCATCATCATGTACCTGGGGGGGCCAAGGGGCGAGAGCTGAGCCGGGTCCCGCGGGCGCACGGGGAGCTCTGCACCGTGGGCCGGCACCGTCAGCCAGCAGAGGTGGGATTTGGGGGATTTTGTGCTGTTCTGTGCTCATCTCCTGTGTGGGAGGAGGGGAAAGCCCCCGCTGTGGGCACGGGGAAGGACACGGGGCTGTTTTGGTAGGACCTAACCTAAACTCAGCTGGTCCCTGCTCTGGGGTCATTCTGGGATTCGCTCCTGCTGAGCAGTACCAGGGGAAGATGTTGATTATTGCAAACAGATTGAGCTGATGTTTTCACGGGGCCGGGAACTGCTGGAAAAGTAACTCTGAACATCTGCCTTCCCCGGCGTGCACCTGCCTGCGCTCCGGGATGGGAGCACGAGGTTTGCCTGAGGTCTGCAGGGGGTGCATTGGGGGCCACCCCCCGTCCCCCGGCTCGGCACGGCACTCACAGCTCGTTGGTGCAATTGCTGGGCTTGTCCATCCTGTGGCCTTCCTTCAGCAGCTTGAAGAGCTCCTCCACCGGCACGCCGGGGTAGGGCGAGCCGCCCAGCGTGAAGATCTCCCAGAGCAGCACGCCGAAGGACCACCTGCCGGGCGAGCACAGCCTCAGCCCGCTGCGCCCAGCGGGGGCCGCACCAGAGAAATTCGGGTGTGTGCCCAGAATTCGGGTTGTTTGGTGCCGGGCCATGCCCCGGGTACTCACACATCGCTCTGATGAGTGTATATGCGGTCGAACAGGGCCTCCGGGGCCATCCACTTCACTGGCAGGCGACCCTGGGGAGAAGCAAATCCCCCATCAGCACCGAGCCCCAGGGCAGCCCCAGGATCTGGAGGGGATAACTGGGAACCTGACTGGGCTCTCCGAGCGCTGCCCCCACCTCCTTCCACAAAGCCCCCCGCCCGCGGCACTCACATTTGTCGTCTTCTTGTAGTAATCGATGTGGTGGATGTCACGGGCCAGCCCGAAGTCAGCGATCTTCATCACGTTGTCCTCGGTCACCAGGACGTTCCTGGCCGCCAGGTCCCTGTGGATGCACTGGGCAGAGCGCGGGGCCGTGAGCCGGTCCCGAAACCCCAGCGTCCCCCCACCCCATGGCAAAGGGGGGCTCACGGCCCCTTCCCACAGCCCGGCCACTGGGGTCCCCCCATCCAGGACTCAGCGGGGGGCTCTCACCTTTTTGGAGGCCAGGTACTCCATGCCCCGCGCCACCTGGTAGGCGCAGGACACCAGGTCCTTGAAGGAGAGCTGCTCCTCGGGGACGCGGGCGGGGTTGTAGCAGTACTCCATGCCGGGGGGGCGCCGCGCCTGCAGGTACTCGCGCAGGTTGCCCTTGCTGGCGTACTCCACGATGACATAGAGGGGACCTGGGGGCAGCGGGGCCGGGCGGCGCTGAGCGGGACCCCAGCCCCTGCTCAGCCCCCGGGGGCTGTCCTCGCCCCCCCATGGCAGCCGGGACCCCCCCTCTCTGCCCAGGCGCTCACCGTCCTGCGTGCAGGCCCCCAGCAGGTTGATGATGTTCTTGTGCTTGCCGATCATCTTCATCATCTCCATCTCGGAGATGAGGTCGGACAAATCCTTCTCCGTGGCGTCGGCTGCAGCAGCAGAGGCGCCGGTCGGGGCAGGGGCCAGGCTGGGGTCCCCCCCACACCGTGCTCCCCCAGCCCCAGGCACCGTGCAGGGCTCCCCCCCCGGCTCCCAGCACCACTTACACTTGAGCATCTTCACGGCCACTTTGGTGACGCGGTTTGGCTTGTCCTTGTCGAGGCCGATGGCCTCGGCCAGCACCACCTGCCCGAAGCACCCCTCTCCCAGGGGCTTGCCCAGGATCAGCCTGCCGGGAGGACGGACAGACGGACGGCCTGACGCCGGGGGAAGGACAGCGGGACGGCGCCCGGCCCCGCTCCCACCCCGCAGTGCCCTCACCTGTCCCGGGGCAGCTCCCAGCGCGGGTCCTCGGGGAGCTCATACTCGGAGACGCCGGCCAGCATGGGGGTGCCGCTGGAGGAGAGGCGCGAGGGCCGCACCAGCATCACGCCCGAGTTCATGGAGGAGCTGGAGTCAGCCGACACCTGCAGCGGGGCCGTGGGTTACCTTCTCGTGGTGCCTGGGGCCGCGGCCGGCCGCCCCCGCCGGGGGGAAGGCGCTGACCGGGGCCCTTCGCCCCCCCTGGCCCTGCCCGGATCCCCGATGCTGTCTGCGGGCACGGGGCCCCTGCAGCGCTGCTTCCAGTCGGAGTGCGACTAAATTATTTTAAATTAATTTCCTGATTGCTGATACCACGAAATGCACAGCCTGGGGGTCCTCCCGTCTCCTCGGTGGGTACAACAGGCTCTTCTGCCCCAAACACTGGGTGGCCATAAATCCTTCTGGCCCTCCGCACTACGGCCCCCACCCCGCACCGTGCCGTGGGTGAGGGGTGGCCCTGGTCCCCCCCCCCCAATCCAGGGAAAAAGGCTCTGGGGGAGCAGTAGGTGCAAACAAACCCCCTCTCTACTTTCTGTTACCTGTCTGCGCAGCGGGATGCTCTTGGCCAGCTTGTGCACGGCCAGCTGGCTGTTGAAGTCCGTCTTCTTGGTGGTGCTCTTCATCTTGTAGATGATGACGGTCACCACCATGCAGGAGATGAGGAAGGCGCCCGTGCAGTAGATGATGATCTCCAGGTACAGGGGGGACGTCATCATGGCCGGCGTGTCCTCGATAGCTGGGTCGGCACGGGGAGGGCATTAGCAGGAGCCCACCCCACGGTGCTGGGGACACCCCGGCCCCAATCCTCGCTCGGGGTCAGCCCTGCCGAGGGCGCAGCGGGGAGCAGGGAGGCTGTGGGGAGGCTGCACGGGGACCCCTGGGCCGTGCGCTGCATCCGCAGGCAGGCACCCGGGGTGGGGGCAGGCAGGATGGGGTCTTGGGATGGGTTAAATGAGAGGTGTGAAGTGGGGGCACGGTGCCTGTCCCCGCTCCGTATGGGGTGGGGTGGTGCTGGTGGCACCGCACGGCTGAGCTCGCCCATGGGTGTGTGTGGGGGATGCCCCCTGCATCGCCCCGTGGGGTCCCTGCCCCGCTGCTGAGCTGTGGGCATCCCCCAGGGATACGGCGGGGTGGAGGGGGCCATGCAGCACTGCCAGCTCTGGGGGGGTCCGGGCGTTACTGGGAACACTGGGGCAGCTCAAGCGGAGCAGCCAGAAGCGCCGCCAGCAGCAGCAGCCTGCCGGGACCCCAGGCTGATGGGGAGGGGTCCCAGCCCCGCGTGCCGTGGTGCAGACCCCGTGCTGGTGGCTGCCGGTGGCACAGGAGGCAGCGGTGCCAGGAGTGGCTCGGAGCAGCCACAAACCACAATCAGCAGTGGGGGAGCTGCTGTTCCCCCCCCGCAGCACCCCCGACCTGACCCCCAGAGAACAGAGCCTCAGAGAGAGGCGAAGAGCGGAAACCTCCTGTCCCTGCAGCCACCACCTCTGAGCACGCCAAGCGGCGGCTGATAACGGGGAAAGTTTTTGGCTGGCAAGCGAGGAGCAGGCAGCACCCCAAAAACCTTTCCCTGGCTGCTGTTATCAGCCGTGGGGCCGGGCAGCATCGATGGGCAGGAGCAGCATCGATGCGCCCGGAGCGCAGCACAGCGACAGCCCCGGTGCGCTCCCACCCCGCGGGGCAAGGCCAGCTCCTCGGGGGCACACGCAGCCGGGCAGCACCCCCAGCCCCCCCAAAGCCCCCCGCTGCCGGCGTGTGCCCGGGATGCTGGCCTGGCCCCGGGTCCAACCCGGGTTAAAAGCAGCCAGGTATGCATTGCTGGGGGGGGGAGGGCTGCGCGCTCCTTCCCTACCCGCCGGGGAAGCGCCCTGCCCCCGGCCGCAATGCATACGACGCGTGGAAACGAGGGAGGAAAGGGACAGGAAAAGGAGTATATACCTTCGAGAACTGTCAACCATGCAGAGTGATGGGAGATCCCAATAGAATTACCCGCCAAACATGTATACTCCCCAGCATCCTCAAAAGAGACATTCCTTAAGTGAAGGACTTCCATTTCTTTGTCTGTCGTGTTAACGCCAGCCGTCTAGAAGGAAAAATGGAAGCAAAAAACGGAGAAGCAAACGACATGAGATCTTCTGGGAAGCGGGCCAGAGAGGAGGGAGCTCAGTCTCATTTGCCAGACCCCCGGGAGCAGACAGAGACCACTGCAGCCCTGTTACAGAGACCCTCAGGATGACCACTCATCCAGCGGCCCTACGGAGATGCCGGTTAAAAACCCTTCACCAAACTGAGTGTCCTGCCCATCTGAACATGCTGGCAATGGGCTACATGGAAAAATAGAGCTCAGGGAGAGCCGGCCGGCTGAGCCTCAGGACGTGGGGGGCACGAGGACGGAGACAGGAGGGAGGGCAGGGACAGCGGCACGCACCCGGCACGGCTCCGGTGGCTGCGCAGTGGGGTGGGAAGCACACGGAGAGGGGGGGGAGGACAGGGCACAGAACCTAGCCGGCCTCGCTGGGTATTTTTCCATGGCTTTTTGCACCAGAAATACAGCAGAAACAAGAGAGCCCAGAGTTTTGTTCTCCACCGCTGGGGACGGACTGTCCAAGGAAGCCTCCCACTGGGTGTCCTTCCGATTACCTTTCGCCAGAGGTCTGGTGACAGTGAGCCACGCAGACTGGTTGGCCTCGCCAATATAATTGGAAACCTTACAAACATACTCCCCGCTCTCCGCCTCTGTCACATTATACAGGGTCAGCACCTCCGCATCAGAGCTATTAATTCCCGAGTGCTGGAACAGACCAACAACAGAGGAGTCACATCGACGGCGTCAAAACTCGCGGCGCCCGCAGCGTCGGCGCCCGCTCCGCCGGCACGGCGAGGGGGGGGCTGCCCCCGGCCGGCACCACCGCGGGCAGCAGGGCTGGGGGGGCACAGTGGGGGCAGCAGCAGGTGAGGGACTGCAGCGCTGCTCCCTGCTGCATCGCCTCCAGGGGTGTGGGAAGGGACAGCCGCATGCCCTGGGGTCCGGGGTGAGGATGGGGAGAGGCGAGCCCCCCCAGGGTGCTGAGCGGCTGGTGCACGGAGGGTGCTGCTCCTGCCTGGATGGAGCAGGGCGCAGCCATCCGCCCCCGTGCTGGCTGCTAGGACCCCCCCAGCCCCCCAGCGTGCACCTTTGGGGCACCACAAGGCTTAACACCCCCCCTGCACGCTGCCCTCCCTGCCCTCTGCCCACCTCCCACCCCCGGAGCGCAGCACACAGGGCTGGGGGTGGCTCTGGGGCTCCGGCTGCCTCGGTGCCACCTGGAAGGGTCCCCAGCTCCGTGGGACCCCCGGCTGTGCCCAGGGGGACCCTGCAGGGAGCTGGGCAGGGGCAGCCCGGGGTGCGGCTTTACCTTCAGGATCTGCACGTAGGGCAAGTTGTCGGGGCCGATCTTGCTGCCGTTGACCTCGATGTGCTTCAGCCACTGGATGTGGGGCTGGGGGTCGCTGTAGACCTTGCAGACAAACTCCACGTTGCTGCCCAGGGCCACCGTCTTGTTGGCAGGGAGCCCTGCCTGCAGGATGGGCCGGTGCGGGGAGCGCTCTGCAGGGGCCGGAGGGACGGGGCCACCTCACCATGGGGCACCCCATGTGGGGACCCCCACTTGGGGAGGGGGGGCCGTGACTCCCCTGTCCCTGGGGGTCTCCTCCCGCAGCCCCAAGCCCGGGGACAGGTGACGTCCCGGGAGGTGACACCCCGGTGTGGGGACTTGGCTACCTATTGGGGGGTCAGAGGTCAAACAAACCTAACGAGGGCCCCGGCCGTTAACAAAGCGGCTGCCACTGTGGTGAGTCAGCATTAACAAACCCCTTTGTTCACCTCGCTGACTGTTCCCTTCAGTTTGCTCAGTGTAATCAAATTAAATCACATTTTTAATGGTTCATTTACTGGCATTTAGAGCAGCTCCACATGTGGAACTGCTCAGACCAGCCTTCCCAGCTGGGAATTATGGCTAATAAGGCGATTAGAAAAAGTTTCTGTCTGGTCTATGAAATTATTTCCACCACAATTAAAAACCCCCAGAACGGTTCGGGGTGATCCTTCCGCCTCGCCTGCTCTGCACCAGGGGGCATCCCGCGCCTCCCCTCCCCGTGTCCCCGTCCCGTGCTGGGGACAGGCGGCTGGCGGGCTCAGCACCCCCCCGAGATGGGCAAGGGGCGGCTGTGGGGACGGGAACAGTTTGGGAGCAGCGCCCGGAGCAGCAGAGCGCACCGGTGGCACCGCTGGCAGTGCCCCCCCAGCGCCATCCTCACCCACGACATCCAGCTGGTAGGTGTGGTTGATGCTCCCGTATTTGTTCTCCACGATGCAGGTGTAGTTGCCCTTATCGGACGGCACCACCGAGTCCATGATGATGCTCCAGGTGGCGTAGCGGACCTGGGGGCAGGGGGGGGCTGGCGTTAGGTGCGAGGCGCCGGGCGCACGCATCAGGCCAGGCTCAGTCCCCCGGCCCCCGCCTCCCGGCAGGACATAAATCTGGGTCCGAGGTCACCTTTCCCCTCTCCTGCAGCGGGGCTGTAATTGCTCCCAGCTGTGCCGGGCAGGCTCGCCGCGGAGCCCAGCAGCAGATGCTGTGAGCTGAGCGCACCAGGCATGGGGACGCCCGCCCCGAGGGAACAGAGCGGCTTTGTTCTGCCCCATGGGGGTCAGCGGGCAGGGCACAGCGCGTCCCGGGGAGTCCTGGGTGCTGCTGACCCAGCATTTTTCCTCCCGGCCCGTCCCCGAGTGGCTCCGCAGGGCTGCGAGCGCTCCCAGGTCCCCCCTGGCTGTGGGGCACAGGGACGAGCCCCCTGCACCCATCCCCTGCCGCTCCTGGGCTCCGGCCCCACACCGGGCTGCCACGTTCCTCCCTCCCAGCTGGGACCTGGTGATGCCCTCAGCCCAGCACTTTGGCCCCAGCAGCCACCCCGGGCACCGTGCCATCACCTTCCAGCTGAGCTGCTTCACACAGACAGGGACCCGCTGCCCCGGGGTGCAGCGCTGAGCCCCTGCATCCCCCCACCTCTCCCATTTCCCCTCCCCAGCCCCATGGGAAGCCGCCTTCACTGGCACCCCGAGCTGCAGCCCAGCTCCAAAACCAAACGGAGACACCAGAGGCTGCCGGAGCAGCAGCCCCCATGGAATAGTGAAGGGATGGAGAGGGGACGGTGCCCCCCGGCTGCTGGGGGTGCCGGGGATGGAGGTGGCCCTGGGTGCAGGAGGAGCACCCGGGGCGGACGCTCCGCGGGGGGATTAGCGCGGCCAGCCAAGGCTGGCTGGTTTCGTCCTTCCCCCTCCCCCAAAGGTTGATGCTGGTGCAAACATGACCCAGAAGCAGGTCACTGCCGTGGGTCTGTTCTGCAACAGGAATGTCAGGGGGCCCATCTGCCCCTCTGGAGGCCCGGGGCTGCACAAACAGGCGGCTCGGTGCCTCTTAAGCTGCAGAGCCCATTCACTTCCCCCTCCTCCCCGTGCCGCCCCAGAGCGAGCCCCCAGCCCGGCCCCTCGAGGTGCTCATGGAGCCCGGACCCGTTGGGATGGAGCTTGGGCAGCCGCACAAACACCCACCCGTGGGTGCTGCCCCAGCCCAGCCTGTACCTTGTACCCCCCGATGCGGTGGTCAGGCTTGAACTCCTTGCCGTTCTTCAGCCAGCGCAGCGTGGGGTTGGGCGTCCCGCCCGACGGGCACTTGAACTTCACCGTCTTGGCGGCGGGGACGGCGTGGAGCTTCTTCTCCATCTTCTCGGGATAGGTCCAGTAGGGAGCAACGGCCTCTGGGGAGCCAGAGCGGGGGGCTCAGCGCGGTGGGCGCAGGGCACCAGGCAAACGGCGGGGGTTTGGGTATGGGGAGTCCCAATGTTTGCTCATGGTTCAAAATGGGGATGGCCGGGGCAGGATGGGGACAGGGTGCAAGGCGTATGCCCAGCCCGGCTGCAGCAGCAGCCTCCCCATCACAACCCCAGGGCACCCAGGGGTCCCCCATTGAGCCCTCTCTGACTCCAGGTGCCGTGGGCTGCAGCAGGGCCCTGCCCACCCTCTCCTGGGTCCCTGTGTGATGCCCACGTGTGTGCCCGGCTTCCCCTGGCCCCCACCCCAACGCTCAGGGCAGAGGGGATGAAGGGCTGGGGCAGCGTGGGGGCAAACCCCTCTGGCAGACGTACGGTTGGGCTTGGTGTTATCGGCCTCCTTCTCCTCTGAGGAGGAATCGTCTTCGTCATCATCATCCTCCGCGGAGGGCAGCGCGTCTGCAAGAGAAGAGACGCCCGGCTGAGCGTGCGCCCACCGACCTGCCCGTCCTCCTGCACGGGACCCGACACCAGGGCAGCACCGAGGCACGGTGGGGAGCTGCGAGGCTCCTGGTGGCACAGCCAGCGGGGTCCCGGCTAGCAGCGCCTGCTGTCCAAGCACAATTTGCCCCCCGAGGCTGATTTTGGGCTCAGGAAGGCAGCGCCCCATGCTGAGCCCCCAGGCACCGCGCCTGGTGCCACCAATCCATCCAGGGGGCAGCTGAGCCCCCAAGGCTCAGCCGCTGCCTCCTGACCCACAGCATTCACCTCCAGCATCGTGCCTCAACACCACCAAAGCGACCCTCGGCCTGAGCCCAGCGCGTGCTCGCTGTGGCAGCGGGACGTGCAGCCCTGCCAGCCCATGCAGACAAACACACGTGTTCCCACGCATGCACCCCGTGGGCTCGCAGGGGCAGTGGGGGCGTCGGACACCATCCGTGCTCCCCCCGGGAGCCTCAGCCTCCCCCTGCCCCGCGGGGCCGGCAGCAACACCCGGCGGTGCCGGCCCTTGCGCAGAGCTCTCCGTGCACCACCATCCTCATCAGCCCGTGCCCTGTGGGCGCAACAACCCCGGCTGCCCTCCGGGCACGGCAGGGAGCCCTCGCGCAGCGTTCCCAGCTCCTCCGTGGCCGTGCCACGCGTGGGGAGCGCGGTGCCACCGGGGTCGGTGCAGGGCCGGGACCCTCGGCCAGCGCCGCCACCGAACAAACCTGCGCGTGGCAGCGAGCATGCAAACGCCTGCGCACGGGCACCTCCGCTCCTCGCTCCACCTGGGCTGCCCCTTCCCTGCGCCGCTACGAACCTGAGACGTTCACGGAGAAGTAGGTGGTCTCGCTCCCCGAGGGGCTGTTGGTCATGCAGGCATAGAGCCCCGAGTCCTCGGGCACAGCGTCCCTGACCTCTACCTCCTCCCCGGTAATGCGCGTCCGGTTGTTCTCGGCCAGCTGGACGCCGTCTCGCACCCAGTTGATGCTCTGGACGTCATCCCGCAGCCGGCAGCGCAGCTGGAGGAGGTCCCCGGGGTGGGCTGAGTAGGACTCCACTTCGATTTTCGCTTTGGGCAGAACTGGAGGAGTTAGGGGAGAGAGGGAGAGAAGGGAAAAAAAAAAAAAAAGGAGAAAAGAACTAGAGACAAAAGGACACCAAGCTGCTGAGGGGCTGTGTTAATCAGGCAACATGCGCTGCTGGGACGCTGCCGCTGGCCCCGGGACTGGCTGTCCCCGAGCGCGGCCACGCAGCCCGGGGGGCACGGAGGAAGCAGAGGCAGAGGCTGAAAGCGGCCGAAGCAGCACCAAGCGCCGGGCCCCATGGCACGGTGAGGCGGCAGCCGGGGAGCTGAGAACCACCGAGCGCCCTCGTGCACTGCCTGGCCCCATCCCTCGAGGAGGGAGCGTGCTGGGGCAGGGATCCGAAACGGGGGAGAAATGGGCAACCTGGGACCAACCCCGGTGGCTCTGCCCCGCTGCTGCTCACGGGTCCTGGGGTGCCCCCTGCCCAGGAAGGGTCTCAGCCAGCGAAGCGGGCCCTGGGGTCCCCATGCTGCAGGGACCCCCGCCCCGGTCAGAGCACCTCGGGGAAGGGCAGAAGGCCGGGTCAATTAGGGGGGCAGCAGGCAGGGTGCGAGGCTCAGCGAGAGCAGCAGCGCTGGGAAAGCTCAGCCCAGGGGAGCTCCGGCCAAGGAGGGCCGGCGGGGTGCTCCTGGCTTGTAGCTGTCCTGAGAGGTTCGTGCCAGCAGCACAAAAATCCTGCCCGTCCATCCCGGTGCTATGCGGGCTGCTCCCTCCTGTCCCTGGTGTCGCAGACGGGGCCGTGTCCCCCAGCGCTGCCCTCGCCCGGCGGTGCCGCTGCACAAAGCTGATGGTCCCCAGGTGCTGGGCTCGGCGCAGATGTCCGGGTTTCAAACAATCTCGTCCAATTTCCTGGCCCAAGGAAGGGCTCAGCCAGGTGCAGCTCTGGCTTTCCTCCCAGTGCCAGCACCACCGGTTTTCTTGCAGATCTCTGTCACGATTTATTTCCACAGGCACCGATGTTCAGGGTGGGTGCAGCCGCGTTCCTACAGCATCTTCCCGGTCCTCGCCGCTCCCTGGGCAGTGTCTGGCTGGCTTCAGGCTGGCTGAGAGCAAAAGCCGTCCCCTTCCACTCACTCCAGCTCAGCACAGAGCCTTTTCACAAGGCAGCCCCAAAACAAATCCTCGGGAACACCTCCTGCAAGTGCCAAGGTTCAGAACAGCTTCCAGAGGTCCCTTCCAACTGTGACCGTGCATTGATCCCGGGATTCCCTCGTAGCAGCCCCTGGGGCTGCCTGGCTGCCAGCTCACCGACGTGCCAAAACCTTCCTGGGCTGGCCCAGCAGGTGCCCATCACCCCGACGGGGAGGCTCTGCTCCGCTCTGCTCCCTCCTGCTGCTGCAAATGAGGTTTGGGGCTTCCAGCGCCTCGCTCAGCGAGCCCGGCTCCGCGCTCTGCCTCCTGGCCTCGCACAGCTGAGAGGCTGCAGGGGAAAACCCTCTAGGAACAGTTTGGGAGCTTCTCTCGTGTGCTGAGCACCTAAACGAAAGCAGCTTGCTGGGGAAGAGTTCAGCGCTTTCCTCGACGGCGAGAGGGCCAAAAGCCAGGCTCCGGGTCCAGCAGCGGGGAGATGGAGGCTGCCGGAGCCCTGGTGGGGGACGAGCCTTGCCTTCACCACCCCGTTTTCCCTGTGCTTCCCTCCCGCAGCCACACAGGACGGGCACTCCTTGCGGCTCTGATTTGTGTTTCAAAGGATTAGTCACAGGCAGCCCCCGGCACACACAATGCAGCAGCTCTGCCCCGGCTGTGTCCGAGCACGGCACAACACCACCACACTGCCCGTCCTGCCCCGTCGCCTTCCCAAACACGGCGAGGTCAGCCAGCAAAAAACAGCCACGAAAACCCAAAACAAAACCAGGAGCAGCAGCCAGAGCTCTGTCCCTCGTTTTATGCCATCCAGCACCCGCTTTGGGCTCGGGTCTGAACTCCTGCAGCCCCCAAACACCTCCCAGCCGGACCCCCGGATGGGTTTGTGGGGAGAAAAGCTCTTTGGAGGCGGGGAGAGCTTGGAGACCCCCACCTGCTGCTGGGGCTTGGGGGGCTCACGGGGGTGGCCCTGCAGCAGCAGGGATGTGATGGACGGGGCGCTGCCCCGGCGGAGAGGGGAGGCAGAGGGCAAGGCAGGATCCTGCCCTTCGGTAACCCAAAGCACATCTCTGGCACTCGGGGAGGAGGCGGAAAACGCGGCATGGTGGGAACGGCCTGAAAACCAATTCACAGCCTAATGAGCATGTCCAGGTTAGCTCCCCCCCGGGCGGCAGCGGGACAATGAGGCTGCCGGGGCGGCCCTGGCAGGCGGACAGCGCCGCAGCCCGCTGGGACCTGCTGGCACCGCCACGGCCCCTGCAGGAACACGGCCACGCGCAGGGCAGCGCGGTGCCCGGCAGCACCGTGCCCTCGGCAGGGCTCGTCTTGCCCCCACCTACGTTAATTAGGGGGAGCCCGTTTGATCGCTGGGCTCCATCAGCCGGGGACGTCTCTTTCAGATGTTTTTCTGTAACTTACACCCAGCAGGTGCAGCTCCCCCCGAGAGCCGCCGGCTGCTCCGAGCAGGGTGCGAGCAAGCCCAAAGCAAGCCCCGGCAGTGAAAGCTCAATCGGCCGGACAAACGCTTGGCTCTGCTCTGGCCCAGCCCGGCCCGTTGCTGCTTGGCAAGGGAGCCAAGCGCAGGAAGCAGAGCATGGTGCTGCTCTCCCATCCTACACCTGCCCCATGTGGCCGTGGGACTCTCGTAGGCAGCACCGCGAGGAAGAGGAGGAATTTGGGTCCCAGGGATGCCAAGGAGCCCCCAGAGCAGCTCCAGGAGTGGGCATGCTCTGCAGGGCTGAGGATGGGACCTTCAGCTGAGATTCTGGTTGTGGTGTTTCTTCTTGCTGTGAGTTTTATTGGAAAACCGCCAGCTCCAGCACCACTGCACCGGCCTGGAGAAGCCAGCACAACGCACGTTAAACCTGGCACACTCAAACTCTCCGCCATGCCCTTTCCAACCTCAATTCTTCAGCCTGGGGAGGAATCCTGTGCTTCCCGGTGCAGAGGGGGCTGGGGGAGCCCCATCACACCCCATCCAGTAGGGGAAGGGAGCGCCCATGGCCGGGGAGGGGCCCCCATGTCCCACGCAAGGAGGAGCGACCCCGGCCCCGGAGGAACGCGCCTTCGCCTCGAAACGAGCCCGGGACGGTTTTGTTGCCTTGTCCCAGCTTTGAAATGGAACCGAGCCAGATGGAGAGTGTCACCGGCTTCCTACAACTGCCACCGCTCCCCCAGGCATGGCCCCCGCTGCGGCTGGGGCCGGGTCGCCGGGGTGGCTCCGATTAACCTTTCCCCCTGCTCCCAGCGCAGCCCGGCCGCTCGCCCGCCCTCCTTCGCCCCCAACCCCGAAGGATTTTGCATGCAAATGGCCCCTCGCCAGGGCCGGGCCGTCAGAATGGAGCAGTTCTGCATTCAGCCCTGACAAAACCGCGCGGACCGCTGTGTTTGCCAGAGCGAGCGCAATAAAGCGGCCAACAAAGCGGCGCAGGAACAATCCGGGCTGAATGGCCGCGAGCAGCGGGTCCGGCCGCCGGTTGCCCTGGAAACCCCACCAGGGCTCACTGAAGGTATTTCCTGAAGAAAAAGCACACACATGCCCCACAGCTCTGCTAATCCCAACAGGAAGCGCTTACCGGGACGTGGGGATTGGCTTCTTTCTTATTTAAAAAGTGCCTCTCCCGGCTCGCCCCCTCAGCTGCCCCTGGGTGCGCACGGAGGTGGCCAAGTGGCCCCCGCAGCATCCCCTGGGCTGGGGGTCCCCTCCCCGGGGGTCCCACCACCTCTGCCTGGGGAGCGGGGAGATGCCCACACGTAGAACCACGACCGGTTTCTCCTCCGGGGCCTTGCCCCGTGCCCTCTCCCACCCAGCTCTCCAGCAGCAGAGGCGAATCGCCGCAGCCCTGGGCACGCTGCGTGGCTGAGCCAGCGCTGAAACGCAGCAGTGTGATGGAGCAGCATGACATGGAGCAGGGTTTCAGTACCGGGCAGCTTGCAAGGCCACCAAGGTGAATGCTCACCTGTCCCCTGGACACCCCAGGAGCCAAGCAGCCTGTGGGGTGGCAGCTGGGGGCAGCCGGGGGTCCCGCATGTCCCCAGGGACCCGCACACATGCCTGTGGCTTTTTGCAATAAGCAAGGGGTTTGCCAGGGCCCCCACTCCTCTCCCCCAGAGCTGTAGGATCGCCTTGCACACCCCATGCACAACACGACCCCATGGGGACAGCACCAGCCCCACACACATGGCGCAGGCACGGGGCAGCTCCGCAGCCCAGGCTCTGGCTGAGCGCTGCTGCCTTTCCCAAAGACTCATATTTCTTTTTTTTTTTTTTCCCCTCCTCAATTAAGGGCTGGAGTGACAGCATCCGAGTGGAAAGGCGGGAGGCGGGGAACAATGCCTGCTCGACAGGCTGGGAGGGGAAGGGAGCAGCGTGATGCCCCAGCGGACACGGCCGTGCCCCGGGGACAGAGCGGCTGCAGCAATGGGGGGCCAGGGCAGGCAGACCCCCCCCGGCCAGTGGGATCACGGCTGCAGGTGGGGGCTGCCGGGCCCCCCAGGCTCCAGAAACAATCCTGGGCTGCCACCTTCAGCAGAGGTGCAGGTTTCTGAGCCCCCCCAGCTCTGCCCCTTTGGGTCCGGAGCAAGCCCCCCGGGACGAGGCGGCCACAACAAAGCCCTGCAGCTGGGAGCAGGGCCCCAGGGAGGGGGGATAAAGCCTGCAGCCAGCTGGGCCAGCATCTGTGCTGGGAAATGGGGCACCAGGGGACTGGGGAGGGGGCTTGGAGCTCCCCAGGAGACCGGGGAGCTCGGAGCTCCCCAAAGGGGCCCAGCAGCACCCGGCTCCCCGTGGGGACGTGCTCGGGCGCTTCGTGCCGCCGGCGTCCCCTGCACGCAGGGATGAGGCAGACCCGGGGCGGTGGAAAAGCCCCGACAGCAGCGAGGACAATAGCAGACAAGGAGAGAGGGGGAAAAAAAATCCCCTCTGCAATTTTCTGCAGGTTTCTGTTTAACCTGAAGACAAAGACTGGCTTTGTGAGGCGGGGAGATGGAGGTTGCTCATGGAAATTTCTTGGCTTTTTCCCTTAACTTTCTTTTTTTTTTACCACCTCCAAATTTAGGCAACTATAAAATGCAGTAAGTGCCCATTAATATTTTATTTGCTGCAGATTTTTCAATCACGGCAGCGAGTCCCTGACAAAGGCAGGGTTTTCCGAGCCCCCTCCCCAGGCCACGAGGAGGAGGCGGGCCGGCGGTTTGAAACCCCCCCCTGCAGCCAAGGCAGGGGCCGCTCGCCCTGCGCGAGCGAGCGCGGGGGATTACTCGCTCCCCGGGAAGGGAGCTTAGCCGCCTCAAAACCAGGAGTAAACTGAAACCCCATAAACATCCAGAACAAAGTCCGGAAAAGCTGCTGCCTCCGCCACGGAGGGGACGGGAGCGCGGCCGCAGCGGCCGCAGCCGCCGCCGGGCGATGCTCACGGGGACGATGCGGGGAAGGATGGTGCAGCAGCCCCGGGGTGGGATGCAGGCACCCCACACACAGCCCCCACGGGACCCCAAACCCCCCGGGGCCGGACCCGGAGCCCTCCCTCGCAGGTGAAGCTCTGGGTGGTGCTGAGGGGCCCGGCCCGGGCCCGGCCCTTTCCCTCGCGGCCCGGCGCGGAGGCGCGTGTCGGGCTGGAACATTTTGTTCCCGGCAGCCGGCTCCGGAGCCAAAGGGCCGGGCTCTGCCCCAGCCGGGCTCCTGCTGTGGCACTAATTGGGCCGCCCTGCTGGGAGCCGTGCTGGGGAGCGCTCCCAGTTACTGTCAGCCCTGCCGTGGGGCTGGCGAGGGCCCAGCTCCCTCCTCTCCTCCACCACCAGCACCACTGGCCCGACGCTGCTCCCTCCGGGGCTCCCCGGGGCTCCCCAAACCCAGCTCGGCTCACACCAGCCTTCGGCCCGAGCACCCGGGCAGCTTTCCCCGGAGCCCCGGGAGCTGCTGTGCACCCACACAGCTCCCAGAGCCATCGCTCCCCCAGGTGCTGCCGGGAAACCTCTTCCAGGAGAAGCAACCTCCCGAGCAAAACATGTTTACTGCTGTCAGCCGCCTTATTTACAAAAACAGGCGGTGAACGTGCCAGTGGAAAAACCTCGGGGAAGGCTGCTGGTGAGCGATGCTCTGCCCAGGCACCGCTCGGGGGTGGCAGCAGCCTGCAGCCCCAGCCCAAGCAGGGATTGCTCGCTGGTGTGCCCGCTGCCATGGGGTGGGTGCTCTTGTCCCAAGCCACCAAGGGAGCACCGCTGCTGTTCCTGGGCAGCCCCGCGTCCGTCCGCATTTTGGGGTTTGGGTGGGAGGAGCGGGGAAGGAGGAGCGAGCCTTAAAAAGAAAAGCCGTACCCCACAGCCCAGACATTCTCGGGTAATTAAAACCAAAAGGCAGCCAGTCAGAAGTCCCGGGCGGCGGTGGCTGGTCTGTTTATTCTCTGCCTCACCAAGGGAAGGCCGGGCTTTGAAATGCTATCGGTCCTCCCTGCGCGGGGCCGGCCCTCTCTGGGGCCCGGTGACCCTCGCAGCCCCATCCACCACGTCAAGGTGCCACCAGGGCCCGGGGCTTTGCGGGGCCGTAGGAGCGAGTTCCTGCAGCCCCTGGCCACAACCCCGCTGCTTTTGGAGAGGGCAGCCCGAGCTCCCAGCCTCTACCAGGTCTCCAGGGGCTGCGTCCTCCTCCAAACCCTTGTTTGGCTTCGCCACCGTTTCCCTCCTGGTTTATGACACCCATGGGTGATGCTGGAAGCGTGCTCAGGCTTTTCACACCCCTGCACCTCGCTCTTTGCAGGCGATGCTCACCACGGCCCTCCTGGCACCAGCCCCTGGCCCCAGGGCACCGGGCAGCCCCACGCTGCGGCTCCGCGGGCAGCAGCCCCGCGCTGGCCCTCAGCCCAGCCTCTGCCTCTTTTGCAAGGCAGGGGAGAGATAGCGGCTATCTTATCACCCTGAGGAACACAAAGAAGGAGCCGTCGTGGCGGCTGTGCTCGCCTTACCTTGGTCGGGCAGGGTGGGGGCCGGCCTGGCAGCAGAGAGCGCGGCTGTGACCAGCACAGCCCAAAGGATGAGGCACCTCCAGGTCAACATCCCACTGCTGCGGCTACTGCTCAGCGACTGGGCTCCGCAGCTCCCACTCCATGGGGGCCCCGGGTGGCTCGGCCGGCGGGGGCACTGGGGGGGTCTCCGCCGGGCCGTCGGCTGCTGCAAGCTGCGGAGGAGGAAAGCAGAGTCAGGACAGGGCGCGGAGCAGCCCCACGCCACGCGGCCCCTTCCCTTTGTGCCCCTTTGGCAGCCCCCACCAACAGCCCCACGGACACCGTGCTGGGACGTGCTCGCCATGGCAAGTGACACCCTTTGTGTCCCCAGCCCGTCAGGGGAGACCTTCAGAGCCACCCCGACCCCCCGCAGCCTCCAGCAACCCAGATCGGCAGATTTAGGTTTTTCTGAAAAAATAACAACCAAAAAACCGAACGTGCTGATGTGCTGAGAGCAAACTTGCTGGCAAAGCAGCCCCGAGTAAAGCAGAATTCCCCAGAACGGTGGGGAAATTGTCAAAGGCTGTTTAAAAGAGGGGAGGGTTCTGCTCGACTCCCTTCCTTCTCCTTCACATAGTTGGCACCAGAAAGGCAAGTCTAATACAGATCGAAATGCTGTAAAATTTTTGCAACAACAACAAAAAAAATCTCCCTTTACTCTAGCCAGATCTCCAGGACTTGGCAGAAGCCTTGCAGTTTTAACTCTGCCCACATGCAGAACGGAGAAGTCTCAAGATCCGAACGTCCTGTGGGACCGGAGAGGTGTTCCTCTGGACGCCAGGCCACCTCTCTCCCGTGCACGCATGCCTGCAGGCATGACTTTTGCAAATGCCTGCCTCTCCTCCTTGTTTGCACTGCACCTTCTGCTACAAGCACCCCAGGCAGCTCCCAGACCATGCCGAGCCCGGGGACGCAGCAGGTGCCGGTGTGGTTAACCCAAGCCGGGTGCTCCCAAAGATATTTCGGGGTGTCAGCGCTGCAGGGAGGCGAGGCACATTGCGCACTGATGCCCCCAAACAGGAGGGGTCTCGCTGCACACCTCCTGCTGAGCAATTCCCCATACCCAGACCAAATCACGGTGTTATCTGTGCCACCACGCACCCTTGGCACGGCACAAACCCCACAAACCCCGGCCCCTCCACCTCCCACAGAGCTCCCTCCGCTGAGGAACCCTTCCAGGTGGCCGCTGTGCTGGAACTGAAGGGATGTGGCCTCCTCCACCCGCATCCCTCCTGCCCTCCGTCCTTCCCTCGGCCACGTGGGAAGAAGCAGGAGCAGACCCTGCTCGGGGCGTGTGGCTGGAGCCAGAGCCCGGACGCCCTCGTCCGTCCCCAGCCAGCCGCCTGCTTCCCCGGGGAGCCGTGCGCGAAGCCCCGCGCTCCATCCTCCACAACATCTGCGACGCCGCAAAGCCTCCGACCGAGGTCCCGACACCAGCAGCCAGTAATTGCTCCCCCGGGCTTCACCGCAGGGCTCGCGCACGAGCTCCCTGCCCCGGTAATTGCATAACCCCAGCCCGGCTGCGCTGGCCGGGGCAGGCGGTGCCGGGCGCTCCGGGAGCAGGCGCGTGGGGACGGCACCGAGCCCCGCATCCGGGCCACCGCTCCCCTTCCCAAAGCATCGCCTCTCCCAGGGGCAGGCAGCTGCCCCTGCCGTCCCCAAAAGACCCACGTTTAACACTGGGTGCTGCCTGGGGGGCTCAAACAGAGCTCCAGCAGGTTTGGGGGCTCCAGCTGCCCCTTCCCCACCAACGCTGGAGAGTTTGGGACCCCAAATATTGATACGAGGCCGGGCAGGGAAGAGCAGCACGCAGCAAATGCCGGCATTATCTCCCAGCCCCGGCACTCCCGGGCGCCAGGCAGCGCGCTTCAGAGCCGTGATTGAGTGTTAGCGATTTATCAGGGCTTGGAAGGGGGAGGTGGAAAAAAAAAGTCGTCGGTGTTTCTGGAAATTATTTTCTGTCTCTGAGCGGTTTTGTTTATCGACAGCACATGCTCCCCGGAACATGCCCTAATGCGCAGCGTCTGCGTGGGCCCCCGGGCGGCTCGGTGCCGAGGGGCGGGCGGGGGGCGCGCTGCACCTCGGCGAGCGGCAGTTCCTGACAAGTGAGTCAGTGCTGGCTCGGCACAGCAGCAAAGCCTTTCCTTCGCCAGATTCACCTCGGAGCGGGCCCGGCCGGCTGATTCAGGGGCTCGGCAGCAGCCTCTCGGCCTCTTTCCACTGCTCACGGGTCTCCCAGCAGCCAGGAGCTGCCCCACGGCGGGGAGAGTCCCGGGGGGAACGGGGAGGGAGCCGCGTGCCAGGACGCAGGGAGCAGGGGCTGAGTTTGGTGCTTGGCTCCCAGCAGAGGCAGGTGGCAGCTACGGCCCAGTTGGAGAGCGGAGGAGCAGGACAGGGACCTGCCCTGCACGTGGGGACAAAGTGGGGGCTCCCCCAGCTCTACTGGGGACACTGGGGAGCAGCGAGGAGCTGGTGCCGGTGGAAGGGGAGCCGGGGGCCCTGTGCGAGGAGCCGGGGCAGTGGAGAGGGCTCCTACCTGCGCAGACAAAGGCATGGCTCTGCTCCGTGTTTGTACAGCTTTTATATAAATCCCAACAGGAAATCGCTTGCTCGGAAGGGCTGCAGCCCAGGCAGGGAGGGTCCCTGGCTCCTTCCAGGCACAAGCCTCGGAGAGCATCTTCCCCGCTCCCGCACGGCCCCAGCACGCTGCAATTTGCTGCTTGGGGTGGATTCGAGCAACTAAAAATGGAAGCAGCGAGAGGAACCAGGGCTAAGTGCCCCTTAGAGACCTGCCTGCCCAGGCTGCAATTACAGCTGGCCATTACACCCACGGAGCTATTTAGGAGCGCCGGCAGGAACACCCCCGTGCCCGCCTACCCCGCGCCCCAGCCCAGCCTTTGCACACCCGCATGCCCCCGGGGAGCAGCCCCGTGCAACCTGCTGCATCTGCTGTCCTCGGCGCGACCGGGGGCCAGACCTTCGCCCTCTGCTCTCCCACGCTGTGAGTCAGGCTGAGCTGTCGGCACGCACGCAGCACAGGCAGGGCCCTTCCCCTGCTGGTCAGCGGCTCCGATGAGCGTTTCTGAGCTGAGTGTGGCGGGGAAGCCCCTTCCCGGTGCGTGGCTCATCCCTGGGAACGCATCCAAGGTGCCAGAAGCAGGAGCGTGGCCGCTCAGCTGGGGCACCCTGGGGTGGGAGCAGGGCTGGGGGCTCCCAAAACTCCCCGAGCTCGCTCCCCAGGGAGCAGGCTGCATGTGCCCAGCCGCAAAGAAGACAGACTGATATTTTTCTCTGAGCCCCAGCGCAAGCAGCCCCTCCGAGCTCCCTTGGGACAGAAGGGCACGGCAAAGGCAAAGCTCCCAGGGGGACACGGAGAACATTCCCCTCACCCAGCACTCCTTGCCCCGGCCTCAGGTCGGGAACCAAGTATTTGCTGAAATAAAAAGCAAACACAACTGCAAATGTAACTACAGGGAAAAACTGTAATGCTTAAAGCAGACGCATGCTTGGAAAAATAAATATCCAACTGTGCAGCACACATACAGCGTTAACCCTTCCCAGCCACACGCATTACAGCCTGCCAGGAGTGTCTCTAGCGCCGAGTTCCCCATGATCAGGGGTCTGGCACATGCGGCAGGAAGGACGGGGAAAGGCCCAGCCTCACCCCCAGATCTCTGTAAAACCAGCTCAGGTTTAGCGGCATCCCCAAACCCCGGGCCCCATACCTCAGGGCTCGGTTTTCAGATCTGCAGAGCATCCATCAGCGCCCAAAAACCTCCCCGGGCTGGTCCCGCTGCCTGCTGTGCCGAGGAGAGCTCCAGGATGAGGACCCCAGGACGCAGCCGCAGCCTCTGGAGGAGGCAGGGGCCGGTTCCCCTGCCCGAGAGGCTGGGGCTGGATGGGGCTTCCCTGCACGCAGCTCCTCCCAGGAAAGCTGCTGGGAGCGGAAGGACACGCGCTTCTCCGGCAGACGAATCCCCTACTGCTCACATTTGCCTTCATCCCCAGAAGCAGGAGGTCCCCGACGGGGAGAAAGCCAAATTGCGGGCGAGCATCTGCGATCCAGCCCCGGCCTGGAGAGCGCAGCACCGGGGGCGAAACCAGCTGGGGCTGCAGGCAAAGCAGCTCCCAGTTCAGTTTACATTTTCGGGCAGAAAAATAAACAGGGAGCTCCAGTTTGCCCCCAAAAGTGACCTGGGCTCCTGCCCAGCCCAGCTGGAGCAGCCAGGTGCCTCGCACACAGCGAAGCCCCGCGCCCGGCACCGCTCCTGCCCTCAGCCCGCCGGGGCAAGGACTGTGCTCGTTTGTTTTAATCCTCTGTGAGCAACACAAGAAGGCAACAGTGCAGCCAGCCACCACAGAGATTAGGGGAGGAAGTGCTCCCGTGCGGGGAAAATGGCTGCTAGCCAGAGAGGTGTGCGGGGTCCGCGCCCCTGCTCCCGCAGCACCCCCGGGCTGGGCAGGGTCACGGCCGCCCACAGCCCCGCTCCTCGGCACCAATCTGGGGAGCTGGGAGGCACCCCGAGACCTCCAGCAAGAGCCAACCGCTGCCTCTGCCTGCTCACAGCCGGACACGGATCCCAATTTATTCCATCTGGGACCCTGACACACCAGCAAGCTCCGAATCCGCCCGTTCTACCAACGGCAGCAGTTTTACCGAGGGGCTCCGGGAAGGTTTAAACATTCACCGCAGGGCAGCCACAGCCGCAGCCCGCGAGGCACGGCGCAGTTATCCAACAACCCGGCACAGGGGGGAAATCGCGAGGCGGCTTCGGCGCTGCTCGGCGGAACCTGAACGCGTCGGGAACGGGCACGCAGCCCCCGGCCCCCGGCCCCGCTCCCCGTGCCCTGGCCGGGCTGTGCCAGCCCCATCCAGCACCGGCTGTGCCCGGTGGGCTGCGGGCACCCGGCGGTAACGGCACCGCCGCGCCCCCCGAGCCTCCGCCACGCGCCTCCGGGAGCGACCCCCGGGCAGGAATTTGGGTGGAGGGCGCGGCGAGCCCCCCAGCTCCGAGCCCCCCAGCTCCGAGCCCCCCAGCTCCGAGCCCCTCAGCTCCCCTCGAGGGGCTCACGGGCACGCCGAGGCGGCACAAAGCCAAAACGCGGATTTGGAGCTCCTCCGTGCGCGGCTTCTCCCGAAACGCCCCGACACCTCGCGCCCCAGGCGAAACAAAACCCAGCTCCTCTCCCACCTCTCCCACCTCCTCCCGGGGGCCGCCGGGCTCCCCCCTCGCGAACTTTTGGCGGACGGGGCCCGGGCAGCGCCGCCGAGCCCGGCACGGAGCCTGCGGGGAGCGGGGGGGGGTCCCGGCTCCCAGCTCCGGCCCCAGCAGCGGGCGCCGAGCGGCGGCGAAGCGGAGCCCCCCCCGCGCACGGGCACTGGACACGCAAGCGAGAGCTCGGCCGCTGCTCGCCGAGCCCCCCCGGTGCCCCGAGCCGGGGTCCCCGTCGAGCCGCCCGGCGGCGGAGCGAGGAGCGCGGCGGAGGGGCCGCGGTCCCGATCGCCCCCCCCCCCAGGCACAAAGCGAGGTCCCACCGCCCCGCTCCCCCTCCCGCGCCCCTCCGCGCTGCCGGTGCCGGTGCGCGCCCCCGCGAACTCACCGGAGCCCCTCGGGGCGGCGGCGGCGGCGCGGTGCCCGCCGCTCCCGGGAACAATGGAGGGGAGCCCCGGCCGGGGCGAGAGGCGCAGCCCCGCCGCCGCCGCGCTCACAGCGGCCGCCCCATGGCGGGGCCGGCCCCGAGGTGGCGGCGGGAGGCGCTCCCGGGAGCCGCGGCCGCCCCGACGGCCGCCCCTTGGCGCTGCGCTGCCGCTGCCGCCGCGTCCCCGCCGTGCGCCCGCCGCCGCCGGACTGAGCCGCTCCCCCGGCACCCCGCCGCCTCCCCCCGGCTCCTCCCCCGCCTTCCTCGCAGCCCTCCTCCTCCTCCTCAGCGGCCTGATGGGGCTTGTAGTCGCCGCCGGGCCGCCCCCTCGGCGCCCCCCGGGCCGCGCTCCCCCCCCGGGGCAGCCCCCGGGGCGGACACCTCCGTGCCGCCGGCGCTGCAATCGCGGCGGGGCAGCGGCCGGGGCGGCCGGGGCGGTCGCAGCGCTGCGTTTGGACCAAAATCCGGGCGTCCACCTCCAGCAGCAGCCGTGCAGAGCCCCCGGCGTGGGTTCCCCCCGGGATGACAGAGGTGCGGACGGGGAGAGGGAGGGGACGGGGAGACGCCCGCCGCGATGCTCCCCCAGCAAACCGCGCACGGGGGAGTTGAGCCAAGAGCAGGGAGCGTGGGGGCTGCAGAGCCACCCCCGGCTTTGTCCCGGACTTGTTAAAGTTGGCCCCGAAGGGGTCCTACAGGGCTGCGCTGTGACACCTCGTGATGGAAGGCAAAGGGACCGTGCCCCTGCTGCTCCCGTTCCTTGGTTTTGGTTTTCTGCTCGCTCCATCACTGGGATGCTTGGATGGGGAGAACCATCCCTGCTCCAGGCTCAGGGATCTGCCCGCAGCCCCGGCCCCAGCATCGCATCGGGGCTCAGCACGGGAGTGACCACAAGTTGTCACCATCTGGTGGCACAACTGGAGTATGAGCAGGTCCTCCTGGACGGAGGGGGAGACCAGCACTCCCCAGGGGTGGCCTCAGGCTGCCGAGAGCCCAGGCTGGGACCCTGAGAAGCAACAGGGCCCTGGGGGCTGAGCTGGGGCTCGCTGCCTGGCGGGGACAGGCGGAGGGGCAGGGAACGAGGACTGGGCCATAGCAGGGAACCGCCAGCCCCTGCCCGCCCCTGGGCATCCTCCCTGCCTTGGGCACGATGTCCTGGGCTCCTCTATACATGATGCAACTTCAAGGCAAGGCAGATGCTAATTTCACATGAACCCGGGCTGGTTTCAGTCTAACTGCCCTTAATCAGGAACAGGATTAAGATAAACTGGAAGGAGGTCGTGGCTGCCACACAGCCGAGCAGCTTGCCGTGCGTCGGGCAGCCCGCGGGCAGCAGCCGGAGGGGAGCAGCTCAGGTTTGGCTCCGCAGAGGCTCGCTGTGCTGGGGCACGCTCAGGCCCCTCTCCTGCTCCTCCAAAGCACACTCTTCTGTGCTCCTGCTGTGGGACCAGCAGGGCCTGAGTTAAAGGTGCTGGGAACCTGCACCGTGCCGGGGAGCCCCCCATCCACATCCCCATGCAGGGACACACACTGCAGGCTCCACACGTACACAGCACGCACAGCAGCACCCCACCAAGGCCGTGGGGTGCCCCCCACCACCCACACGCTCCCACGTGGCACCGACACCACCCACGGGTGAACCCCCACCATCGCTGCCATCGGACACAGGGACCCCAGGCACAGTGCTGGGGAGCACCCGGTGCAGCCTGCCCAGTTCTTCCCCTGTGTCTCCAGACTGGTTGTACTGGGAACCAGAGCGAGCAGGGTGGGACACCAGAAGGGCTGAGCTGGGAGGTGGAGAGCTGCGGCACAATGGAGCGGTTCCCCCCTGACCTTAGGTTTCCCAGTTACAGATCTGCAGCTCTCCCCTCCTCCCCACCACAAAGGGAGCCCTTCCCAGTCCCTAATTCTGCATTTAGAAAACAAAAGCAGATGCATCTCGTTTAGCTTCGGAGAGGGGGAGGCAGGAGCAAGTGCTGAAGAACAAAGAGCTTTACCCTGAAAGATCTGACGGGACAAAGACTTTGGCAGCTCCAGCTCTCCCTGAAAGGGCCGGAGCCCATCAGGGTGCAGCTCTTGCAGGCAGCTGCCGGGCTCCTGGGTCCCAGCCCCCAGGAGGGGCCGAGCAGGGTGCCGGGGGCCGGCTGCACATGCGGGTGCTGCTGTGCTGCGCGGGTGCTCGAGGCTGGACGGGCACCGGCCCTGCTGCGGGGAGCCTGCACCCACGGCAGTGGGCACACAGGGGGATGCAGCCCGGTCCCGTGGCTGGGGCAGGAGACCTGAGCTGTGCCGTGAAGGCAGCCGGAGCCTCTGCCCGTCCCTGTCGTCATTCCTCTGCTTCCCCCGCGCTGCGGAGGCTCCCAGGTGTGCTGGCCGACCTTGGCAAGCTGAATCACACCGAGCGGCTCCGGCACGCTGTGCCAAGGCCGGGGCTGCCCCAGCTGCAGTCTGTGGGGGGGGGCAGCCTGCTGCAGGGCTGCTGGAGCCACCTTGGGGAGCAGCCGAGCCCCTCTCGAGCTGCCAGCCTCCAGCGGGTACGGCACAGGGAGCTCTCCTGGCAGCTTGCAGAGCACCAGCTTTCCCAGGAAAATGTGACGCAGGGAAATCAGCAGCGACGGGAAGCAAACATTAGCTCCCGGGCGTGATTTAGAGGCTAAGTGCAGCCTTTACAGGAAGCCCCCTCTCTCGCCCCTCCGCTGCGGCTCAATAAAGCCTTATTAGCGGCTCTGGCTGCAGCCACAGGCACTCGGCTGCCCGCGGCCCCAGTCTGGCCACACGGGCACTGGGACGCGGCTGTCCCGGGGCGAGGAGCTGGACTGCGGGGCCCCAGGACTGCAGCTCAGCTTCGCTGCCCCAGCACGCTCCTCACTCTGAGGTTTTTCTGCTATTTTCTTTGACCCAAAGCAGCTTTTTCCTTCCTCGGTTGCATCCTGCAGCACCGTAACAGCCTCCATCTGGTGCTGCGTGGCTGCTGTCCTGATGGCGAGGAAGGGAAGCGGATCCTTCGGGTGCCCCCGCCTGCCCCGGCATCACCGCAGCAGCCAGGAGGAGAGGCCAGCTCCAGGAGCAGGGGTGCTCCGGGCTCCCCTGGGATCACCCTGGGGGTCACAGACTGTGGCATTTGGGAGGCTGAGCAGGAGCCGTGCGGAGGATTATTCCCTGCCCTGCACCTTCGGTACGAGGCGGGCCTGACTTCTGCCCCCGATCGATTTGCAGAGGGAAATTAATGATGTTTGCTTGCCGTGGCCCCCTCACGCCGCAGCCGAGCTGCTGTGAGTGTCGCGCTGCTCCAGCCCGGCTCTCGCAGGGCTGCGGCGTTTAATTACCCATCCCAGGGGACGTGCAGCATTTTCATTAGCTGCGCTTGATGCTGCGCTCATCCCACGCCCCTCGGCCCCCTCTGGAGAGCCCAGGCAGGCTCAGGGCCCTGGGACGGAGCGGATCAGCCCCTGGAGGACACCCCACGAGGTGCCAGGAGCACCGCAGCCGCTGTCCCAAGGACTGGGGCGAGGTGTTTGGTGCCGGGCACCCTTTGCTTATGGTCCCAGAGGGGCTCCTGTGGCTGCAGGATCAGACCCGCAGAGATCTCCAGGGGTAAAGGGAGGCACGAGACGGGTGGTAACAGCGGCTGCCGCTGGCTGTTGCCTGAGCCTAGCAGAGGAGGAAGCTCCCGATAACAAATGTGGGTAATTTACAGCTTTCCCCATGACACAGGCAAAGAGCAAGAGACAAATCACTGGCGCACATCGCCCCCGGCCCGCGAGGGCACGAGCTGCTCCCTTTATCACATCCGCTCAGCCCCATCCGCACAGCCCAGCCCCTGGGGCTGCTGCACCCAGACCCTGCTGGGAACGGGGGGCGCAGGGTGGCACCACGCAGGCTGCTGGGGCAGGATTTGGGTTTGGGGGCGCAGGGGGTGCGGGTTTCTCCTCCCCGGGCAGCTCCGTGGGCACCAGCAGCCGTCGGGGCCGGGAGGAGCGGGCGCTGCGCCCCCCTGGTGCTGCACAGATTCCGCCACTCAGATAATCTGATAATAGCGTTTTGTGCACGCTGTCATTTAGGAGCCCAATGGCAGCTTCTTTCATCAGGAGAAAGGCTGCAATTATGTGTCATTACCCATGGGCTATGATTTTTCTCCCACTACCTAGAGTGGTGTTTTTTTGTTTTTTTTCCCTTCTTCTTTCTTTCAAGCAACACTTGGATATTTATAGCGAAAAAAAAAGCCACAGCCAGCAACAAAACAACCGGGGAGATGGCTTTCCCCTGCACGGGTACAAAATGAAAGCAAAGCAAACGCTGAGCAGCCTCCCAGCCCGCAGGGAAGGAGGGCGACCCTCAGGGCCCCGCAGTGACGCACGGGCGCTGCGTGGCCGCGCTGCCCCCCCGACCAGGCGAGGAGCTGGGCACGAGGTCCTTGGTGCTCGGCTTTGCCCACTCCCCGGGAAGGGCAGGGAGGATTTTTGGAGCCCAAGGAGTCTCCGTCCCTGCACCCGGCCCAGCGGTGACCTCGCTCACGGTGCCCATGCCCCACTCAGAGGAGCTCCCCGCGCACATCTGGGCATTTGGGGAGGATTTCCCCGGGCTCCCGGCACGGGCTGCTGGTGCCCTTTAACGTGGGGAGTTTTCTCCCCGTTCTCAGGCTGGCTTCCTGTCTAGACAGCCCTGAAGAAGCCGCTGTATTTATAGAGCAGGGCAGAGAGCTTTGCCCGCTTGTTTTGCCAAACCCACACAAGGCTGCTGCTGCTGAGGCCGGAACGGAGCTGCCTCCCACACGCTGGAAGAGGGGAGGAGGAGGAAGGCAAAGCAAACCACAGGCAGACCCTAAACTCCCTCACCCCCTCCAGATTGCGGGCAGGCTCCTCTCACCTTCCCCCGTGGGCTCTCCGGGCTCTTCTGGCCCTTTCCCTGCCCCTGCAGCACCCAAAGTGCCCCTGCCCTCCTGGAACAGGGGCTACCCAGAGCAGAGGCAGCGCTCCCATCACACCCCCCCACACACACACACCACCCAGAGACCCTCCCCAGACCCCAGCAGGGCTCTCACGTCCCCCCCAGCCACTTCCAGCCCTCGCTGGACTGCCCTGCACCAGCGCTCAGCCCCTCGTGCTCACACATCTCACACCCCCCCAGGGCTGGGGATGCTCCTGCAGGGCTCTGCCAGCCTCCCCGGGTATCTGGGGGCCGTAAGGGGCCGAAGGCTCTCTCCTAAGGGTGTCTCCATGAAGGAGGAACGCTTCCCCCCTGCCCTTTGACAAGCAGTGAGATGGAAGCACCACGTTCCTACATTTAGCTTTTTCCAGCTCATTTCTTCCACCGCCCACTTTCGGAGCCCTTCCTGCCTTGCTCGCCCTGCCCGGACGCATCCCCTCCAACCTCCCGTCCACCCGTCACCTCCTCCAGCCCCTCAGAGACCTCTCCAGAGGGACGAGAGCCACGGGGCACGGCCACAGCATGGGGCTGCCCCCAGCCCCACACCAAGCCCTGGTTGCAGCGGGGGCCGGGGCCGAGCCGCAGCCCCCAGCGCATCCCAGCAGGGC